AGTCTTCTTCTCTGATTTTTTATGCTTTCTTCTAGAGTAGTTGTTATCAAGGTTGGATTTCATTTTAACACTTCACCTGATTAGAAAATTCTTTCCCCTAAACATATATGCTCTTAAAAAGTACATGTACGCCGTATTCCACAAATAAATGTTACTTTGAATTGAAACGAGTTGAATTGAATTGCATAACAGATATTTTACGAAAAATCTGCTTATCAGGAATAAATTCTTTCAACTAAACAAATTTCCTTCCAAAAATTCTTTGAAAATATAGGTTCTATATAAATTTAAGTAAAAGCAAAGTTTCTTGTACATCTAAGCTCTTGTGAAATTCCAAACAATTGCTAAAATTAATATGAACAGAACATTCAACGTGAATAAAGCCTTGTTTTACATGTGGCTGTAAATTACTTTTCTTCGATAAAGTCTCCAACGTGTAAATAATCGTACGTACCTGTCTTATTTTGATAAACAAAGCGGACACATCTTCCAGTTATATATTCACGGACAGATATCTTTCTCTTGCATCAAGCGTGTAAACCCCTGAAATTCAACAATCAGCGTTAGATGTTGAATCACAGTTGAAGTTTCAGGAATACTCCTCTTATCAAAACAGTGCACCGCTTACTAAGAACACGTTGAACGGGTCAAATGCCTGGTAGGAACTGTCAATTAATTACTCAGCAAGATATTTACCCGATTCTACATAGATCTATCCGATTGATCTGAAATGAGCCACTCTCGAACGCGGGCGATGAGTGTTTATGTACAATGGCGTGTGTGTGTGTGGGCGTACGTGTGTGTGAGATAGAGAGAAAGAGAGAGAGAGAGGGAGAGGGGATGCAAGGGGGGGGGGGCGGTTGTGGGGAGTAAAAGCAATGTAATGGAAAGTCAGGATGAGAATTGTGCGTTTAAAGGCCCACCATACTACTTGTAGCTACTTGCTCCCTCTATATAGAAAACAATGATTAATTGGTGACTATTGGTCCCCCATGATCCTCTTCTTCTTATGTTAATTGAGAGCTGAGTTGATGAGATAGCCACCTGTCAGTGACCTTCCTGGGTGGTCTAATCCCTCCTAGTCAAACTAGTACAGATGGGCTTTAAAACTCAGAACTAGGAACAAAGTTGTCATTTAGTCTCATGTCATTTCAAAGACCACGTTTACACATTATTTGTCAGAGGAATAATCACAATATTTTGAGTTGCCTCAATTCATCATCATCACCAATAACTAAATAATAAATAAATAATTTCTTAAAGGAATTCGGTTTCTTTGCCTCAGATATTAAACAAAAATCCTGGATTCAGCTCATGCTGCAATCCTGATTATAAACCTTCAAGTCGGTCAGGGATCCCGTGACTTTTACAAGCCGATCGCCTGCCTGATTATCAAGATATTTATGGTCAGAAATCGAAATTTCAAAAACCGTTTTCCAATTGGTTTGTATAACTCTACAGTCTATTGGGGAAAACAAGTATGGTAAAACAGTACACTCAAAGATTTTTAATTTTCTGAGGCACTTCATAGTTGTATTGTATATTGTATTGTATTCATTAAACTTCATTGATGTACATCAATATTGATAATTCTGAAGCGCAATTTGTTTAGGGCTTCAATATTACACCATATCACAGACACTGCTACCACGGCACGTAGGGCCATACATCTCATGATCTCAGAATAAACATTGCTAAACGATGCCTTTAAGCAACTCCAAAATTAATGTTCACTGCTTGGTAGGAACTTGTTCTTTACCGAATTATTACATACACAATGAAACATCTAACTCAATTTTAAATAAAGGAATTTACGATTAAACAAATAATTTTAATGAAAATAAATGTGGAAATGTAGTCACAAGTTGTGCCTGCACTGTCGACAATACGGACGAAAAAGCCTGGACTTGTGCTTAATTTGAACCAAGGCTTGCAAATGAATTTATAAATCATTTAATCATTAAAGTAAACATACAGATCATTTAAACATTAATGTCAATGAAATCATTCTCCAGTAACTTTGATATTTTTAGAGAAGAATTGAAAATGAATCATCATAATGTACATACATTTCTGAATTTTTAAAGTGTAATGAGTTTGAATAAATTCAACAAAAAACCACATCAACAACATAAACAGATAGTTTTAAAATATGAAAATGGTATAATCAATGGCCTGTACGGGAGGGGGGGGGGGGCTGAATAACGCTTTGTGTCGCAGTAGGTCGATGCGGTTGAAGCATCTAACCGTGCTACCGACCTGGGGTCCAGGGGTAGGCACCCGGCCATCAGCCTTTTGGTTGGAGGTTATTTTTACCTGACTGCTAAGAAAGCATAAATGCTTGTAAGTGAGCAACGAGACGGACGACGGCTTTAGGTCCTCTCCGAGGGACCTTGTAATGAGGATTAATGCCTTACAAAAGGGCACTAGCGCACGACTTGGCTTCGAAGGGGACAGGTGAAGAAGGTACTGACCTGATGTGGCGTCTCTGTTGCAATATCTGGAATAGTAGGGAGTGACCCAAGGACTGGTGTAGAGCTGTTTTTATACCATTGCCAAAGAAGGGAGATCTGAAAGAATGTGCAAATCACCGAACGATCAGCTTGATTTGTCATGCAAGCAAAATACTTCTGAAGGTGATTAGCAGAAGAATGAAAATCAAACTGCATAGCAAAGCTTTTGACTGTGTGAGCCACTCTCATTTGTGGAATACAATGGCAAAGATGGGGTTCCCAAGTCACATCATCGAACTGATCAAAAACCTCTATCATGACCAAGAAGCAACAGTGAGAACCAGTAACGGCAATACTAAATGGTTTGAAATTGGCAGGGGAGTACATCAAGGCTGTATACTGTCTCCTAACCTTTTTAATATTTACTCTGAGGACATTATGAGAAATGCTCTGGAAGGATTCAAAGGGGGAGTTAAGTTTGGAGGTAAAAAGATCACGTATCTAAGGTATGCTGATGACACCACTCTTGTTCGCAGCAGCAGGGAGGAGCTGATTGATTTATTGAATCGCATCAAACAGGCAAGTGAAGAGAAAGACCTTCTTCTAAACACCAAAAAGACAAAAATAATGGTTGTCGATAGAGATTATGATAACACTGACTTCACCGTAGCTGGGAAAAAGATTGAAGTAGTAAATCGGTTTGAGTACTTGGGTTCAATTATCAATAACAAAGGAGAGAGCACCACATAGATCAGAAGAAGGATGGCAATGGCAAGATCAACATAACAGAATATGTCCCACATCTAGAAGAGCCGAGGCCTATCTCTCGGTCTGAAGGTTCGTCTACTTCAAGCAACTTCTTTCTCTATTGCTACTTACGGAAGTGAGTCCTGGGCCATGACAAAGAATGACAGAAAGAGAGTGGATGCCTTTGAAATGTGGTGCTACAGGAGGCTGTTGCAGGTGTCATGGAAGGATAAAAAGACAAATGTGTGGGTCCTGGAAAAGATTGGAACAGACTTGACCATCAGAAGGGGAAATCATGGAAAGAAAACTTAAATATTTTGGGCACATTGTTAGGAGATCTGAAGGTATTGAGAAGCAAATACTGCAATGAGCAGTCGAAGGAAAACGGGGTAAGAGGTCGTCCACCAATATCTTGGACTGATGATATCAAGAAAGTGTCTTGACAAGGAATGAAAGGTGCAACACAAATGTCAGGTGAAAGAGTTGCATGGCGTGCTCTCGTGAAGGCCACAGCAGCGCTTTACAGCGCCACCTGAAGTTGATGATGATTCTGCTACCTAAACCTGGGAAACCTGAAAAATTGCATTACAATGTAAATTCATCGTAACTGAAAATGTAAAAATATACAACAATGAGCAAATTATTGTTTCCAGACCAATTATTTAAGTGAGAAGAACTAACATTTAATATTGAAGCTGTTGTCGTTTGTATATACATTAACTTCAAGTAATAAGTAGGCTTGAAAATGTCGCAATATATCATGTGTGAGGGAGCTTGAAGCTTAATGGTGTAGGTTTTTTGAGACTATATAGCCTTAACACTGTTTCATTAATGAGATATATCTACAATCAAATCAAACTGAGTGATGTTATCGAGCAACTTAATAAATAAACCTGGCAAACCTGAACATTGCATAACAATTTAAATTCATCGTAACTGAAAATGTAATACAATATACAACAATGGGCAAATAATTGTTTCCAGACATATGATTGATATGAGAAGAACTAACATTTAATATTGACGCTGTTTGCCGACTATATTTTACACTGTTTCATTAATGAGATAAATCTCCAAACAAAATCAAAGTGAATGATGTTATCGAACAACTTAACAACATTAATCTGGCTTAAAGTGACTCGGTAACACTGATGAAGGTTGATGAAAAAACTGCGTAATTTTTGTATGGATTTTTACTTATTATATTCCTTCTACTGTACTTACACCGAAAAAAATCCACTGTGCGCCACCCTCTAACAGTAAATTTCTCCAACCCGTTTTGACTATTTCCAAACGTTTTTGCACGAAAATAGAACATATAACAGGCTATTAAAAATCTTCAACACTCAGTGCACGATATATTTGATTTTTATTTAAATTTAATTTTGAAATCTTTCCATATTTGATGAACAAGGAATTTCTAAGGAATCCAAAGATAGAGAGAAAAAAAACCTTTTTAAAGAAATTTCCGGGTGAAAAGTCAAATACAACCCCTTTTTTTTTTTTACAATTCTCGGGTCGGACTTTGTGTTTTCATTACATGCTTGGGAACATGAATGCGGTCCCTTCGACCCCGGAGTGGGAGGGGGGGGGGGATATCACGTAGTGTTTTCAGACATACTTTCCTTTTGTGTATCCACCTTGTTTTTTATTTTTATTTTGCTTTGTATTATCTTCATGACGCAGATCCAACCATTATACCGAACGTATCGATTGCGCATGCACACAAACTGATATATACCGTTTGTGAGCACGCTTTGAAGCACAGTTTTCGCTATACCATATTGTATACTCCACTCTTCTCCGATAAATGAAATGGCTTTTGATGATATACTTCTAACTGTAGGAGAGTTTGGTACCTACCAAAAGATCACTTATGCATTGGTTTTTATGTTTTGGTTCCCAGCTGCAGCCAATGTTCTTGCTGTGGTTTTCTTGGCAGGTTCGTCAGACCATTGGTGCCAGGTAAGTTGAGTCAAGATCAGCAATTTTCGTAATACCATCATGTGCAGGTCTGAATAGGATAAATTTATGTATATACAAGCTTTTTGCGATTGTTCTTTATTTTCGTTGGAGAAGGACGAAAAACAGTATAGTTTAGTTTATGTGTTTCGAGGAGACATGTTCATAAAAGTATTCAGGTACTTCACATGATCTTGATTTATAGAGAGTCTATCTACAATTGACGGAACTATGTACATTGAATGATCTATATTTTATGATATTCTGAGTAAGCAATAATTATACAGTAGGCTTATGGTTGTACCATGTGAGAGAGGAGAATTCTACTTATTGTTGTATTATATTGATCTCACCACTGTGTTTCAAGTTTAATGACGATTCAGTTCTTCCCTTCAATGATTGCAAATAAAATATATTAAGTTATTTTGAAGAAAAAAATAGGTTAAAGAAGATGCAGAATAACATATGAGAACAACCAACAAAGTTGTATTTAACAAGCCTAGTGTATTGCTGTCACATGGATAGCTTAATGTGCCTTTCTTATTCTTTTATAAGACACGTCGAGAAATCAAGTAAAAATGTGCGGGAGCATTGATTTGGCTGGCAACAATCCCAAATTATCAGGAAACTCAGTTTTGTTAATTGTTTCCTCGTAGATATGGCATCATAAATTATTTCGGATTTATTTGTCCTGCGGTATAGGCCGACGACACGAATAAAATGGTTATCGTTCTATTGAGAATTAACGTTGAGGTGCATTTTAAAGGCCGGCTGTACTAGTTTGGCCAGGAGGGATTAGACCACACAGCGTGGTCAATGACAGGTGGCTATCTCATCTACTCAGCTCTCAATTAACATAAGAAAATATGATCATGGGGGACCAATAGTCACCGATTGGGCATTGTGTTCTAGATAGAGGGAGCAAGTAGCTACAAGTAAGTGGGGCTTGAATATTCAGAAAATCAGGATTGTAAATCTTGTTTTACACAACAAAGCTAAATGAGTATATCTTTTGAAATATGAACTAGGCCCATATTCATTGACTCAAATTTAGTACAACTTTTAAATTGTTACTTTCGGGAACGAATAAAGGTCATCGTTGTCCTGTGATAACATCCTTTCTGTCAAAAGGGTGAGCCTGTAGGTTAAATCTAGGGTCTATTTACTAACAACACAACTTTGTCGTCTGGCCTACTTTTTCGTGAGGACCATTAGTATAATTTCGGAAACTCCAATAGACCTCCCGAATCTCTCGAAAGGCTCTGGGCCAGGGGTTCTTCTGCAAAACAAAATAAGTGCCCGACCAGAAATTATCTTAATAACAATATGATTTTTTTTTTAAATCGGAAAATGCCAGTTTTGGGAGTCTAATTCCTGCATTTCCTCATTTTATATCCGTTCAGAAACATTTTCTCTGGACACCTACCTCATCTCACTATCTCCTAATTTCTAGAATACCTCGCCCGCCACTGTTTCCCCTAATAACAATATGATTTTTTTTTTAAATCGGAAAATGCCAGTTTTGGGAGTCTAATTCCTGCATTTCCTCATTTTATATCCGTTCAGAAACATTTTCTCTGGACACCCTACCTCATCTCACTATCTCCTAATTTCTAGAATACCTCGCCCGCCACTGTTTCCTTTGCGACGTGTAAACATCCTAGTGTAAAGGTTGTAGCGGTTGTCCTAGGTTGTCAAAACAGTGAAACTAAACAGAGCTAAAGCTAGATAAGGCAATATAGATCTAACGAGGTAGATATTTATCATGCAATCTGTTTTATATTCAGTTATTGTTGTGGCGTTAGTCAATAGAGCCTAGATTTAGCGTGCAGGCTGTACATTTAATTTATTGGACCAATATTTCACAACATGATATTCTATTTGCTTGTCTTCAACACTTTTACACGGTTATTGCCAAAACTAAACTATGGTCCTAATAAATCAAATGTTAGTTTTAAATTAACCTTTAACCGGTGGAGGTCTCTGGTGGTACAATACTTGAACTTAAACAAGTACAAATAGAAAGAGGTGATTTAAAAACTATTCAGAGTTTCAAACAAAAAAATCCCACCAATACCCAGTGGAGGATGGTCGCACGTGATCGATACCAGAGGTTTCACGTAACAACCCTCCCTCCTGCGGATCCTCCCCCATTTAAAGGGTTTAAAGTGTTTTTTCTGTTAGCTTCGCTAGAGGGGAATCATCGTATTAATCGGTTTGTTGACCGGGAGAGAGGAATGAATGGGAGGAGGTCTTTATATCTTCCTCGTTCGTCATTCTCCCTCTTCCCTACATTTTCTCTACTGTTCTCCCCTCCTTTTTCGGGGGTGGGGGGGGGGGGGATTCGATAGAATCGGGGTCGTGCATCTGGCCATCTACGCCACTGAAAAGTAATGTTCTTTACTGCTATACCAATTTACATCTCCCTTATGCGCTTATTAATTTATCGTCCTGCAAGTTAAGAAACGTGATCAAAGTATACTACAATAGAAATTTGCATATATTTTGTATTTTGATGAATAACACTAAACTGTAACAAAAGATTCGGTTTGAAGTCAATTTTTTACTTCTTGCATAGGTATCTGAATGGAACAACGCTGACTGCACTGGGTTGGGATTAAATGAGAGCGATTGCTCATTCTACAAAAAATATCTCAGCATTCCACATTCCGTAGCAGACGACGATACGATTGTATACGATCAATGTCACAAGTACGATGTCTCCCAGGTATCGTTTAGTGATGCGATGGCATACTTTTCGGAAAACACCAATCAGAGTGGATCTCGCTATGACTTCATGTCATGTGATCAAGGATGGGTGCACGACAGGGCGTTATCAGCATACACCCTTACCCAGTCGGTAGGCATAAAACATCTATTTCTTATTATTCCTCCTTCTCCTACTCCTTTTTCTCATCTTTCTTTTACTTCTTCCTCTTCTTCTTCTTCGTCGTCGTCGTTGACGTTTTCTTCTTCTTCTTCTTCTTTTTCCTCTTCTTCTTCTTCTTCTTCTTCTTCTTCTTCTTCTTCTTCTTCTTCTTCTTCTTCTTCTTTTCCCTCTTCTTCTTCTCCTTCTTCTTCTTCTTCACTCTCATGTTGTAATTAATTAAAGTTTACATTTCTTGCACGATACGTGTTGTCTTTTCATTAGACGTTTATTGATTATATCAGCCCTTCCTGGCATGTGGAAGATTGGCTGCAAAGAGTGATTTGATCTAGCATGTGTTTAATAGCAATAATTGTGCCAGAAATTAACGGTTGATTTGACTAAATTCATATTTGAAGATCTGTTAATGAAAGGGAAGTGTCAGCTATTCGCCAGAAAGTGCTGGCAATTCAATATGCAGAAATGACTACTGATTATTTCTAACCAAGTGAGAGTCAAACTTTCAATAGAATATCTTTAAAAAAGAGCTTGATGATGAAAGCAATAACCTTGCCTTCCAAATATACATTTACTAATCCGGCAAGCCATTGCTAACAATTTTGAAAAATACATTATTTGGTTATGGTAAGTGAGCAGTCATTATGATAAGAATACATATATGAGCTATTTATTATCTGGAGAGGGATATGGGAAATTTGTATTTCTTCATTTCAAGGCACTTTCGTTCATCTAAAGGTTAACCGAAATGCGTAAGAAATTGTATCTACATCAGCAATGAAATGACATAGTTGTTGATTTCTTTTGGATTTCCTTGCAGTTTGACCTGGTTTGTGACCGGAAATACCTGATCAATCTGTCTCAATCCATCTTCTTCATAGGCGTACTCATAGGCTCTGTCCTTTTTGGTGCAATTGCAGATAGGTAGGCCTAAGGTCAACACTATTAAACGAAAAGTCAGTGGCTTTATAATTGTGTTTTTGATATAACAAAGAACGAAAAAGAAAAAAATTTCTCGAAAAAATGTTCTCTTATCAGTTAAAAAAAGGTCCGATTTCTAACCTGAATATGTTTTGAAAATAATGTGTGCCCTTCTGGCTCGAATGACGGGTGAGGAAGCGCGGGGCGGGGGCGGGGGGAGGGGCACTGGTGTGGAAGAAATGCTCTGTGATGGGGGAGATGGAGTAGGGCAGGGTTTTTCATGAAAATGTAATAGCATTGTCGGTTAATAATTGTCACGATATGATTCATGATAATGAAAATAATCCGTTTTTTATTTGGGCATTTTTTGATACATTATGTATCTAGGCGTTTCCCAAGGACTTTGGAATTTATTTTACCTGTTTTAAGCTCCCTCATTAACGCACAGTGCATTCAAGAAAGAATTATCTTACCATGTACCCACTCACTACACCTGGTTTACAGTTTGACAAAGGACGTCATAGTCATGACAGGGATTCAAACAGCGCGACACCTTGTAATTTACAGTCCGGTGATTTATCTTATCCGCATCCCCTTTATATGTTTCCATTCCTCAATGTCGTGCTATCTCCCCCTTTTAGATTTGCTTCAATTCGATTTTGGGGAATGGGTGGGGTGGCAAGCGCCCCTATACCTTGCTCCATCACTGATATTTCATCACAGATACGTAGAATCTTGTGGATATATCCAGTGGCGGATCCAGGGGGGGGGGGGGGGGGGCCGGGGGCCCGCCCCCCCCCCTTGAGAAAAAAAAACCATGTAAAAACACGTGATTTTTACCTTTTTGGGGGGTTGGGTCCCCCCCTGGTGGTCAAGGGGAGTGCAAATTTTTAAATTTTCGAGGACCCCCCCCCCCAAAAAAAATGTGCTCACTACCCCCCCCCCCCCTCCACTGAGCGACTTTTCAAATTTTCGGGAGCAAAAAAAAAAGAGAAAAGTTGGGCCCCCTCCCCTAAGAAATCCTGAATCCGCGCCTGGATATTTCACTGGACTGTGGGTCATATGGTTTGCAGCTCGAGTCTCCTTGCAGCATAATTCCTTTGACAAGACATTAATCTGCAGGTGTCACTCTCGATCCAGGTTAAGTTAATGGGTACCCGTTAAGAAAAAATTCCTTGAATGCTTTAGAACCTTATCATGGAGGCTCAGCTACAGCCGGAGCAACAATATGATACTTTGTATTAAGTGCAGTAAAGTATAGTTACTGTACTATATAAATGGACATATTATCAATATATTCATTGTTATAATCATTATTGTTATTATCATTATCATTATTATTGTTATTATCATTATCATTATTATTATTGTTTATATCATCGTTATTATTATTTTATCATTACTAGACCTGTTAATATTCTTATTATTGTTATTAATATTATTACTTTATTATAATTAATATCATTTGTCCTATTATTGTTATTGATATTATTACTAAACTAATAACTACTACTATTATTATTTAAGACTCTGGTACTCAGTGCTAGTACATCAGTTTCCTCATGAAGAAACTCTAATCATGTATTGTTTATCTGTGTTTGTAGATATGGAAGAAAAATAACACTCATCATCTCCAATGTTCTCGTGGTTGTATTCGGTGTCGGTGCTGCTTTTTCTCCGAACTACATAACTTTCGTCGTGGCGAGGACTTTTCATGCTGCAGGATGTTACGGGATGATTAACGTCTCCCACTTGATAGGTTAGTTAGAGCTCACCAAAGCCTAGTCTTTCTTACTTAGTTGCTATATACACACCAACGATACCGACACCAAACAGACAAAAGACCTCCAATCGCCAAGAATCGGTCGGTGCGGAGTCAGTTTGGGCGGTGTGACTGTTAGGCACCCCCCCCCCCCCAACAAAAAAAAGAAGAAGATAATTTGGTTGTCATTTGGTTGTCATTTTCGGCCCGCTTGTATTATTATCATTTGTTTATAATTATATAGATATTAATTTTCTTTTTGGGGGAGCAATCTTAAACGCCAAACATACCATTTTATGCATATTGCAAGGATCAAAATGTGTCCCGTCGCCAATTTGGTCTTTTCAGTACGCAATTATGTCTTTATATTATAATATATAAAGATTTAGAGTAGAGGAGGGAGTTTTTGGTCAGATGGCAACTTTCGGCGGGTCTGTTTTATGCATGGTAACAGTAGCGGATCCAGGGGGGGGGGGGGGGTGGACACAGAGGACACGTGCCTCCCCCCCCCCCCCGGCCAAAAAAAAATATGTTAAAATCAGCCCTAAACTCGCCCAAAATATACTGAAAAACAGGGACGTGCCCCCCGGTCAAAAAAAAGTTATTTCTAATTTAATTATAACAAAAACAAAAACAAAAACAACAAAAAATGCCAATGGCCTACCTGAATAGGTGTCCTTACCCCACCCCCCCCCCCCGCAAACGGAGCAAAATGTCAAATTAAAAAATTTCGTGACCAAATAAAAAGAAAAAAAGTGTCCTCTTGAATGAATGGGGGCACCTTCCCCACATGCAACCAATTTGGAACCCAAATATACGTGTGTGTGTGTGTGTGTGTGTGTGCGTGCGTGTGTGTGTGTGTGTGCGCGCGCGGGTGTATGTGCGTGTGTACGCGCGGGTGTTTGGGTGTATGTGCGTGTGTATATCAATCTTGTAAATAAATTGCAACATGGATTCGTAACTTTTACAAACTCAATATTCTGTGTTCTTTATTGGTTCTATACATTTTTCGTTTGATAAAAAATATTTTCAGTTATCACACAGCATACGTAACGCCTTTATACACATCATTGGCAATCACCCTATTATTGTTCAATTAGGTTCCACTCTGCTAAAATTCTAAAACGACTAAAACACTTTCTACTAGACATGTTCTGGTGGCACGCATACTGCTCTCACTATCATTGACTAACCGGATATTCAACTTAAACTTTAGACTGAACACTATACCTAGGTCAGAACCTAAGCTAAATCGTTCGAATAGGGCTATATCATGAAAAGGTTCTCCCTGTCCGAATTATGGTTCTCGGATCTAATAGATTTTCTACATTTTATATTTATTTTTATCGGCATCAATAAGTTACCAGTCTGCGGTTTTCCTATTCTTTTCATAGGTACCGAGTTCGTGGGTCCATCGAGACGTGCATTTGTTGGCATCTTCATCTCCGTGTCGTTTTCCTTGGGGTATCTTCTACTCACCTTTTATGCGTATCTGATCAGAAATTGGCGCTATCTTCTACTAACACTGAATATGACCTTTGCCCTTTTCTTCTTCTTTTACCCGTGAGTACACCTCGTTCTAGGATTTCTTAATTTTGACTGACCTGTTTTTTAAGATTTCTTTTATCGAAATAAACAGCTATATCAGGGTTTATCATCATTTACTTCTTCAGACTCCAAACTTCTAGGTACAAGTTTATTGCATTTATTCAAGACAAAAATTAACGTCGACCTTTTAAAAAAGTGCTGTTACCTCTCTATCGCCATTCAAAAAGAATGAGACTCCTATGGGTTTTGTTTGCTGCTTAACCCTTACGTAACATTGCTTTCCACTTGTTTCGCTTGATCAAACATGAACGATTAAAGACGGAAATATTAATGTAAATACTTCTTTTCTTCACAAATAGTTACGTTTAAAGCAGAAATTAGTGCTGGGCGGAAGCAATGTTTTTCATCAGGAGTGGTGTTTGGAAATACCCCGTGCTAGGCGGGCCCGCCCGGCGCCGCACACCGTAGCTATGACGCTGATGTCAACAACAGAATGTCTCGGCAAATCTTTAAAAAGTATGAAAGATAAAAACAAAATTTATGACAACACAATAGTCAAAATTTTATAAACAATCGAGGTATATGTGGGATATAATAGTCCATTTACTTGACTATCATTTCAGGGTTTGAGGGGTCGAATTAGTGCTCGGCACTTACAGTCATTTGACAGGACATTAATCTACATTGGCCACTCTCCACCTAGGTTTAAATTGGTACTTGGCAACTGCTGTGGTAGTAATAAGAACAGCATGGGTGCTGGAGGGGCATCGCTCGGTAAAAAGAAATGTATTCGTATTATTAATATTATTGGTAGTAGTAGTAGTAGTAGTAGTAGTAGTAGTAGTACACGGGGACGATGGGCGATTCGCCCCCGTGAGCTCCATAATCGCCCCCGTCAGGTTGCTCACGGGGGCGATTGAAAAATTAAAAATCGCCCCCGTGGAATTAAATAATTAAAATAAAGATTATCTTTTCTGATATAACTTTAACACAATATTGAGTATCAATTTTCAAACCTCAAACCAATGAAATGGAATTTAGATGGCGCTTTCTCTCCCATCTCTATAAGTATTACCGATACAAACAACGGAAGCTCGCAGTACAGCTAGTGCGGCCCTCAGCAGTGGCTATACTGCGCCGGTAGTACCGGTGTGCACGCTGACGCCCAATATCTGCTGGAGCTGGAGACGATCGCGCAAGTAATGAAACATGGAGAAGTTTTTCGTTGTGAAAAGTGTGAATCCTCTGAAATCTGGTTATTCTAAAAGGCCAGCAAATAATGTAACTCGACCAGTAAATCAATATTGAGAAGGAGATCACCAAAGATGTTGCAGGGTGTAAAGTTGTGAAATGTTTTATTACACGGCTTGACGCAACCCGTGTTTAAGGAGTGAACCATTCCATGTTGTGTAAAGTCGTTACACAACGAATTTGCAGTGCACACACATGTAAATCTGAGATTGTTCATTAATATTATGTTATTAAATACAGTTCGCAGAATCATCTGTAAATAACTATGTTAAGCATTTACAGTCTATAAAAAATAGTTCCATAAATTAATATATCTCTGTGTTTGGATCAAGCAAAACAAATGCGTTTCCGGAAGCGAGAAAAAAAATATGGAAAGAGGGGAAGGTCGAAATCTGTTTACGTGCAATACTTTTAGTGTACCGCGAGGACAACTATATTATGTCAAAGTCATGTTAATCCAGATAAGGTTATTCGAGGAATAAACTTTCAGATTCATATTTAAATCCCAATAAATAATTTGTAGTCAAAATTAAAAATAATAAGGTACAATCGACATGTCTACGGGTGCTTCCACTAAACGACATGACTTGAAAAAATAATAGAAAAGCACGCACGTGCCACGAGGACAAAATAAGAATAAGATAACAGCCCAGTATATCCATCTTTCGAAACTAACTACGAGGGTGGCGCTAATTTTCTCTTTCGATTCATAATTAAATAGAAAACAGGATTAGCTCAGAGTTTTTATGTCGACCATTACCATTAAAACCATTTTTTTCTTCTTCCGCGAAATCAGGGGGGGGGGTGGTCTGGTCTAGGTCTCTACTTTTCTGAAGAGGAGTGTTAATTACTCTTGTGTAATAAGATTGACAAGGTCTTCATGTCTTTTGTCCTTCTGCTATTTATTCTGAATAGTGTAGTTGTGTTTTGTGGCCAAGTTTCTAGTTCGACATCCCCCCCGCGTGAGAACAGTGAAGATATATATTTTCAAGCTCAAGTACTTCCTTATTTCAGCTTTTAATCCACTACAAAGGCGATATGGGCGCGACAAAAAAAATTAACAAAATAGGCTAAAGTTCAGTCGATTGCAACGGTTTTTCCCTCTGGCATTCACGAGTGTTCATAAAATTATATAATACTTGTATATGTTTAAGAGAACTAGTCCTAACGAACAAAGGAAACTCCAATTTGACTTTTTTTTTTTTTTTTCAACGGCTTTCAACGGCTGGTTCAAATTATCTAATATTTGTGGTGGTACACAAGTCTTAGAAATCGTTATACTTATGGATATTTCAGCCGTCTCTGAACCGATTTTGATCAAACAAAGATGATTTTTTTTTATATTCAAATTGTATGTTCTTTCAAATTTGAGAATCAGTTTTTCATTATCTCACAAACAAATTATTTTGTGTAGTGCCCTCTACAACAGAACTCAACTATCCCTTTAATATACGATTACTTGATTAATTTCTAATCAATATTCTTTTTTTTTTTTAATTCTTTTTATATTAGCTTTATCACTGAATCTGTAAGATGGCAGATCTCTAAAGGTCGATATAAACAAGCTGAAATAAACATTAGAAAGGTCGCTAAGATCAATAAGGTTAAACTCACAGATGGATTCTTCGGGCAACACAACTTCTACAACTCCAAGGTATGTAACATATAATATGTCATATTAATTCAAGGTTCTCAGGGAGACCTAATACTTACTTATTAAGATACTCACTAAGACTAAATACTGACAATGCTACCTTGGGTGACCATGGCATATTTTCAGTGTTAGTATTGTTATTATTGCTTTTATTATTATGATTTTTATAATCCTTATTATTATTCTAATATTATTATTAATCATTCATAATATTGCTGTTATTATTATTATTATTAGTAGTAGTATTAGTATTAGTAGGAGTAGTAGTATGAGTAGAAGTAGTAGTAGTAGTAGTAGTAGTAGTAGTAGAAGTAATAGTAGAAGTAGTAGTAGTAGTAAGAGTAGTAGTATTTTCATCAATATATGATGGTGATGATAATGATGATGATAATGATTATTTATTATTATTATTATTATCAGTACTATTATTGTAATCAATATTAACCATTGTTTTTGTTGCGCCAATTTCCCTCCATAGCACGGACCAGGTGACACGAAACGTGATACGAATCTTACCGATCTCTTTCGCACACCTGTCCTTCGAAAGAGAATGTTTGTTTTGATAATTGTTTGGTAAGTGTGACATTGTGCAAATAATGGATGTGAACCTTAATAATGAATCTGTACATGAAAACCAATATTTCATGAAAAAATGTGGATTTGAATGGAACAAAAAAATGTAGTGAAATCAATTACAATATTTATTATATTTTATTTTATTTTATTCAATATACTTATAAGCTTCTCCATTGCGGTATGAGATTTTATCCTGTTTTGAGAGAAACTTCTTTAAAAATGTAGGGCATGTCCACATGAGTAAGCCCAAATGTCAATAATGTCGAAGAGTTTTAATGCTTTAACAATTATCCAGTAGCTAATGATCCTGGCTTTATTTCGTCATGATATTGGCTCGTGCGTAGAACTAAAATCAGGAGGATGGTGGTTGTGTAGATTTCCATATCTTATAAACCGCTCAGATTCGTTGAGACGTAATTCGATTGTCTTCGATTTTGAGCCGATTCGGCTTTCATTCCGACTAGAAGAGTTTAAATAAGTGCACTAGAATTCCGGCTATTAGTAGTCTTATCATGATTTAGAACCTAAATCAAGAAGGATGGTGGTTGTTTAGATTTTCATATCTTATAAACCGCCCTTTCGACGAAAATCGTATCGAGGGGGAATCTTGTAGTATGCACCGGGCTTTGTACCCTGCTCAGTCTCTGCTCTGCTCAACCGTCGTTCCTCCCTGCTCATTGCTGCACCCCATCATGTTTGTAGGGCGTTTCATAATAATTCCTTTACTAAAATTCACCGTATAGGATGACCAATAACCTGATCTACTACGGCTTGCATCTAAGCACTGGCAGCTTCGGAGTCGATATCTATCTGAGTTTCGTCATCTCGGGCGTTGTCGAGATCGTTTCAGTCGTGCTCTGTGTCCCTTTGATCGAATGGATTGGTCGTCGATACAGCATGATTGCTTCCTTGGTGATTGCCGGCGTGGCGAGCTTTATCGTCATGTTCGTCCGTAAGTACACTCGTACCGTTACAGGGGCATAGCTAGATGATAAGTACACCCACAACAAAAAGTGAGTCACCCTTACTCAAATTGATGAGTCACTGGTTTGTCCGTACAGCGAAACACTTGAAGGATCATGTGAGTCACTATGACTCGATACAACAAACCAGTGACTCATCAATTTGAGTAAGGGTGACTCACTTTTTGTTGTGGGTGCATCATGACATAGACCCCCTACTCCCTAGGCCTATCACACACATACCATACCATGCCAGAGTCACTGTCCACATTTGCAATGGAAAATATATCCTAAAATATCACATTTTAGCGATGTAATCGGTGGTCCCGCTACCCGAATCTGAAAAATCTACTTTGTACGCACTAAATTAAGCCTTAACTTGAGATTTATTTGTCACCCATACTGTCACGAAACAATCTTGAATTAATTCGTTTTACATCAAATAACAAGGATCTAGGATTTTCGTTGTATAAAACAATGATGCAAGATCATGCATGTTTTCATTCGACACGGCTTCGTGCGATACAGTAGAATCTATACACTATGAACATGACTGACAATGAGAGCGGACAAAATATACAGTTCCTCAGGTAGACAAAGGAACATCCCTTCACAGCTATTATGTAAAAAGGTGAATATGCATGTGACACCTGTTCTACACATTTTTACATAATAGCAGTAAGGGATGTTCCTTTGTCTACCTGAGGAACTGTATATTTTGTCCGCTCTCATTGTCAGTCATGTTCATAGTGATAGTTAAGTTACACACAGCCTCATCAACTCGAGTGCGGATATCGTAAAATGAACGCATGCATCATTTGTATAATAATCAGAAGATTCAGCCCACGAATCCAGTCATAAAAATCATCGTTTAAAACCATATGAATAATTATGCGTACCAATTTTTCACTAGCTGCAGTCAAAACTCTTCTGAATCCAAGATATAAGATGGCGACGTCGCGTCGTCGATCGGGAATTCAAATATGGCTCGAGAATGCGCATTTTGGATGACGTCACGAAAGCATGCGCGCGCATGCATACAGCCTCACTTTCAAGTTGACTCACTTTTTTCTTCTAAAATGCTCTTATGTCGATCTTGACTCATTTTTTACGACCATGTGAGTCAGTCGAAGCATTTTGCAAATGCGTCAGCTCATGATTGACACACTGGTGAAATATAAATGAGTCAATAGAGACTCATTGGTTGTTACTAATGAGTCAATTTACACCTGACTCACGAAAATTATGCTTAAATGTGTCAAATGACTCACTTTTTGTTGTGGGTGTAAGATGATGTGTATATAAGCAAGTGATGCAATAACATCAACAGGTTTTTTCTTATATCACTTATTAAGCTATTTGGTTGTTGAACTGGTCACATGTTTATTTGTACATGGTTTAAACGGTTAGGCTTGGTACAAAATAATGGTTAGCTTGGGTGCATCAATCAAAGGGGATGTTCGATGCTCGTACGTACAAAGTACTCTAATTAACATGGCTTGAGCCCAGCTGCCCTAAAACTCCAGGGATAATTTTTTATCAGGTACCTGTTTGCTACGCCTGGGTGGAGAGTGGCATGTGTAGATTCTTATTTTGTCAATAGACCTTAGTTTTGCACGAAATGCGAACTATTTGATCCAAAGTGCATTGACGTATCAGCTACACCATGATCCTGATGATACCTTTGCATCTATGTTTCTTTTTTCACAGATGCTGGTGCGGCCAAAACTTCAATCGCCATGGTCGGAAAGTTTGGAATCGCTGGCTCCTGGGCTATTTGTGGAATTTATGTCATCGAAATCCTACCAACTCCTACCAGGTAACTCGTCAAGTAGTTTATACTTTATACTAAAAGGTTACAGACCGGAAATCATGGGTGTCAATCCCCGGGGGGGGGGGGGGATGGGGGGGGGGGATATATCCCCCCAATATTTCAGGTGGGGGGATGGCCTGTACAATCATCCCCCCCCCAATAATTCACCATCAAATTTTTTTTTTTAAATGAAGAGAAAAATTAATGGTGAGAGTCCAATGAGAGTAGTTAATAGTTATTACTCGCAAGATGACCACCAATATGCACATTTTGCTATCTCATTTCCATAATACATACATATATACGAAGTAAATAAGACAACCGTATATGAGACAACAATAAATTGAATTCTCGCTCATACGGCTTCATCAGGAATTGATGAATTTATTCAATTTGTTCAATCAACAGCATCATAGAAATGCAGTGCGCCAAATGCAAAGACGGAGCATCAAAAGCAACGAGCTAAATGTTCAGCGCGAAGCACAAAAGTAGCAATCTCCAATGCACATCAGACAATCCTGGACAGTGTAAACATAGATGAACTCTGTGACGATTTCGTGATGAGATCGGAGACAAGGAGAAAGATTTTCGGACATTAGTATGACTTATAAAATAGTTCACTAGTTGTTATGTTGTTTACGTTCACCCTTTTAAAAATTCACGTCATTGTATCTTTATTTTTATTTTTTTCACTCATTTTATTTCCTGATATTTCCTAAAAACATTTTGCATTTTTGGAGAAAGATTATTATGTCACAACTTATTTGTAACACAACTTATTTTCAGTGGGGAAACTGAATTCAGACAAGGATTATTGTAGAGAACAGTACAACGAATCGTCTTCTTTCTCTAATAATGTAATAACATGTGAAAGCTTCCGCGCTTCGCGCAGGAATGGGCAAAAATGATTTCAGACAAGGATTAAGAGTCGAGAATGGTACAAAAAATCGTCTTCTTTCTTTCTTCCGCGCTACGCGCGGGGGAGGGGGAACTTGATTCAAACATTAATGATTAAGAGTCGAGAATGGTACATCGAATCGTCTTCTTCCTTTTAATAATCTAATGAAACGTAACAGCTATCGCGCTACGCGCGGAGGAAGGGGAATTTGATTCAAACAAGGATTAAGAGTCGAGAATGGTACATAGAATCGTCTTCTTTTAATCTAATGAAAAGTCAGAGCTTCCGCGCGACGCGCGGTGGAAGGGGAACTTGATTCAAACAAGGACTAAGAGTCGAGAATGGTACATCGAATCGTCTTCTTTCTTTAATAATCTAATGAAACGTCAGAGCTATCGCGCTACGCGCGGAGGAAGGGGAATTTGATTCAAACAAGGATTAAGAGTCGAGAACAGTCCAACGAATCGTCTTCTTTCTTTAATAATCTAATGAAAAGTCAGAGCTATCGCGCTACAAGCGGAGGAAGGGGAATTTGATTCAAACAAGGATTAAGAGTCGAGAACAGTCCAACGAATCGTCTTCTTTCTCTAATAATTTAATGAAACGTCAAAGCTTCCGCGCTTTGTGCGCGGGGGGGGGGGGGGACTCCCCCTCCCTGCACCCAAACCCCTAGAAACCGCGCTTCGCGTGCTCACTACCGCCTCCCTAAAATTAAATCCTGGCTACGCGCTTGGGAGGGGTGCAACTTGCCACACGCTTCTACCACTTTGGTTGCTTTGATCCATTGTCGAAAATATTTTGGCACCTATCATCCCCCCAACCACGGATACAAATCGACACCCTTGCCGGGAACATAGTTCAGCGATATAGGTGCTACACTCTCCGCTTTACCCGCGGATTTTTAGAACCACAAATTATTCCTGTGATTGATAGAATATCGAGACCATATTTGTTATTCTAATATTGCAATAAAGGTGTCAGCGTGGCTATTAATATCTGGCAATTATAATAATAACAATTAACTCTAATGATGGAAATTATGAAAATGATTTATAAATCATGTACACAAAATACGTGTAAGATGAATGACACTGACAATGAGGCTCTACAAATACGACATAAAGAGCCAACTAACGAAAGTACGTACTATTCTGCATGAATTATAAAGTTCAAAAGTAGACTCGGGGTCAATCGACTTGGGGTCAGGCGACCCCAAATCAATTTCAGGGGGGTACTCCCATTGCTGAATATACATATATATATATATATGTATACAATTCTTTGAAATGCTGGAGCACCGTAATGGCAGCACAGCTAAAGCCATGGTAATAATCTCCAAGTTTGGAAGAGTAACGTAACAAGCACTATATAAGAACTGAGTATCATTATTATTATCATTATATAGTGTTCACTTTCTGTGCTAAGAAAACAAGGCCCTGAGAATATCACAAAATGTGCATCCCTTCTGCTATATCACCATAACAGGAGTGTTGGTATTGGAATCTGCTCCATGGCATCTCGCATCGTTGCTATAGCAACCCCTCTACTGCTGCTCCTCTATGATGTATGGGCGCCTGGTCCCCTTGTTCTCCAGACCATAGCTGCTCTGGTGACGGCTGGATTGTGCTTTATCCTCCCAGAGACGAGAGGCAAGAAACTACCAGAGACTCTTGAAGATGGTGAAACGTTTGGAATGTAGGTGAACCAGTTATTATAATAAAGAAAGATACATATTTAGGTCTTTTTACTCAGAGTTGTCACATTAGTGTTAATTATGCTCTTCCTGGATGCCATGCAATGATAAATATTATTTCCCAAAACATTGCTGAATACTACAACTGGGTTGACAGAGGCAAATGTGGGTATTACACACAAAAACACGTTTTCGAAGGATTTAATCATCGAGTAAATGTTACATTTCCAAAATAATTATGCAGATTCATGTTAAGAATGAATTCCAAGCGACTTATAACTTAAACGTAGGAAAATTTAACATATTCTAATATCAAACGCATAATTTTTGTTTGTTTTTCTCACAATCATCATTTCCAGAAAATCGACAGAAGAAATTCAAAGCATGGACAAATTACGGTGCGTCTGCAACATGAACCAAAGTGGACAAAGAATGACGAAATCTATTTTACATCGCTGACATGATTTTGTACATAATGACACAATCAAATACCCACGCGATAATCTAAAAGAAAATGTATCATTATAATTTTGATGGATTTGTTTTTCTTCTTCTCGCTGCAGCAGGCCTGAATCAATATGTTACTAAGATTTATGACGAATTTTGTAATGAATTAACGGTTACAATACAGATTCAGATTCTCATTAATGTTATTTCTTTATCTGTTAATATTGCAAAAAAGAAGTCACAGTTTATTATCATTGTTTTCTAAGGATTTTAACAAAATGTATTACGGACTACTTTCGGGACACCGTGATTTCAATGACATATTTTTGAATATTTCTTTTGTCTTTCAAAACAAATATTTTAAGAATATAGTTCAAGATTACCGTCAAAAATTGACGTATGGAAGAATAAACAGAGCATTTGGTGAAAAATACTTTTTACAAAATCATTGGTTTGAAAACTAGCCTTTTCAACTATTTTTGAACCCAAATGCTTAATGTCGGGATTGTATTTAATGTTATACTGTATCAATAATAAAAAAAAAAAAGATATTGGACTGTATCCAAATCTTGTAGTTTTGTTTCACAAACATGATGTGTATCGAGAAACATAAGAACATTAATTGATAATTAAATTTCAGTTTATTTCTCCTCATCTACTAGTCGTGGGAAATCGATACATAAAGTTTGGTGTAATAGAAAAGTCATCATTTGACGAATCATTTAACTTTTTCCAGTATATCATAGATTACGATAGATTGACAAAAGTTGATAGTTTTATATTCTTACAGGAATATTTAAACCCAGTTACGTGTGATATCAACAGCTCAATTGGAATACTTAGAGGTAGAACGAAGGCAACAACTTAAGTAGAAGGCAGGGGATGTCAAGTCCAAGGTGTTTGAAAAGAGGGAACGAAGGAAAAGGGTTTGGGGCTAGATTGTTTCTTTCAATAAAGTAACGATTCATAGCTTCAATTATGTGGATGATATATTGAGAATTATGAAAATCCAAAGTTTTACCATAAAAAAAGCAAAACTTGTTTTAGTTTTTTGTGATGAAGTAAATGTGCAGTGCGTTAATATTTTCCCATTATGTAATTGTGCTATATCTTAGTCATAGTCATTGGAATGTATAATGATGAATTATGTTGTATTTACGTTCGTTTATCAAATGACAAAAAGCTTTGTTATAATTATAATTCAGATTGTATAAGCAAAGACTACGGAACATTTTTTGTTTCTATGATATGTACAAACAAGAATTGGATTTTTGATAAATAAAATTCTATGAATTACAAAACAAAGTATACCGTAAAGTTATATCCATGTTAACTAAACTTTCGCATCATTCAAACACAAGATACAGGGACAATGCTTAGTCATCACTATATCACATGTCAAGTTCACGGAGGCTAGCTATGGCAGGCGCTCAATGCCATAAAGATCGATCGTAAATGCATAAAACAGGGCAAAACGCTTAGTCACCCATGAATCGCATATCAGACTCATTGGGGCTTTGGTAAAAGTTTGTTCTCTTTTAGAATTATCAGGCAAAGATCAATCTCTTTGAACATTCTTAATGACACTTTAATGCCCACGATGCAATACCGTATCTAACTTTGCAATTAATAAAACAAACTTGTGTAAGCAACTAAAGTACAAAGGTAAAAACACCAATGAAGTATAAGAGGAATATGCATACAAATTATGAAAAGAGGGGGATGCAGACGTAGCACCGCCATTACAAGTTAATGGATTTTCTACATTATTGTCAGCGAATCTCAACATTTATGACTTTTCTTTTGGTTAAGGCGTTGAAAAAATACGTTCTGTAGCGACGGCAAATTTGAAAATATGAAGACCCTCTGTTTTCATGGTTTTGCATGCTGACAATTTTCCGAGGTAAATTTGTTGTGAGCCCCCCCCCCCCACCCTCCCCCTCCCTCACCCTCCCTCACCCTCCCTCATCCTCCCTCACCCTCTTCCGCACACATTCATGATTGTCATGTGACTCTGATATAATTATGTTATAAAAGCTGGTTGATATTAGTACATCGACATTGAGTGTTTGATACGTAACATAAAAAGAACATGGGTTTCGACGATTTTCTACCTACGCTTGGGGAGTTTGGTACCTACCAAAAGATCATCTGTGCCCTGGTGTCTACCTTCCAATTTCCAGCTGTTACCAGTGTACTCGCTATCGTTTTCCTGGCAACTCCGGCTAACCTTTGGTGTTCTGTAAGTCCAGTAAAAGAACGAGTAACATTTGCTTGATCTTAAATTCTTTTGCAAGCTATGGTGCCTGATTTCAAATGTTCAGCAAACGCACCCTCTCCAAATGCATGACCTTGATGGTCTGTGCTATAAAATTAATTGCGCAAACGATGTCAGATTATTATTGGCATGTTCTCTTATAAAATTGACCCGAGACTAAACTTTGTTACGTTTCGGGAAAGTGGTCAACGGGAGTTTGTTCAGCCTTCCAAATTTAGTATTATGGCTTTGGGGCCGGTTGATAAAAAACAAATAGGAAATTAATGTAGAAAATGCTGAGAAAGAAAGTAGACCTTCCAAAAACAAAGCAGATTGGAACCTGATCAGACTTGTTTGATATTGCAACCAACTAGCTCCTTATAAGAGAACTGAGTTGTTGTGTGGACGTATTCAGCTAACATTTTTAACACGAGGGTGTGGCCGTGTGAGTAATACTACAATATTCTAAATGGGCACAGGGTCTGCAGTTTTTACTCAAGGGATCTGACTCTGTATTAGAATTGTACCTTACACGTACTTTCACATTTTGCTTTAATACTTTACTAGGTTTCTAACTGGGATACTGCCAACTGCACCGGGTTAGGACTAAATGAAAGCGACTGTGCATTTTTATAGGAAACATCTGAGCATTCCACATTTTGTAGCAGACGACCATACGATTGTATACGATCAGTGTTACAAGTACGATGTCTCCCAGGTATCGTTTAGCGATGCAATGTCGTTCTTTGCGGAAAACACTAATCAGAGTGAAAATCTTTATGACGTCATATCATGTGATCAAGGATTTGAGCATGACAGGGAATGATCGCCGCTGTTTACCATAACTCAATCGGTAACATTTTGGAATATGACTTCATCAAACGTTAAAAAATTATGCCTTGAATATTTGATTTCAAGTGGATTTATATGACTATTATTATTATCAGTATCATTAAAATAATTATTATATACCTCACTTAAGAAATCCAGCCATCTGATTGGTCGAAATTGCATTCATAAACTTGAACTATTCCTGGAAAATTCCCGGTAAAATTCCAAACCCATGTGATAGTTCTAAAATAATAGTTCTAAAATCCCGTCAAAATTCCAGTTACCATGGTTACCGGAAAATAGTTCAGTCTTAAAATGTCTTAATGTTAAAAACTGGTTTGAGCGATCGAGGATACCGTACGTGTGCGAAGAATTGGTGGATATTTTTTATACAGCACAGCACAGAGCAGACGACCGTACGTACGGCATTCTCGGGCAAAAATGGCTGAAGAAACTCTCCCAAGACTTCTTGATGATGATCAAATGCAAGACTTGCTGACAGCAAGAACATCAAAAGGATACGTCAAATTCTCCATAATATATTGAAAATAGATCTAGTATTAGTGCTAAAATCCTTCCCATAGACTCTCATGAGTGCGCAATGCATAGGGATGTGTGCAATCTCTATTGCACACATCCCTATGCATTGCGCACTCATGAGATTCAAACTAATATTGCTCGTGATCCTGAAGGTGATACTCAATAAGTGAGGTGTCATAATTATGATAGAGCAGGTTCTTCTCCATATTCCCCACAGGGCCGGCCCACCTCCAAAATTGTAAAAATATCTTCCTTAGACTAGAATCTAGATCTAGTCTACTCTCAAAGATACATTCAGTCATAGTCATAAAGAACAACCCTGCAGATAAACTAGAGAAAGGCCGAGGTTGTGTCAAATGTTGACTCTTTTTCGGCATATAAAAGTATTAATGACTACTTTAATATTCGAGAAATAGTTGTTTTAATACGCTCTCGGGAAGGTTACAATTGGGCTTTTGCCCTCGGCACGCCTCGGGCAATAGCACAATTGTAACCTTCCCTTGAGCGTATAAAAACAACTATTTCTCTCAAAGCAGTCATTAATACTATTATATCATTGTTACTATTATTTTTTCAAGAAGATACTTTTGTTCTTCGTAATTATTGGTCTAAAAACCTCAATATTCAATCAAACATATAAAAAACTAAAGTAATTTTAATCTTTTTTTTTAATGAAATTCTTACTAACTTTACGAAATTTTTGGAAATCCTTTTACAGCAAATTGAACATATTTTCAGGGAATAATTTCTTGTTGTGGTAGGGATATGCAAAGAAACTGGTATAGTTATGTAATGGTACATCCATCCATCTCCCCGAGGTGGGAGGGGGTCGCATAGTATCATTGTCATGACGCACGGAAATACAGAGCTTATCAATGTTATTGTGCTGCATGTATTATGTCATACAGTTTTTATACTTTGTCTACTTTTCAAACTCTCAAACAGTTTGACCTGATTTGTGACCGGAAATACCTGATCAACCTATCCCAATCCCTCTTCTTCGTTGGCGTACTGATCGGATGTGTGACCTTTGGTGCAATAGCCGATAGGAATAAGGCTTTATACAGGGTGCCCCAAACAAAATGGACTAGCATACTCTCAATGACGCGGGGCAAATTCCAACGGTACCACAAGCTAGGGAATCTTTCCGGAAGAAATATGATATCGAATATGAGAAATCTTGTTAGGTTTTTTTTGTTATAGACACATTTTTGTGAAACGGTATTGACGACATCCACTGGCAGTGCTCCTTGTAGAAAATATTGTATTATGTTTGAGCTTTAGGCAAGCTGTGATGAACGTCAATTTGAACACAAACATAATATTCTACACACTTTTTCCTTTCTTTTTGGGGCATTTTAATGACCTTTTACACAGACATGAAATTATTTAATTAATTAAAAACGAAATTTCGTGGATACTGGAAAAATTTGAACTTCCACCTTGCATCACAAACACATTATTGGAAGTATATATGCTAGTTTGTTTTTTATTGGGTCACCCTATATTAGATTTCGGATTTAAAACATTTCAGGGACGGGTTTCTGTCATTGGAAGAAGAAAAATATTTCTTAAAAAAGTTAGCGGAATTGTAATGATTAGCAGCTAACTTCCTTCGTAACCGGTAAAAAATATCTAATAAACCTTTAGCAGGCTCTCTTTTTCAATGTCCTTTGGTGCAACTACGCACATGTAATGTTCAATATGAAATTAGGTACGCTTCTGTCATGTTTGATGCAAACAAAAATCACAGACAAATGTCAACTTTCACAGGGATCTATGATTGCATACAGTGTTGAATATGGGCGGTTTTTTTTTTGAGTGTGTGTGTGTGTCTATCTGTAATTTTGTACCTTGATTTCTTTGTTTACTTTGTCCTTTGTACCTGTAGATTCGGGAGGAAAGTAACCCTCATCCTTTGTAACATCATCTTTGTGTTGATCGGCATTGGTGCTGCGTTCTCACCCAACTATATCACTTTCGTCGTGATGAGAACAATAGAAGCGGCAGCCTGTTTCGGCTTTGCTCTTATCTCTTATGTAATAGGTTAGCCAGCCCACTTTGTCTAAAGGAAAACAATTTATTTTTTTATTTTTTCATTAAACAAAATATATGTTAATTTATTTATTTGGTAATATTATTATGATTTCACCTTATTTATGGTTTATTTATTTATTAAATTAATACATTTTTGGAGGTGAGGGTAACAACTATCCCATGAACCCTTTTAACACACCAAATCATGTACATGTATATGTAAGTAGGACCTACACAGATTGCGCACCATACTTAGCTTTGTGCCTGTCAAACTATATATATATACCAAAGGTACATGTAACCAAAAACGTGTTTTCCTCCTTTTTCGCCGCATCCTTATGCGAAATTGTTCCTCCCACTTTTAACAAATCCTTGATTTTTCTTTACATATGTGTTGCCCTATTCACCAATAATGTTATATTTCATTGGATATCCCTTTTCTCATGGTTTATTAAGTAGGGATGGGAATTTTACCGGGCTACGAAAACGAATAAATATTTCAAGTTTTAGGTATAAGTCTTATTAGTCCTGTGCCCTTCTATAATAGTTTTGCGGTGGTTTCGGGGGGTTTCGGGTTTGCCTAGGATTAAACAGTGTGATGCAAACTCAAGGGACTTAGGACCGATAGTATAACTGCTTTTGGTTACCACTCACAGCCAAATGGGATTAATTTGCTGTGTAAGATACATGCATATATACATGCATATATAAATATGTTTTGTTTGAAAATTATCCTGATTGTATATGTAACATGGAAACAAACACATTCGAAAGCTAGAACATATTTCATTAAAATCTATCCGTATTGTACAAATAAATCACACTTACTTAATCACACATTACTATAGACGGTTTCTCGAAAACAATTAATATGATCTTAATGCGATGAATATAGACGAATTCAAAAGATAACAGTTTTTGGTTCCATGTTAAACAAAATTATCACAAGTTATTAAGAATTTTCGGGTTCGTAATAATTAATTAATTTATTGATCTCTCCGAGATGAAGTACTGAATTACTTTACTATTTATCCGTTAACGAGACTTTCTTGTATTTCTTTCTTCAGGTACAGAGTTTGTAGGTCCGTCGAAACGTGCGTTTGTCAGCGTCATGTTGACAGCTGCGTTCCCGTTAGGATATATTCTACTCACTTTCTACGCCTATTTTATCAACAATTGGCGCCATCTTCTACTAGCTCTTCATTTGACCTTTGCCATCTACTTCTTCTTTTACCTGTGAGTATACCTCTTCTTGTTTTTTATTTCTAATTTGACAAATGACAAGCGAATTAACATCTTCTATAATGGACCTTTAATATGGCAAATTACCCTAGTGCTAAACTAGTTATCTAATCAGGTCTACATTACTACCACCGCTGCTGCTGCTGCTACTACTACTACTACCTCTACTACTAATACTACTACTACTTCTACTACCATTACAACCACTTCTACTACCACTACTACCACTACTATCACTACTACTTCTACAGCCATATAAGCCCCTTCAGCCTGAGAACTGAAATATACAGTAGTTAGGCAACCGTCACCTCATAATCGGGCTGCGAGTTCGACTACTACACTCTAAATGAAAACTGCTCAATTTGAGTAAAATGTTACTCTTTTAAGTAGTCAAAAGGGAACCACCCAACTTTTGAGTAAACTTTACTCAGCATGTGTTGAGTAACAAATCTACTCATCTGTTGAGTAAAAATATTACTCAATAAAAGACTAAATCTCTACTCAGTTTGAATGAGTCAACCTTTACTCAATATTTACTCCTTTGTTGAGCGGTTCCCTTTTTAATCAACTCATGTCGAATAAGAAACTGCTCATGAGTTGAGCCAAATTCTACTCAATTAACGAGTACATGTTTTGACTCAAATTGTTTGAGCAATTTTTTGCTCAAATATTGAGTATGATGGTTTCTGGGTTACGCTTAATTGCTTAATCAATATTGAGTAAAAACATGTACTAACTTATTAAGTATATTTTTTTTACTCAATACTGATACAAACAAAAGTGGATTCAACTAGGGTTGTTACTGTTTGACTAAGGGTTTAACTAAACCGCTGATTAATATTGTGTTTTTTTAAACAGCTATTAAGTAACCATTATTTGTCAATAGAGAATATAAACCATAATTTTTCCTGATTTCTAAATTTAGCATTGATTTGAAGTTCTTCACTCACACACTATGCAAATAATATAAAGTCCACGACATTTAAAATTCAGTAACATAATTTGTGGACTTTAATTTCCAAAATCAGTTTGAATCACAGTGAAAACTCAGAGTTCTCTCATCATACATGATATTAAAAAGTATGTAGTTTAAAAATTTCAATTTTAAAACACCGTTACTTTACATCTTCAATAGAAAATTAGAAGTATACTTAACAAGAGAAATCTGTAAATTTGGCTGTAACACAATAATTTTAAACTTTAGTTTAAAACTTATCCTATCCATTTCCAAGGAATAGAAGGTAATAGTTAGGACAGTAAAGAATATGTATTTTTCAAAGTCCAGATGTATGTCCACCATGCAGTGTCCATTTCTATAATAATCAATCTAATATCACACAAATTGTCATAATTTGGGCCCAGGGGGTAATTGTCCTAGAACCTTTAATTTTTTGTTAGTCACGGTACCCCCTTAAGAAATGAAATGTTTCTCCCAAATCCCAAACTCTTTACAGACTATTAATTTTGCATGACTCTGGCACTCGTCAAGTGCTATGCACACACGTATGGACACATTTAAGAATAAAAAGGAAAAGACATTTTCAAACTGGTAAAAAATTAGTTTGTAATCCAAACACTAGAAATGATTTAAAGTACTGTATGCGGGCACCTTGCAGCCGAATGTACATGAATAAAAAGTGATGTAATCGGTCACGACTTTGATACACGAATATGAGGATATTCGGGCCTCTCGTTGCCCTTGCTGTCAAAATATTGTCAGCGAGCGAGGAAAGAAGACACTTTAATATCTTCAAAAATGTATTTTCTCATGTTATTACATATTTTAACCGTTTCTGATATTTGATTTTTTTTACAAAATCAACGTTTTCCAAATCATTCTCTTGCGGCACCCAGTTGAAAAACACTGTGCTGGAGTTACAAAATCAAATGAGATGAATCACCAGAGAGCGGATATTTATCTTCTTTTGACATGGCACCGTACATATAAGGCAATTTCTATTTCAAAATTATTTAACGTACACGAAAACATATTATACGTCAGCATGACAACAGAGATGAATAGATAACGTGAATAAAACTTTAATTTTGGATCATGGATGAGGGCCCATTATACATACAAAGACAAATACACGATCAGCTGATTAAAAACATTACAGATGATGCATTAAAGACATCTTACATCCTAATTTCTTTGTTGTGCCATTGTTGGTGAGAGAGAGGCTGTAACGCGTACTCATCTGCGCGCAATGAATTGTTCAATTTCTAAGAAATGTAATTTCTGTTCTTTACTCGGTAGCAAAACTACGGGGGAATTGGGCAACCTCAACCCCACCATATCGAATTGAATAATTTGAAAAGACTGAAATGAACTTCATAAAAAAAACAAAGAAAATGAAGGTTTATGAAATTTTCTGTAAATAGCAATTTGGAGAGAATCTTGCATTATACGTCACAGTGTTATAAATTCCTCGGGGTGATTGTCATTGGGGGTAGTTGTCCTTCGGGAGTTAATAGGGACTTTTAGATTTGCGTGGACTGATACGTATGACGTCCATTCAAGGCAGTGCATTAAAAGGACGTCGATCGTAGCAATCCCCGTTGTCGTTGTGCAAATCTAAAAGTCCCTATTGTCTTTGTGGGGGGTGGGTTGTCCTCGGAGGGGGAGGGGTATTTCTCCTCGGGGGTAGTTTTCCTGGGGGATAGTCTGTTGTCCTCGAGGGTAGTTGTCCTCGGGGGTAGTTGTCCTCGGGGGGTAATTTTCCGGGGGGTAATTTTCCGGGGGGTAATTGTCCTTGGGGGGGGGGGTAAATGTCCTCGGGGGTAATTCTCCATTTGTTTGAAACTGGCGTGAAAATTTAAAAAAAACTAATGTTGTAATCATGGTCTTAAATAAATTATCTACTCTTGAATGTACTTATCAGTATTATGATATATATTAACATCTGACATCATTTGTACATTTTTACGAATATAATTACTCTAAGGGAAAACAAATTACTTTAAGGAATTCTATTTCGAATATAAACCAAATTGTATTATGACACCAATCTATAATTTTGTTTATAATTTCCAAATGAAACTTTTTACAGTAGAGCTCGAATATACTACCCGAAGGATGGCATTTCCAATTTGGACAATGGCTATGATTTTCCATAAGGACAGATTATATGTCTTTATCATCATGTCCCGAAATTAAAACAACAATAAAATCAAGTAAAAATAGTTCTCACTAAAACAACATTGCCTGCTTGTCCGGACAGTTATATTTTATTTCCTTCATGTCGATGATTTTAGCTTCATCCCAGAATCAGTACGTTGGCAAATCTCTAAAGGTCGGTATAAAGAGGCTCAAGCAACTGTTAAAAGGGTAGCTAAGATCAACAAGGTCAAACTCACAGATGATTTCTTCTACCAGCACAACTTTTACAGGACAAGGGTAATGTTCAAACAATGATACCTTCAAGTTGGCTTTGATATGTTTAAATCAAGAAACGGCTCTATGGTGAAAATATTTTAGAAACGGAAATGTTCTACCATTTCTGTTGATTTATTAATTTTGTTTTGATACGATTTAAGTCTTGATATTTCTTTTTAGTTTGTCACTATTTATAAATGTGTGCGTGTGTGTGTATGTGTGTATATGCATACGTGGAAACACGGGGGCGACGGGCCCGGAGAGGAAAGGGAAGGGAAGAAAAGGGAAAGAAAGAAGGGCTAAAACACGAGTTAGAAGTGGACCCAAGGAACTCATTTATCCTCAGGGGCGGATCTACGGGGGTGGTTGGGGGATTAACCCCACCCCTTGCGCTGCCAAGTAAAAATATGATGTGCATAGAAAAACGCCATCATGTGTCCAGACTTTTTATGGTCTTCATTGTGTTAGTAGATGCCAGGAAAACATCACTTACGGGGGTAAGTAGGACCACAGAAAAAAAATCGCCTCGCCGCTACGCGGCTCGCAGCACCCCCCTAGCAAAGAGCTAGATCCGCCCCTGATCCGTAAATAGGCAGGTCCAGCTAGCTCAGAGATTCAGGTCGTTTTTAGGTCAGAACTAGCCCTAATTCGTGTTTTAGGCCGATGATCGCTCTACACTGGGCCTTACAAGTTACAACAATCAAAAGTATATCAAGACTCAGTTAGCTTCAGGTCCATCTGTCAAATCATCATGCTGGTCGTTACATAATAATCAGGGGGGAGGGGCTCAAACCCCAATTACTTTAAAAAAAAAAAGTATGTTAAAGAGAATATAAGGAAACCAACGAAGGCCCCGGCAAAAAAAAAATACATTTTTTCTGCGAAATGTGGGACCACATTCACCTAAAAGCGCGCTTGAGCTAACCTAATTAAGCAACAACAAAACAAACCCGCAAAAATAGCGCTAATTCAGAATCATATCCATACTTTGACCCCTAACTCCGGCGTGGAGATACCCTACTAGAACATACTAAAAAAATTAACTACATCTTCATCAACTGTTCGAATAATGGTAATGGTTTAAAAGTTGATATGTTTCTTACTTGTTTGGATTGTTTTCCCTTTTTATAAGGTGTAATTTTTTGCACTGCGTCAGTTATTTGGTTGTCAACATTGTTGCAATTGAAGATCTTGTTTAGAAATTAAATAAAAAAGGATAAACGTTATACTCGATGAACTCTTGATCTTGTTGAGGGAATCATTACTGTGTTTAGTAATACATTTATCAATATCAAACAATTACACCTAGAGGTACCGGTGTCATGTATACCAGTATCTTAAGGACTTTTTGTTACACTGACGTACTATATCCATGCGGACTGCAAACATAGTCCCGCGTCTTGTGTTTACAGTCTTTTCCCAAGGAGAACCTCCAAGATATCCAAGGCTTATCACGAACTTATACTGAAAAAGTCACAGATTTTAAATGATATCCTGGCAAAAAGTATACACCAAATCACACGGATTGAGTTAGAAAATCAGCCCCTGGTAAATGTGTGTGCGCGCGAACGCGTGGGCGTATGTGTCCGCATGTGTGGGAATGGTGGGTGTAAGGGTTTCGTTAGGCACTTTTTCCTTTTATGAATAATTTATGATAAATAACCTTGTTTAATGTGTTGTTTACAAAATTGGCTTACCAATGTAAACTAACAATTCTTGCCTTTACTCTCCACAGAGGGAGATGTTGTGTTCTTTGCTAATATGTTCTACCAAAGGTAATTCTCATATATACTCCTCTTTATTTTCCACAAAGGAAACGACAAATCCTGAGAGGAACCATGATCCGAATCTTATCGATCTCTTCCGAACACCTGTCCTACGAAAAAGAATGATCGTGTTGATCATTGTTTGGTAAGTGCATTAATGTTAATCAGACCGAACGTTGGAATATCAACCAGAAAGGTAATAATAGTAATAATAATAAAGAATTGTTGAAAGGTACGTTTATATCACGCAGATATCCATCCTATAGGGATGCCCAAGGCGCCGGCTGATTTAATGACAGCATTCAATCAATTCCTCTCTTCAAGATATCTCTTTACTACACCTGGGTTGAGAGTGGCATATGTTTGGTCGCAGATCATGGGTTTCGCGGCTCGAACGGATAAATGCTTGAGCATTGTTTGTTGGTGCATCCACCTGCACGCCGCATAAATTAAAGGAACTAGTTTCGTCGTTAATGATCTCAACTGACTTGTAACGCCGTCTTTGTCCTAGGGATCTTGGTTTACCCTCTGTAAACATATTGATTATTGTTCTCTAGAGTATTCTGTCTTGAACCATGTACAATTAACTAAGACAAGCGACAGCCCTGTTGACCGTTTAGTTTCGTCGGTCAATCTAAAATATTTGTCTGCCTCTTCTCCACAAGCCCTCAGTGTCTCTTTGCTTAATTATCTCACAAAATATCATTATCTACTCGTCTTCAGGTAAGGCCACAGTACTTCAATTGATACGTTCTATCTTTTTTGTCACGCGGTGGAATGTACTTCCTCTTTGATCTCTTACGAAGTCATAACTTGTAACTTTCCTTCCAACATATTCTCAACATTTTCTTCTAACAACACATTTCTAAAGTTAAGATCTTTTTTTTAATTCAATCTATCTCTCTTCTAGGATGACCAATAACCTGATCTTCTACGGATTGCATCTAAGCACGGGTAGCTTCGGGGTCAATATCTACCTTAGTTTTCTTATCTCAGCAGTGGTAGAAATAGTTGCTATGATCATTTGCATCCTAGTTATCGAACAGGTTGGACGTCGATACAGCCTCATCGCTTGTCTCGCCATATCCGGCATTGCTAGTTGTATCGCCATTTTCATCCGTAAGTAAAGTCATTTGGGGAAATCCCCCGAAACGGACATGGCGCGGAATCGACATCGGTCTCACCGGCTATCAGTCTAGTGAGCTCCCGCTCCCATGGTCTCATCTACAATTCGGAAGAATACCCCCTGGAAAGGAGGAACAAAACTTTGTACCTAGGGTTCGTAGGGTTTGTAGTTTGTAGATCTTATTTTCTATTATAATGTTTCATGCTTTTTCTTGGTAAGACGCAAGATATTGAATCCGTATTATATCATTTTCCAAGAAGACACAACCCCCCCCCCCTCCTATTGAGTGTCGTAGCGTGAGACCAGTCATTGAGTGGGTACTTGCATCATGGGGGGGGGGGGGGGTATCATTGATACTAAATGGATGAGATGCAAGAGACCGAAACCATGTAGGCTAGTAGTAGTTATTTTACCTGACTTCTAAGAAAGCATAAATGCTTGTTAGTAAGCAACCAGAGGACCGACGGCTTTAATAGGTCATCTCCGAGGGACATTTTATTGATGAATCTAACTAAAATGAGATTATAAACAAAAAATTCAATTTTAGATTCACGTCCCGTTGCTCTCTCTCTCTCTCTGGTCATTCTGTTACAGATGTCGGTGCCGCAAAAACTGGGGTAGCCATGGTGGGGAAGTTTGGTATCGCTGGTTCCTGGGCGATTGGATTGATATACCCCTTTGAAATATTGCCGACTGTGACGAGGTAACACGCTGATTGATATTGGTCTTAATAAGCTCCTTTATATTATTGTTATAATATAAAAGACATATCTAATGACATTATTGCACCAAGAAACAGAAAAGAAAGATCAAGCCAGTAACACTGGAGAAGGAGTAGAGACTATATTATATTGGTATTACATTTATGCTCAGAAAGGAAATCTAATCTAAACATTCAACTGATGTTTTATGTTAAAAACTATTTATACAAAATTAAATAGCGACATTATTCGATATTAGTCATATAACATTCCTCTCACTATAATTTGTGTAACTAATTTTTAATAATTTGTAGTTTTTGGTACCTTCCTTTTTGTTCAAAAGACTTGAATGCGCCTAGCAGGCAGCCGTCTCTGTTTTTGCTCTGAATTTTACCGTGTTTTACCACTGATAATTTGAGTCTATGCTGTTTTATTGTTGATCAACTGTCATCTTATGTACTTGTGACACTGCATGACATTTTTGAGGTGATGTATTTATATATTAGATACTGGAAACGGTTTTTCTAAATTTTGATTCAACGGATGTGTACACAGTACATGCAAGTAAAGCCATTTTACATTGGGCTGTTACACATGTACTATACTGCATGGATGTGTGAACGTCGTTCGTGTGTGACTGATTTGCCTATCCGTGGTGTGACATTCATCTACATACAATGAATAGTCTTGATACGCACTGATGGATACTTACAAAGTATACGTTCTTTTCTACATTGCCCTAGGTATAACTACTGGCCTCCGTGGACATTCGAGTTACTCTAAACATGAAACTGCGTTTGTTCCCGTTCGTGCTCCTAGCCGAGCTCATAAACAGCTTCATCGTAGCGGATATCACAAAACACCAATTAAGTATTATGCTAATGCTAGTGCAACTTTCACTTTACCTATCATTTGTTGCGGTGATGTGGAATCTAACCCGGGTCCGTTCGAGTTGACATCATGCAATACAAATACAGGCGCGTAGCCAGGGGGGGGGGGGGCGGTGGGGGCGGTCGCCCCCAAAAAACGCCGGCCAAAAAAAAAAAAGAGAGAGAAAGAGAAGGAAAAAAAGAAAGAGGACGTAGGAAGAAAAAGGGAAAAGGAGTCGAGAACGGTACAATGAATCGTCAAAGCTTCCGCGCTTCGCGCGGGAAGGGAGAAACTGAGTTCAAATTAAGAAATATGAGTCGGGAAAGGTACAACAAATCGTCTTCTTTCTCTAATAATTTAATGAAACGTCAAAGCCTCGGGCGAGAGGGGGGGGGGAACAGAATTCAGACAAGGATTAAGAGTCGAGAAAGGTACAACGAATCGTCTTCTTTCTCTAATAATTTAATGAAACGTCAAAGCTTCGCGTGAGAGAGGGGAGGGACTGAATACAGATAAGGATTAAGAGTCGAGAGAGGTACAACGAATCGTCTTTCTCTAATAATTTAATGAAACGTCAAAGCTTCAGAGGGGGGGGGGGGGAACAGAATTCAGACAAGGATTAAGAGTCGAGAAAGGTACAACGAATCGTCTTCTTTCTCTAATAATTTAATGAAATGTCAAAGCTTCCCGTGAGAGAGGGGAGGGACTGAATACAGATAAGGATTAAGAGTCGAGAGAGGTACAACGAATCGTCTTCTTTCTCTAATAATTTAATGAAACGTCAAAGCTTCGCGCGAGAGAGGGGAGGGACTGAATTCAGACAAGGATTATGAGTCGAGAAAGGTACAACGAATCGTCTTCTTTCTTTCTCCCCCCTCCCTGCACCCACCCCCCTAGGGAGCGCGCTTCGCGCGCTCTTTAAGTGATTCGCACGCTTCGCGTGCTCATTACCGCCCCCCCTAAAATGAAATCCTGGCTACGCGCTTGTACAAATAAACGATATAAATATACGCGAGGTGAATTGGTTAATATTAACTCAAATTCTTGTGGGAAAAGCTTACGACTACCAGTCCAGACATGGAAAACAATTTCAGAGCTCGAAATTGGAAAAGAGTTTAAAACCCGTCGCGGCTGCAGAGCTGGTGTTCGAAAATTGAAACATTTCAAGCATCCCATTCCGATTATTCTACCTACGGCCCGTACCAAGCTTCCTAAGAAATACCCTAGGTTCCCTCGCCGAAGATGCTTGACTTCTGTCCCAGTCGCCCCTCAGTCTGGGTGCGATTTGCCTTCTTTTCTTTTAAGCAATGTCAGATCAGCATGCAATAAGTTTGATGAGCTATCAGCTGTCATCTCGTATCTTCATGTAGACATTGCAGCTATTACCGAGACCTGGTTTAGGAATGACTGTCCACTCGATAACTTCTCTATACCAGGTTATTATCTCTGCGCTAAATCACGTACTAATCGTATAGGTGGTGGAGTAGCTATCTACGTGAGAGAACTTTTGAATCCTTCTCCAGCTGATGTCCAAGTCCCTATAAACCTTGAAGTGACTTGGGTGAAGATACGCCCTCCTCGTCTTCCAAGATCCATCTCCTGCATTTACTGTGCAGTCGTATATTACCCTCAGCCTGATGTTGAACTTGAGACAGAACTCATAGATCATTTGGAAACAACTATTGATGTTATTTTAACTAATCATACGGATGCAGGTTTTGTAATATTGGGAGATTTTAATCGAATGAATATTGATCCGGTGCTTTTAACCCACTCATTTCGTCAAGTCGTTGATTGCCCTACTAGAGGGGCTCACATTTTAGATAAGATTATCACAAATATTCATCAGTTTTATGATAAACCACAGATTTGTTCTCCTATTGGAATGTCTGACCACAATTCAATTATGTGGTTTCCTCTTAAAATCAAACCTAAATTACCAAATACTACTCGTTATGTATTTAACAGACCCATGACAGATAGTGCAATAAGGGCGTTTGGACAGTGGATATCTTCTTATGATTGGCCAGAAGTGACTGAAGATGTTGATGTAAATGTTCGATGTGGTTCTTTTTATAGTACTTTAAATAATGCAATTAACATTCATTTTCCAGCTCGTAAAGGGAATTTTGTGGAAACGTTTAAGAAACAAAGTAAATTCATCAATTCAGAAAGCAAAAGTTAAATATTACAGGTCACGTATTCAGAAACTTAAGAAAAGTAATCCTTCACGATGGTATCAAGAAATACGCATTCTCACAAAGGGAAGTCGTCAATCACTCAATATCCCAGTTGATGGTGTAGATCCTAGTGAGAGGGATAAAATTGCGAATGCTATAAACGAACATCTCATATCTGTCTCTTCTGATTTACAACCACTAAATTTAGCAGCTTTACCTGCACACTTACCTTCTAAAAGTTTACCCGAGATATGTCCTTGGCAGGTTAATAAAGTTCTTTCTAAAATCAAATGCTCGACGGCGGTTGGCCCAGATAATATTTCAGCACGCCTAATCCGTCTTTTTTCTGTTGAACTCTCGGGACCTTTAACCTATATAATTAATGCTTCTTTTAGTCAAGGAAAAGTTCCGGCATCATGGAAATGTGCTATTGTAGTACCGATCCCAAAGGTGAATCCTGCACGTATTGACAAACTCAGACCTATATCATTAACAGATCACTTTGCTAAAGTCATTGAAGGTTTCATCGCAAAGTGGATGTATCAGGACATTGCCCAACATATTGACCCCTATCAGTTTGGAAACCAGAAATGTTTATCGACCTCACACTGTTTGATTAATATTCTTCATTATGTTTTTTTAAATGCTGAGGTACCAAAAACGTCATCGACGATACTTCTTACAGATTTTCAAAAAGCGTTTGATAGAATAGATCATACAGTTGCCATCAAAAAGTTAATTGAAATCGGTGTACGACCAGCGGTAGTTTACTGGATATCTGATTTTCTCTCTGAACGTAAACAAAGAGTTCGCTATCACAGTGATCTCTCAGAATGGTGTCAAATGAATGCAGGTGTGCCCCAGGGTACGAAACTTGGGCCCCTAATTTTTCTTGTGATGATAAATGATTTCAAATCTTTTGAAAGCATACATATGTTTAAATATGTCGATGATCTAACCCTAGTTGAGTGTCGTAAAACGAACCAAATTTCAAAGATGCAAGAAGCTGTAGAATGTTTATCTTTGTGGGCTGATACTAATAAAATGCAATTGAATCCTGCGAAGTGTATCAAAATGGACATTTGCTTTTCAAGAGTACCAGTCAATCAGTCTTCCATCATTCTCGAAAATTGTGTTCTTTCAACTGTTTCACAGGTGAAATTACTTGGTGTCACGATACAAAACGATTTGAAGTGGGAAGCCCATGTCAGAGATATTGAAAAAAGAGCGAATGCGAAACTATATATGCTCCGTTCTTTAGGGAAGTTCGGTTTTTCACATGAAGATCTGATTACTATTTTTATTGGCTATATTCGCCCAATCCTTGAATATGCTACTCAAGTTTGGAGCGGAGGCCTCACTAGTGCACAAAAACAACGCATAGAAAGAATACAAAAACGTGCATTGAGGATTATCTTTAGAAAGGATTACCATAGTTACGCAAACGCTCTCACTAAATCGAAATTACAAACATTGGAAAGTCGTCGAAATGACTTATGTGTTACCTTCTTTAAAAAAACTCTATCATGCACAAACCAGTTCAAACAATTTATACCCCAAAGAGCACACAATAGAACTTTGCGAAGAACTAACAAGATCCCTGAACCCAGGTGCAAAACTAAACGTATGCAGAATAGCCCAATCCCAGATTTGATACGCTTGTATAACAAAAGTTTTTTATGATTGTATTTAATATACTTTGAAACAAATAGTATATAATTAATTCATAAATTTGAGGTCTGATTTTTTTACCAAGTTTGTCAATGTAATTTTTATGACATGAAGAATGCGATGCATATCTATATTTATATTTTAATATCTCTAATGTTCACCTAATAATATTCATATTTGTCTTGCAATGTATCTTTGTATTTTATCAGCATGTACATAATTGTTTTCCCTCTCTGTCCATCTGTCCCCTTTCTCCCCTCTCTCTCTCTCTCTCTCCCTCTTTCTCTCTCTCTCTCTCTTTATCTCTCTTTCTTTCTCTCTCTCCTGCTTTCCTATCTCTCTTTCTTTTTTAACTCAAATTTTTAAATTGAAATATTATATAAGATTAATGGTATATACACGCTCTTCATAATTATGTAGATTGTAGTGTGACATCTTGAAATGTATACTTGCTTTTTCCAGCAATTTACTCATGTGCAATTCAGTTACTTTTTACTGTGATATCTCTTGAAATGTATAATTGTCTTCACCATCAATGTTTTATTCATGCACAATTCAGTTACTTGTAACTGCGATACATGGAAATGAATCAATAAATACCATTTATCTATCTATCTATCTATCGTTTGTTTTTACGCGAAAGGGAATTAACAGCTGTGCGAATCATCTACCATATCAAAATCTATCCCATCCTTCTTTCCTTCTCATACATAAAAGGAGTGTGGGCATTGGCATCTGCTCCTCGGCATCTCGTGTTGTTGCTATAGCAACCCCTCTCATGCTCCTCCTCTATGATGTATGGCCACCTGGTTCTCTTGTTCTCCAGACCATAGCTGCTCTGGTGACGGCCGCTCTATGCCTCATCCTCCCTGAGACCAGGGGCAAGAAGCTACCCGAGACGCTGGAAGATGGTGAAACGTTTGGAATGTAGGTTGCCTCTAATGTGCCAATAATAATGACTGTATCATATGTTAAGATCCTTCAATCTTTTTACCAAGTTTAGAATGGACGAGATCCGGGGAAAAGGGATTGGGGAGGGGGTCAATTAACCCCCCCCCCCCTGCACACGTACACATCGGTAAAATGTTAAACATGTGCTTTATAGACAAATGATGCCTCATATTGTTTTTGCAAGAAATGTTGGCGGAACTTGTGAACAACTCTAACAAACAGTTTCTTTTTAGTTACTTCTGCTGGTATTTAACTTTCTGGTTTTAGCTTTCTTCTGGTATTAAACTTGTTTTGATTGATTGTATAATTATGTCGGAATAAAGGAAACAAAAAGGCTTGTCCAATAACTTATCAGCGTCTGAATTGACCTTTTGACCTTGAATTCCCCGATGCAAGCGCACCAATGACGTCATCTTCGCTAAATCGGTGTCTTTTATCGTAAAATGCTACACTTTCACAATGTTTATACATCTTTTTTTAATTATTAGTAAGATATAACATATTTTGTCTGATGTCACTGCAGTTTTGGGTTTTATTTAATGAGTAATTTTAAAACAAGAGCCATTTTACTGTTTTAATTTACTGGATCGTACCATTAAAGCCGCAGGGTAGAAAGATGCATTTTCCAACAGCACCAAATTTAATTTACGTTCTGACATTCTCTTAAATGGGCTCGTGTTGTTAAGAATCCACTGCTTTCTGGTCCACCAAACGTCCACATGCATGGTCATTTATTAACTAAATTATTCAAAGTTATGGATGCTTCCTTCCCAGGTGTTTGTGTTGTTGAAGCATTTCATTCACCTGCAATCTTTCTTTGTACTCCAATTGCCAGAACGCAAATTACATTTTGGTTTTATAGTTTTATCGGAGTCATTTATCAACTAAATTATTCAAATTTATGAATGTTTCCTCCCCAGGTGTTTGTGGTGTTTATGCATTTCATTCACCTGTTATTATTGTTTGTACTACAATTGTTAGAATACAAAAAATGCATTATGGTTTTATAGTTTCAAGTCAATAAAAAAGTATGTTCTGCACAATACAAAAAATGTGTGTCCCTATTGTACAATGTAATGTGTCCCCTCATTTTGTAATAGTTAATTTACCCATTCACATAATGGAACTACCTGCCCGATGAAGCCAGTGGCCGGTGACCCCTGAGCACTCAACACCGTGTGGGAGCCAGTTGGCGGTCAACTTCTTTTATGAGACAAATACAAGCAAACGTTTCCATATGCGGGTTCGATTCCCGGCGGATTTTTTTACCTTTGCAAAAGATTCCAAAAGGGACGACAGAAATGAGGAACTTTCATCTAAGCTATGCAACCATCATTCTCTCACTTGCTTTCGAATTTTATTTATTTCCACGAGAGTTGCCACAACTGTTATACGGGTTATTTCCCCACATTTTTTTTTTATATATAAAGTGTGTCCCAGAAAAAATTAAACCAAGAATTATCGATGCTTTATTATAACTTCATCGTAATAATAATCAATATATGACACATATTTGTAAAGCTTAGATCCTCCCTTTTCATTTGTTGCAACTCATATGATGCATATTTCACGCATGAGTGATTGAAATGAAGAGAGGAAACCAAAAATTCATTTGACGGGCGGTATGTGGATTTCAAAAAGAAAATAATATTTCTAGAAGGTTCAATTTCTGCCCTTTCATATGACACCTCAATCAGGAAAAATGAGCCAGGAATAACAAAGTTCTGTTTGTTTAAATTAATGCTTGCATTTCCATGATTTGATTAAACGAGTTTGTTTTCACTGGCTGCTTGCCGTAGCAACTAACAGAGTTGACAAAAGACTTAACTCCGTTTCGTTGACGATCAGCCATGCATCAAGTCTTTCATCTTCCTTGTTTTTAATTACTCATGCGTGAAATATGCATCATATGAGTTGCATCGAATGAAAGAGGAGGATCTATAAGCTTTGAAAATATGTGTCATTTATTAATTATAATTGTGATTAAGTTATGATAAAACATCGATAATTCTCGGTTTCGTCTTTTCTGGGACGCATTGTATATATATATATATATATATATATCGACAGATGCTCAGACCTAATAAGTCTCCAGGTTAGGCTTACCCCCCCCCCCCCTCCATTCTCTATCTCTCTCTCTCTCTCCCTTACCTCTCATTTATCTGTCTCCATCATATCTCTTTATTTCTCTCACTCTCTTTCACTCTCTTTCACTCTCTATCATATTTTGTATCTATGTTGCTCGCTCTCACTCTCCCTTTCTCCATCTCAGGTTAATTTTTATCTTGTCTTTGACCCTCCATCGAAATTCGATAGGATCTGTCTAGCAAAGATTTACGACAGAGCTTTGCCGTATAACCATACATGTCGTTCAAGAACATTTTGGGATTCATCTCCCTCTTTTCTTTTCTTTTATATCTGTGATGCTAAGAACGACGAATTAAAGAGAAAATTATTGGGTGGAGGGGGGAGGGGGGGGGTGACTCTCTGAAGAGCCTGAGACAATAAGTCAAAGAGAAGGGGAAAATGATGAGGAGGGGGGGGGGGGACAGACATTGAGAAAGACACAGGAATGTTGGGCAGTGAAAAAGAATGAGAATAATAGATAGAAAAACAAGAAGAAAGAGAGATTGGGTGAGACAGAAAATATGGGAAGAGAGCACTAATCAAGAGAGATAATGAGAGGATGAGGTTTTGTCTAGGGGATAGGGTGAGATACAAAGAGACAACTTAAAGAGAAAGAAACAGAAAGCGAAACAGACCATGCAGATAGAAATGAAGGGGTAGAAAGTGGAACACAAAGAGAGTGAACAAATAGGAAGGGAAAGAAGGGGCCAGAGAGGGAGAAAGAGTGAGGGGGAGGAGAAAGATAAAATGAGGACATTAGGAAAAGGCTGTACTAGTTTCATAGTATTCACTACAGAGATACAACAACTTAAACGTTGAAAGTTAGAAACACAGACTCTGGTGGTTTGGTGAGGTGCTTCATTTAATGTTTCGAGTATTACAGGTGATAGTATTTTTTTAAATGACTTTTAGTAACAATAAGCTTACTAAAATGATAAATACATTTCTTGAATTATCACTACATATTTAATGTTGAAGAGGTGTAGTCTAGACTATTTAGACCTTTTCCCAAATTGATCGAACCAGAGGAGATAGTGGCCCTTCATTACGTCGGCCTGTCAGCTCTTTTCGATGTTCCATTTTTCTCTGACTCTGTCCTCGAGAGGCATGTTAAGCATCTGAGATTGTGAAAAGTCAACAAACATAACTTTGATCAAAACAAGGACATCTTCTCTATCTTTGTGACACACTCTTTTGAATATCATAAACATTTTAAAGGCAGTCAACATTTGTGCACATTGAAAAGGGATGCATTTGTATTGACCTGTCTTATCTGCTTGAAAGACCTAACAAAAGTATAGACCGAAATGGATAGGTTTGTGTCTGAAAAAATAATTTTGTTTTATTAGGCTTTGTATGCTTCCTTAGTGAGATAAAACACATTTTCAAAACAGTTGACATGATTATAAACGAATGTTAATTTGTTGTTTTTGCTGAATATCTATTCCACTAACTGATTGAATTAATTTAAAGATTCCAAATAGTTCCAAATCTCATCATAACTACCTCAAACAAATTATAATGCCACTGTGTTCACAATCAGCAGCTGATTATAGAAATTCAAAGAAAAATATGAGAGAGGGGCGAGGGTGGACACCTCGCTCATCCTCCATTTACTTCTTTAATCATTCCAACATTTAACCTACTGCTGGTGTTTTCACTTTTACTGCCATTTTATAAAAAAAATCCTATCGAAATAGATGATGTAGAACAAGTTTCATTGAGACCACTTCGTTTCCACAGTACTAGAGAGGGGGTGGAGGGGGGGGGGGGGCAATGTACCGCCTCCTTTTAAAACTGTAGCTGAATTAGTATAAAAGACACGTTATTATATGGAATCATATGGAATTACCTGAAGATTTTTCAAAATACACAAATCAGCCGAAGGTAATTTCTATAGCCATGTCCATACATTTTGAAACATGCGAAAACTATGATTATCACAATAGTTGTCATAAAATTGTTGTTATAATGTAGTGAATTTCATGCCCGCAAATTTGACCAATCAGAAGCCTAGAATCTAGACATGCAGTATATAAAATTTATTATATTCATACATCACATGTTCAATACTTTTCTTACCACTAGTTACTGGAATTCTAACCCGCATGTTACACACACACAAGCATTACATGATGAGCAAACGAGTTCTATGGGATTGTTGTATTGAAATAAACCTTGAGTTGATTTCTCGAAAGTCTTTGCGATCGTCTGTTTAATTGCGGTTCTAGTATTGCCTTTACTTACGTCTCATTGGCGCCTTTGTACACTCCTCTACCATCCTATCCCGTTATCCAGCACATCTTCTGGGTCCCTGTCCCACCTTGCTACAGATTCAAGATCTCCCATGTCATCTGGAGAGAAAAAAAATAAACACACACATATTGGACCAGTTAAACAATTTACACCAGACGTAATAACATTTCTCTCACCTGTATAATTACTTGCCAAGAAAAGTTTTAAAATATGGTATAGTGATAACAGATATCAGTGATCATTTAACACCGTTTATTATTTTGAAGTCAAACAATTCTGATTCTGAACCTGATATTGAAGTGCGAAAAATTGATTTTACTGAAGAAAATATGAAGCATTTTTGTAGTGAGTTGAACGAAGTTAAATGGGAACGACTTAATTATATTTGTGATGCGAATGATAGATACAATTATTTCTTTAAATTATGTAAGGATATTTACGATGAATGTTTCCCTGTTAAAATAGTTAAAACTAAAAATAAAGTTGATAAGCCTTGGGTAACAAAAGAGGTAATCAAGCTGAGTAAACGTAAGCACATATTATATCGTAAATACCTAAGAAACTCAACCACTAATAAGTGAAATGGCATATAAAGAATGCAGGAATGTCTTAAATAATTTAATACGGGAAAATAAACGTGCAAACTATGACTCTAAGTTTGATAATGTTCGTAATAATGTGAAAGCAACATGGAAACTTATTAATGCAATTTTACACAAGAAAACATTAAAGCATGGTATCAATGATATTGTAGTTGGTGATGGGGAAAAGATTACTGATAAACAAAGAATTGTAAATATATTTAATTCTTATTTTTGTACAATCGGGCAAGAACTACAGCAAAGTATTAATAACTTGATTACTTGCAATATTGAATCAACAAAATACGACGAGTACTTGAAGGGTAATTTTTTGAATTCATAATATATATATATCTGTAAAGCGCTTTGAGAGGGCCTTCGGTCTTGAAAAGCGCTATATAAGAACTAGCTATTATTATTATTATTTTTACAGCCTGTTACTAACGCAGATATTATTAATGTGATTTTGAATTTTGATGAAAATAAAAGTCCAGGATACGATGAAATTCACCCTAAGGTATTGAAAATCTCTCTTTATATGATTGTTACACCCTTGTGCAATATTTTAAACTTGTCCTTTGAACAAGGTATCTTCCCCAATGCTCTAAAAATTGCAAAGGTGATTCCTGTTTTTAAAAAAGGCAATAAGTCATTTTTAAATAATTGTAGGCCGATATCCGTGTTATCTGTTTTTAGCAAAATATTTGAAAAGATTTTATGTGATCAATTGACTCGTTTTATTAGTAAAAATAATATTCTGTTTGAAAATCAATTTGCTTTTAGAAAATGATACAGTACTTGCCATGCTCTTCTTGATTTTATTGATAAAGTTGCAAATGCTTTTGAACTTAATGAATTTTTAATTGGTGTATTTCTAGACTTATCCAAAGCTTTTGATTGTATTGATCATAATATTTTAATAAATAAGTTATGTTTTTATGGTATAAGAGGAATTCCTCTTCTTTTAATTAAAAGTTATTTCTCAACCGAAAGCAATATGTTAGCTTGGGTAATTATTACTCTGATCACAGCACTATTTTAACTGGTGTGCCGCAAGGTTCTAATCTTGGCCCGCTCTTGTTTTTACTGTATATCAATGACTTGCCATCTGTAAGCAATGTTTTATCTTCTATTTTATTTGCTGATGACACCACTCTGTTTTTATCTGGTAAAGATCCCGTAGAAATAAATATTCTATTGAATTTGAAATTGTTAAAATACACAAGTGGTTCCTTGCAAAAAAATGGTTGATTAATTTTGAAAAAACAAACTATGTAATTTTTAAAACAAAAAATAAATATGTAAATGAAGCTGCTATCAAGATTTGTATGAATAGTAAAGAAATTAAGCAAGTACACCAAGTTACTTTCTTAGGCGTCATTATTATTGATGAAAACTTAACGTGGAAGGACCACATTTATTATATTTCTAACAAGCTGTCAAAGGTCATTGGTGTTTTAAATAGACTCAAAGATATTACCATTACGCATACTTGTACAATTGTATAACTCTATGATTTTGCCTTATTTTAATTATTGTATTATTGTATGGGGCAATTGCGCTTCGTATTTGCTTCAAAAGCTATTTTTATTACAGAAAAGAGCCGTCAGGGTTATAACAAACTCATATTATAGAGCACATACAGGTACATTGTTTTTTAAGTTGAAGTTTTTAAAACGTTATGATCTATATGATATAAGTATTGGAGCTTTTATGTTCGCTTACATGTACAATATAACTACTTTACCTGATTGTTTTAATAATTATTTTATTTTTGATAGAGACATAAATCAATATAGTACTATAAATTCACACAAACTTTATGTTTCTTCATTTCGCTATAATTTGTCAAGAACAGTAATAAACTTTAAAGGATCCATTATTTGGAATAACTTACCATATTCTCTCAAAGCATGCCCAACATTGTCTAGTTTTTAAGCGTAATTTTAAAAACAAACAAATATCAAGTTACAATATACTCTTTTTAGCTTTTATTAATTATGCCTGTCCTTGTATGTGTGTATATATGTCTTAGTTAATGTAATGTCTATATTGTCAATATTTTGCTTTTAATTACTGAAGATTTTACTTTTGGGGTTGTAGAAAAAGGGGACCAGCCTAAATAGGTCAATGGCCTTTTCTGGTCTCTCACATCCCTACTCCACCCATTAATCATTGTTAATGTTACTGTTGTTGTTTTATTTGTTCTTATTATATTTTATATATATTGCATTTTGTATAATTGTATTTTGAATGTTATAATGCTGTGTTTTTATTGGAAGTGAAATAAACTGAACTTGAACTTGAGGTTGCTGTACAACTTTACTGCTATGATTTTTGTTACTATTTTACATATATGTATGTTGCTAGTTTATTACAACTTGCGTGTTGGCAACATTTCTTTGTATACATAATGTGAACTATTGATTTTGTTTATATATATATATAACCCTACATGGTACATTAAGTGGACATCATAAAAATCCTAACCCTAACCCTAACCCTAACCCTAACCCTAAAACCTAACCCTAACCCTAACCCTAAACCTAACCCTAAACCTAACCCTAAACCTAACCCTAACCCTAATGTCTACTTAATGACTCATTTTTTCACTACCAATGTCCTTCCAATGACGCCTTTAGTAAAATCACATATATAGAGAGAGATATATAACAAAATTGGGCCTTCCACGAGAAATAAAACGTAAAAAACGTTTAAGAGGACACCAAATTGTCCTCCTAATCACAATGTCTACTTAATGACTCATTTTTCACTCCAAATGTCCCTCTAATGACGCCTTTAGTAAAATATATGTATATATATATATATATATATATATATATATGTATATATATGTATATATGTATATATATTTTTTTTTTGGAGGGTGGGGGAAGTCATTTTTACTGGTTTTCCTTAAACTCAAGTGAACATTTAGGACTCCAACTCACAACTGAACTTTATCTTAACCCATAGTTTTGCAAATAATTGTATTAAGCGAAGAGCCGTTAGTCCAGAAATCATAATATAGGAGCATATCGTGGTAAAGAATTTAAGACTACCACCCATGGCAATAGTCTTTATCGAGACGTTTATTATCACTTCTTCTTCTTTTGCTTCTTGCGTTTTGATAAAGAGCACAATCGTGATAAAGTCCGTTCTAATGCCCGTTTGTCCCAGACCAAGTACTAGTTCTAGGGAGTGACATAGGTTGAGTGTAACACAGACTTGAGAAATATAAAACAGGATGACAAATTTTCACGAAACCTTTGGCTTCTCTATCTTTTGGAGCTACTTTTGTCTCAGTTACACAATTCACGAACTACCAAATAAGAATCCGGATTTTGGAATGATACAAACGGGAGAAGCATCAAAACAAAACGGATCGGATTTGCAGCAGTAAAAGCACCAATAAAATTGTCCAAGTCAATCTTAATTCAAATTAAAAATTACAATTCAATAAATAAAGTACATGGCATGCCTTTGTTTTGCAAATAGTGTCAGAGCATAACAATCTGACATATATAATTAAAACTGTTCAATGGAATGCTTACGTTGTATCTCCTCATCAACGTCCATATTAAGGGGAAAGGTCTCGCTGTCTCGTTCCACGTCGCTTGTGGTGTTGGCAATGGTTGCGCCCACAAGAACGACCAGAAGAAACGCAGCATTGATGAGCTTCGATGCCATTTTCTATTTCAAACCTAGATGATAATGGAAAATCCATGATGTACTAGAGGCGTTATTTCCATCACGTGATCAACTGAAGTAGCTCAGCATGTAAAATAAGTTGGCTCAAAATAATTTATCGCAATGTTGCAATGATCATTTTACATTCATTTTTTGTACGGTACATGGCTTGTCAAAATCAGTGTCAAGCGAATTACAGAACATTAGCTGGGCCCGTGCACATAGTCGTCACATTTGCTTGTTGTAAGACGGCGTCGTGACTTTTATGGTTTGGGGCAAGAATTTTGATTTCAATAATGAAATAATAATTAAAAAAACCCAAACAGGAACACAGAAACAAACAAACAATAAAGTTTTACGAAATGAACAGTATACATTGATTTCAATTAGGGGTATGTGGACGATTACAATTTACATTCTTGAATAGCGCATGGAGTAATACATTCGCTATTACGCCTCGTATAGAGTAACAGGAAATTATAATTGACGCAAGTCAGTCAGTATGCTAGGTAGTGTCCTTGGCTACTGTGTTAAATAACATAAATAATAGTAACCAGTTCAGTTAGACTGAATTACAAAAAATACCCCCCAAAAAATCATATATTAATTAGTTATACATTTCTTGCTTTGTTTTGTGTTACACACAAATCTCCCTCAATTGTTTTTAAAAGTGTTAAAAGGGTGAGTAGAGAATACAAGGCCATATATTGAGCGATAACATACATGCTTTGTTAAAATCTTTATTTCTATGCATTCCTTTTCCTACCGCGATCAGAAGAGCTCTCTGAAACTCCTCTGCACCATAACTGCCTGAGAATGTTACATCACTCCGCATAACAACATACAATCTGAACTGGATGTAGTTTTACTCGTTATTCAAAATCATATTTGTTTATTAAACGGCGTTGCAAAACGCTTTCTATAATTGATCGGGCATATAATGCTATATGGAAAACATTTACCTTCTAGTTGTTGTCAGATCTAAGGAAATTATCGATGTCTGTAGGTGATCCTCTTATCTATGCAATTGGAGACCGTCGAGTTTAATGGTACGTTGTTCCTTAATGTTCTAGCTTTATACTTTTTGAGCAAATGCTGAACCGTGTATAATATTTTGACTATGTTCTACACGTTACCACGATCCCCTAGTGATCAACATACGGTCTATACATTTTATATTCGTGGTTAAAAATCGACATTTTCTATACTTTCACATTTTGTCTCATTTACATATAGATAGAACTTTCCTTGGCCTACAACTCTCTTTCGTTGCCATATGGTATTAATATAATATTGGATGGCTTTGAGTGTGATACAAGAATATATTGCTCTAGCTATTTCAATATTGAACGAGTCGGAGAGGGCTGGAGGGCCTAAGACTAATAAAGATTTTCACGCTCGGTCGCTACGCTCCTTCGCATAAAATCCTTCAAAAATGTACTAGTTAATATTGTAGAAAATCTCGCATTTCGTTCCCCCCCCGGACATGAAAAGAAATCGCCGCCCCTGATTACTACTACTACTACTACTACTACTACTACTACTACTACTACTACTAATACTACTACTACTACTACTATCACTACTACTACTACTACTACTACTACTACTACTACTACTACTACTACCACTACTACTACTACTACTACTACTACTAATACTACTACTACTACTACTACTACTACTATCACTACTACTACTACTACTACTACTAATACTACTACTACTACTACTATCACTACTACTACTACTACTACTACTACTACTACTACTACTACTACTACTATCACTACTACTACTACTACTACTACTACTACTACTACTACTACTACTACCACTACTACTACTACTACTACTAATACTACTACTACTACTACTACTACTACTATCACTACTACTACTACTACTACTACTACAACAACTTCTACTACTACTACTACTACTACCACAACTACTACTACTACTTCTACTTCCACTACTACTACTACTACTACTACTACTACTACTACCACTACTACTACTACTACTACTACTACTACTAATACTACTACTATTACTACTACTACTACTAGTAGGTATAGCACACCAAAAATAAGTACAATAAACACATGTTATCTGATGATTGCAAATGATCAAGCTTTATGAAAGCTTTAAAAAAAAAAAAAAAAAAAGAATTGAAATCGGTCAATGCGTTGTGATTTTATACCATTTTTTTGATATCGCAAAATCACCGAAAAACCTGCCAGAAATGGTCAAATTGGCAAAAATGGCATATTTCGACAAAGTTGACAACTTAATTCATCACTTTCTTGGACACAAATAATAATTAAATTATCAGACACTAAAATATCATCTTTGTGGTGGGGGGGGGGGGGGGTTGGGGGGTTAACCCCCCCCCCCCTTTGGTATTTTTCTGTGTGTAAACCCCCCTAAACCCCCCTAAACACACCCCTTTAGATTTTTTAAAATCTAAAAAAATAAAAAAATATTCCCATGGCTGACCTAAAAAGCTGACCTTACTCCCTCCCCCCCCCCCAACGGAGCAAAATGTCAATTTTTCAAATTTCGAAACCAAAAAAAAAGAGAAAAGTGTCCTCTTACCCCCCCCCCCCCCCCCCCCCCCCCCGCTTATTCAGCGGCTGGCTGAGTCGTTGCGAAATTTTTCGGCCCGATTTATAAATGTTAAAACTCACTCCTTGAAAAAATCCTGCGTATGCACCTCCCGGATGCACCTGTGCCTGATGTTTATGCTATGACATTTATTTGCAAGACAAAGGCACGCCACATACTTTATTTTTTTAATTGTAATCTGGAATTTAAATTTACGTTGACTTGGACAATTCTAGTGGTGCTTTAGCTGCTGCAAATCCGATTCAGTTTGTTTTAATGCTTTTCCGTTGTATTATTCCCAAATCCGGGACTCTCATTTGGTAGAACGTTCGGTGCGTCGTGGATTGTTTAACTGAGACAAAAGAAGCTCGAATAGTTGCGGAAGCCATTGGTTTCGTGAAAACTTGTCATCATGTTTTATATTTCTTAAGTCTGTTTTACTCTCGACCTATCCTACTCCCTAGAATTGGTACTGGGACTTAGACAAGATGTAGTATTAGAATGGAATATATCACGATTGCGCTCTTTCTTTTCTTTAAGACAAGAAGCAAAAGAAGAAGAAATAATATCAAAAGTTTTGATTAACACTAAAGCCAGGGTTCAATTGTGAATTGAAGTGCTAGGGTGTGATTCAAGACTTAGGGAAACTATTCGAAATGACTCCCCCCCCCCCCCCAAATCGGTAACTCACATTGTGTTATACAGACATGTTGCCAACACGCAAGTTGTAATCATAAGTAGCACCATGTAAGATTGTAAGATTGTAACAAGAATCATAGCAGTAAAGTTGTAAAGCAACCTAACTCATCTTCGCATGTAGTAATTATTTGGGTGAAAGACAATGTTATTTCTTCAGTGTAGCGGCGCGAAACTTGTATAGCGCCATCTGTGGCGGCGCCAAACTTGTATAGCGCCATCGGTGGCGTTAAGAAAATTTATGCAACAGAAAGCCTAGTCAAAGGCATCAGACTTGATGTTTGTTACAGTGGCGGATCCAGGGTGGGGGGGGGGGGGCGCGCCCCCCCCCCCTTGAGAAAAAAAATCATGTAAAATCACGTGATTTTTACCTTTTTTTTGGGGGGGGGGGGTGCAAATTGAATTTTTTTGAGGATCAAAAAAAAAAAAAAATGTGCTCACTACCCCACCTCCCCCCCCCCCCTTCCCCCACCCCCCCCACCCCCCACACTGAGCGAATTTTTGGCCGGCGCCTTTTTCAAATTTTCGGGAGCAAAAAAAAAAAAAAAATTGTGCTCTGTACCCCCCCCCCCCCCCCCCCCCCCCCCCCCCCCCCCCCCCCCACTGAGCGACTTTTCGGCCGGCGCGATTTTCAAATTTTCGGGAGCAAAAACAAAAAAAAGTTGGGCCCCCTCCCCTAAGAAATCCTGGATCCGCGCCTGGTTTGTTACCACAGAATTCATGACTTTGCTCCGGATGAACAAATAGTAAGCTACGATACATGATTCCTGTAGATAACTGATTTACTGTCAAATATAGGAAAGTAGTTGTTTCATACGATTGTTTATTTCCTGTGAATTATGTGCAAATAGTGAGTTGATTTTGGATGATTAACGCAACGTTATGTACAGAAGGCTATGTGTTGCTATGTGTTGCTAAGAGGCTATGAAACGCATTGCATGAACTGGGTTAAGAGGGCATATGATCAGACAGTTATGGTTAATGATTCAGTATGCTACAAGAAGCATTTATATGGTTTATACATTGTACGATTGATAAGATAGAAATGCCAAGGGTATAATGGCAGTCAATATGTTAATTCATGTAAATTAGGTCGGATAAGGGAACGTGTTGTTGTGTTGAATTATTCATGTTTCATTGGAGAAATTGCAAGATGCACAGTTGGGTAATCATTTAGTTTAGTTCATATTTACCAGTTGGGTTACAGTATAAGTGATAAGCTGTGATAAGTTATGCATGTACCAGTATGGGTATAGAGTAATGGATCATTTTAATTTGTTTACTAAATTAATGTATTGTAATGCTGGAAAGGGGACCAGGTCCTTTGTAATTTAAACGTTATCATTTAAGAGCGTTTATGATGTTGTTTGTGGAAAGAATTCATTAATAAGCAACCAGGATGTAATAGCCTTGATGTATGATTCAGAAGGTTCAGTTTCAGAATAGTAGGTATACATGATTCAAGTTATGCTAGTAGAAGAAACATAATTAATTACTCTGATATAAACAGGTTAATGCATCCATTTGAGTTTATTACAGACATGCTCCTAGCAGATTACAATAGATGACATATATTGTTGTTCATTGCTTTAAACATACAAATAGTCTTTGTTCTAACTAGAGCATGTTATTTATGACGAAGATTTGTTATCTTTTCTCTTAGTGAACCGCTACAAGACTACGCTACACATCCGAAGTTGTTATTGTTACGACACTTGTAGGATTAAACATTGAATAAAGATCCGAAGAAAGGAAACTGATCTAGTGTGAGTCATTTGTCGTCAGGCGCGTTTACACTTAGTTCTGGGGTCGATTGTTTAACCGGTCCATTGATTCTGTGTGTGTTTTATCTTCATCAGGTTACATGGAAGCCATTTTAGTAGGCGCTAGTTTAGGCAGCCCTCGCTGGTTTTGGGGAGTGTAAAAAAAAAAAAAAGGGGGGGGGGGGGGCTCCAATGAGACGTAAGTAAGGCAATTGAAGAACCTCAATCATAAATACGATCGCAAAGACTTTCGAGAAATCAACTAAAGGTTAATTTCAATACAACAATCCCATAGAACTCGTTTGCTCATCATGTAATGCATGTGTGTGTGTAATACGCGGGTTTGAATTCCAGTGACTAGTGGTAAGAAAAGTATTTAACATGTGATGTATGAATATACTACATTTTATATTACTGCATGCCTAGATTCAAGGCTTCTGATCGGTCAAATTTGCGGGCATGAAATTCACTACATTATAATAACAATTTTATGACAACTATTTCAGAGTTTCGATTGACTATTTGTAATTTAGGTTTAGAAATATCAAATGTATCGATATGTGATTAATTAAAAAATCCAAAAAAAATGCACATTATTATAGTTCTGTAAGATATCTTTTAAATAATTTAATCTTGCAAGTTTTGTTTGATATTTGATGGGAATTTGAAGATTATATTATGTACTATGGTCAATGTATGGGCGTTGTTAAATCACGTACGTACGCGTACATGATTTCATTTTGTATGCCCTGTACCTACATTGCAATGTTCATACAGACTTCCTATGACTGTATTATGTACAATTATTGTGGTAATACGCGCAGTACTCAAAAACCGCTCCGATGTACACACTGAGTTTCCTTCGGGAGATTATGGCAGTGTCCATGTGCTGCCCTCTACATGAATATACCCAAACTTGAGCATCTTTAACATAGTTTAGCGTCATGAAGCTGATCGAACTATTTACGTAATATGCTATGAAAATATAATATAATACATTTAATAAAGATGTTTCAAACTGTACAGAAATGCCTATAAAAAAGTACCTTCGGATGATTTTTGTTAATTATTTTGAGAAATCTTTGTGTAATTTCACATGATTACATATAAGTCAAGAAATTTGTATTGTACACTTGTTCAGCTACAGTCATAGAAGGCGGTACATTAGGGACTTTTAGATTCGCACGAAGACAATGGGGATTGCTACGATCGACGTCCTTTTAATAGGGGCTTTTCGTTTGTGTGGACGAGGACGGCGTTCACGTCCTCTAACGATGCGAATTGGCGTCAGACACCCGTCCTGTTCACTACCTTATAACCCTTTTCGTTTTAAGTCGACCCCCGTTCTCTACACGATGACGTAATGGCCCCCGCACGCGCTTATTCAATTTCTCCTTCTTTCACTTCTTATTTTGTTCTTCGTTAATTATTCTATTATACTCTCTCTATTTTCCTTATGTTATTCTTTGTTTTTCCTTCTTTCATCTTCTCTTCTATCTTTCCATTGTCTATTCTTAATCATTTTCTCTTTCTGTCTTTCCTAATGTTATTGTTGTTGTTATCATTCTATCATTTTTCTTTCTATCTTTCCTCATATTATTCTTTGTTTCTTCCTTCTATCATCTTCTCTTATGTTATTCTTTGTTTTTATCATTCTATCACTTTCTCTTTTTGTATTTCCTTATGTTATTCTTCTTTTTTTTCCTTCTTTCACCTTCTCTTTCTGTCTTTCCTTATGTTATTCTTTGTTTTTTCCTTCTTTCACTTTCTCTTCAGTCTTTCCTTATGTTATTCTTTGTGTTTTCCTTCTTTCACCTTCTCTTTCTGTCTTTCCTTATGTTATTCTTTGTTTTTTTCCTTCTTTCACCTTCTCTTTCTGTCTTTCCTCATGTTATTCTTCGTTTCTTCCTTTTTTTTTCATCTTCTCTTATGTTATTCTTTGTTTTTATCTTTCTATCACTTTCTCTTTTTGTATTTCCTTATGTTATTCTTTGTTTTTTCCTTCTTTCACCTTCTCTTTCTGTCTTTCCTTATGTTATACTTTGTTTTGTCCTTCTTTCACCTTTTCTTTCTGTCTTTCCTTATGTTATTCTTTGTTTTTTCCTTCCTTCACTTTCTCTTTCTGTATTTCCCTATGTTATTCTTTGTTTTTTCCCTTCTTTCACTTTCTCTTTCTGTCTTTCCTTATGTTATTCTTTGTTTTTTCCTTCCTTCACTTTCTCTTTCTGTCTTTCCTCATGTTATTCTTTGTTTTTTTTCCTTCCTTCACTTTCTCTTTCTGTCTTTCCTTATGTTATTCTTTGTTTTTTCCTTCTTTCACCTTCTCTTTCTGTCTTTCCTTATGTTATTCTTTGTTTTTTCCTTCTTTCACCTTCTCTTTCTGTCTTTCCTCATGTTATTCTTCGTTTCTTCCTTTTTTTTCATCTTCTCTTATGTTATTCTTTGTTTTTATCTTTCTATCACTTTCTCTTTTTGTATTTCCTTATGTTATTCTTTGTTTTTTTCCTTCTTTCACCTTCTCTTTCTGTCTTTCCTTATGTTATACTTTGTTTTGTCCTTCTTTCACCTTTTCTTTCTGTCTTTCCTTATGTTATTCTTTGTTTCTTCCTTCTATCACCTTTTTAAAAAATGTTATTCTTTGTTTTTTTAATCATTCTATCCCTTTCTCTTTCTGTTTTTACTTTCTGATTTACGCTGCGATGTAGCAAGATGACGTCATTCTGACGACGGGTCACTAGTTTTCTGACGAACCTCAAATCATCGATGAACGGGTTCGCAAATGTGGCCTGACGACGCCAGACGACCCGACGCATGCGCAGATCGCCGAAATGACGTCTTATATTTGACGTCGACTATGTCGACGTGACAAACGAAAACCCCCTAATGCACTGCCTTGAATGGACGTCACACGTATCAGTCCACGCAAATCTAAAAGTCCCTATTGCCTCTCCCTTACCCCCTCTTCCCCAATGAGTATAGGATTTTCAACATTCGGACATGCAACCGTCACTTCGATTTTTGAAAGTAGGTGGTCTCTTTGAAAATTGTTCTACCTTATCAATTTCCATAGGAATTTTCATAAGGTAGCAGTGAAGTTGAAAACCTCTAGCAGTGTATTAAATGAATGAATTAGAAAATGGGACATTGAGGATGAGCGACGTCTCTTTGTAATGATCATTATGAAACTAGTACAGCCTTTTCCTAATGTCCTCATTTTATCTTTCTCCTCCCCTCACACTTTCTCCCTCTCTGGTTCCTTCTTTCCCTTCCTATTTGTTCACTCTCTTTGTGTTCAACTTTCTACCTCTTCATTTCTATCTGCATGGTCTGTTTCGCTTTCTGTTTCTTTCTCTTTAAGTTGTCTCTTTGTATCTCACCCTATCCCCTAGACAAACCCCCATCCTCTCATTATCTCTCTTGATTAGTGCTCTGTCTCACCCAATCTCTCTCTATTCTTGTGTCTCTATCTATCATTCTCATTCTTTTTCACTGCCCAACATTCCTGTGTCTATTCCAATGTCTGCCCCCCTCCTCATCATTTCCCCCTTCTCTTTGACTTATTGTCTCAGGCTCTTTAGAGAGTCACACCCAGTGGTGGATCCAGGGGGGGGGGGGGGGCCCGGGGGGCCCGGGCCCCCCCCCCCCCTTGAGAAAAAAATCATGTAAAATCACGTGATTTTTACGATTTTTTGGGGGTTGGGCCCCCCCCCCCCTGGCGCTCAAGGGGGGGGGGGGGTGCAATTTGAAATTTTTTTTGAGGATCAAAAAAAAAAAAAAAAAGTGCTTACTACCCCCCCCCCCCCCCCCCCCCCCCCCCCCCCACTGAGCGAATTTTTGGCCGGCGCGTTTTTCAAATTTTCGGGAGCAAAAAAAAAAAAAAAAATTGTGCTCTGTACCCCCCCCTGAGCGACTTTTCGGCCGGCGCGATTTTCAAATTTTCGGGAGCAAAAAAAAAAAAAGTTGGGCCCCCTCCCCTAAGAAATCCTGGATCCGCGCCTGGTCACACCCCCCCCTTCCCACCACTCCCACCCCTCCACCCAATCATTTCCTCTTAAATTCGTCGTTCTTAGCATCACAGATATAAAGAAAGAAAAGAGGGAGATGAATCCCGAAATGTTCTTGAACGACCTGTATGGTTATACGGCAATGCTCTGTGGTGAATCTTCGGTAGACAGATCCTTTCGAATTTCGATGGAGGGTCAAAGACAAGATAAAAATTAACCTGAGATGGAGAAAGGGAGAGTGAGAGCGAGCAACATAGATACAAAGTATGATAGAGAGTGAAAGAGAGTGAGAGAGAGAGAGAGAGAGAGGGAGATAAATAAAGAGATATGATGAAGACATATAAATGAGAGGGAAGGGAGAGAGAGAGATAGAGAAGGGGGGGCGGAGCTTCACCTGGAGACTTATTAGGTCTGAGCATCTGTCGATATATATATATATATATATATGCGTCCCAGAAAAGACGAAACCGAAAATTATCGATGTTTTATCATAACTTACTGTCTTAATCATAATTATAATTAATAAATGACACATATTTTAAAAGCTTATAGATCCTCCTCTTTCATTTGATGCAACTCATATGATGCATATTTCACCCATGAGTAATTAAAAACAAGGAAGACGAAAGACCTGATGCATGGCTGATCGTCAACGAAACGGAGTTAAGTCTTTTGTCAACTCTGTTTGTTGCTACGGCAAGCAGCCAGTGAAAACTCGTTTAATCTAATCATGGAAATGCAAGCATTACTTTAAACAAACAGAACTTTGTTATTCCTGGGTCATTTTTCCTGATTTAGGTGTGAAATGAAAGGGCAGAAATTGAACTTTCTAGAAATGTTATTTTCTCTTTGAAATCCAGATACCACTCGTCAAATGAATTTTTTGGTTTCATCTCTCCAAATTATTTTCAATCACTCATGCGTGAAATATGCATCATATGAGTTGCATCAAATGAAAAGGGAGAATGTAAGCTTTACAAATATGTGTCATATATTGATTATTATTACGATGAAGTTATAATAAAGCATCGATAATTCTCGGTTTAATTATTTCTGGGACGCACTTTATATATATATATATATATATATATATATATATATATATATATAAGTGCGAGAATTCTCAACTCTGACATGACAACGGGTGTTCCAGAATATGTAGGCGTGAAGAAAAAGGTCTAGAAACGTGAGACGTAGCTGTACTTTACAAGTTTATTACGAGCTTTCGGCTTGTGAGGCCTTCTTCAGGTTCTGAAGTACAAACACATACAAAAACAAATACATTGTATAAACAAATATACACGGCATACAAACTTAATATCACTCAATCATAGTCAAGAATCATGAACATAGCAAAAATTAGTACGAGAAATACTTTCGGAATAAACTTAGAAATAATTATGCAAATTCAAAGGCCCGAATTCACAAAGGAGGTTTGTCGACAAACCTTGGTTTTCGTACGTCATATGACGCGTTTTACGCGTTTTTTTACAAACCTGGTTTGTAAAGAACAAAAGGAGGTTTGGCGAAACAAAAGGAGGTTTGAGCTCAAACCTTGCTTTGTGAATTCGGGCCAAAGTGTTTTACCTTGCTTGTGTGTTGGGCTGTCGGTGTGTTTATTCAGTTGATGTGATTATGTGAACGTGTTATAAGGGATGTGCGGTCAAGTATGGGTCACTGACCTGTGACACGGATGTTACTGATCTATGACACAGCCGGTGTATATATATATATATATATATATATATATATATATATATATGTAATATAAACAAATGTGGGGAAATAACCCGTAAAACAGTTGTGGTAACTCTCGTGGAAATAAATACAATTCGAAAGCAAGTGAGAGAATAATGGTTGCAAAGCTTAGATGAAAGTTCCTCATTTCTGTCGTCCCTTTCGGAATCTTTTGCAAAGGTAAAAAAATCCGCCGGGAATCGAACCCGGGTTACTGGCTCTCCCAACTACAACGCTCTTTCTGACTCACATACTTTCTCTTCTCTCTCTTCCTTTCTTTGTCAGTCATCGATTGCTTAGTTTTGATTGAAACATAAGAGGAATCGAGAAATTAAATGATTATTCACACATTAGGTCGTTTTCTTATGACCACTCCCATTTTTTTCTTCAAAGGGTGAGCTGAGAATACAAGGTATATACATTGCGCGATAACCGTATACGGGATTCTTTTTTCTTTCTTTATTTCTTAGTTTTCCAGTTCCTACACATCAAAAACCAAAATAACATCAATCCTATGGAATAAAACAAAATACTCCTTTGCACCATTATTGCCTAATAATGATACATCACTCAGCATTAAAACAAACAAATGTAAGCATTACTTTACCAATGTTCACGTCCACGACGTCTGGGTCATTAAAGATCAAAATGATTTTCTGTACACTATGTACAACGCTTTTTATAATTGATCGGGCATATAATCCTAAGGGACTAACTTCTCTCTAAAGCTGTTGTCAGATCTAAGAAAATTATCCGTGTGTGTCGGAGATCCTCTCTTCAGCTTATATCAATGCAACTGGAGATCGTCGAGTTATAGTACGTTTTTCCTTATATTAAAGTTCAAGCTTTATGCATTTTTAGCAAATGCTGAACCGTGTATAATATGTTGATTTTGATCTTTACGTTTCCACATTCACCCATTGATCAGTTGTAATGTACATGTAGCGTACATGGGAAAACATATAAAACATAAATAATAAATTCATTTTTATAAATTTACATATGCAATACCTTCACAGTTTTTTCTCATTAATGTAGACATAATAATTTCCTTGACAACTGTGACAGAAACCAACTCTCTATCGAAAACAAGAAAAACTACTTTATATCTCGCATGCCATTGTGGAACATATATCTACTTTTATTTTCTGTTATTTGACTATTTGATAAAGTAGGGACGGTATTTTTGTTTATTTCAAAGGCCTAAACCTTTGATGATGCATTAGGCCATACTATTACAGCCAGAAATAAAACACGTCAATCAGTAATATGATGAAGGCTCTATTGCAGGTATTGGATGGTGCAACCATTCACAAGATCACCTGCATGCATTGCAGGTTTGACCATGATTTTGTCCAAAGATTACAGATTAGTAACGATGCAGTCACCAATCCGCTTCATAATTTTGTTGGTAACTTTTCCATGCTGTGACGATCCTCTATCGTTTTTCTAAATGAGAGAGTTGTGAGAAAAAATAAAATAAACAATAAACAATTTGTTTATAGCTCACATTCATAACCCAAACATGAATCTAAACATATTGCACAGATCCAGTATCTACCAGTGTATGAAAGTCAGAAGTGACTAAAAAGAAACTTTAGAAAATTAACTTGTTTTTCTGATGTTTGTTAGAGTTGTTCACAATTTCCGCCAACATTTCCTGCAAAAACAATATGAGGCATCATTCGTCTATAAAGCACATTTTTAACATTTGGCCGATGTGTACGTGTGCAAGGGGGGGGGTGGGGGTTAATTGACCCCTCCCCAATCTCTTTTAACCGGATCTCGTCTATTCTAAACTTGGTAAAAAGATAGAAGGACATTTGCTCTTTTTCTTTTTTAGATTAACAACTTTATTTTGTTTAATGGGAAATATAATGTAATGCTTTAACAGATGATACAGTCATTATTATTGGTACTTTAGAGGCAACCTACATTCCAAATGTTTCACCATCTTCCAGCGTCTCGGGTAGCTTCTTGCCCCTGGTCTCAGGGAGGATGAGGCATAGAGCGGCCGTCACCAGAGCAGCTATGGTTTGGAGAACAAGAGGACCAGGTGCCCATACATCATAGAGGAGGAGCATGAGAGGGGTTGCTATAGCAACCACACGAGATGCCGAGGAGCAGATGCCAATGCCCACATTCCTTTTAAGGATGAGAAGGAAAGGAGGATGGGATAGATTTTGATATGGTAGCTGATTCGCACAGCTGTTAATTCCCTTTCGCGTAAAAACAATCAAAAAGGAAGGTACCCAAAAATACAAATTATTAACAATTAGTTACACAAATTATAGCGAGATGAATGTAATACGACTAATATTGAATAATGTACTTATTTAATTCTTTATTATTAGTTTTTAACATGAAACATCAGTTGAATGTTTAAATTTGATTTCCTTTCTGAGCAAAAATGCAATACCAATAATAGTCTTTACTCCTTCTCCAGTGTTTTAATACTGGATTGATCTTTCTTTTCTTTTTCTTGGTGCAATAATGTCGTCATATATGTCTTTTATATTAGTATAACAATAATAGGAGGTTATTAAGACCAATATTGATCAGCGTGTTACCTCGTCACAGTCGGCAATATTTCAAAGGGGTATATCAGTCCAACCGCCCAGGAACCAGCGATACCAAACTTCCCCACCATGGCTACCCCAGTTTTTGCGGCACCGACAGCTGTAACAGAATGACCAGAGAGAGAGAGCAATGGGACGTGAATCTAAAATTGATTTTTTTTTTTTTTGTTGTTTATAATCTCATTTTAGTTAGATTCATCAATAAAATGTCCCTCGGAGATGACCTATTAAAAGCCGTCGGTCCTCTGGTTGCTTACTAACAAGCATTTATGCTTTCTTAGAAGTCAGGTAAAATAACTACTACTAGCCTACATGGTTTCGGTCTCTTGCATCTCATCCATTTAGTATCAATGATAACCCCCCCCCCCCATGATGCAAGTGCCCACTCAATGACTGGTCTCACGCTACACCACTCAATAGGGGGGAGGGGGGGGGGGTTGTGTCTTCTTAGTATATTATGGAAAATGATATAATACGGATTCAATATCTTGCGTCTTACCAAGAAAAAGCATGAAACATTATAATAGAAAATAAGATCTACAAACTACAAACCCTACGAACCCTATAGATGCAAAGTTTTGTTCCTCCTTTTCAGGGGGTATTCTTCCGAATTGTAGATACGACTTTGCTATATACCATGGGAGCGGGAGCCCACTAGACTGACAGCCAAGAAACTGTCGGTCTGGCGCAATGGCGAATCCAGGGGGGGGGGCCCGGGGGCCCGCCCCCCCCCCCGGAAAAAAGGGGAAAAAAGAAAGAAAAGGAAAGAAGGAAAAAAAAAAGGGGGGGGGAAAAGAAGGAAACAAAAAAAGGGGGAAGAAAAGGGGAAAAAAAAGAAGGAAAAAAAAGAAGGAAAAAAAAGAAGGAAATAAAAGGGGAAGGGGAAGGTATCAAAATATGCTCATCTGACCGTAATTAAATGCCTAAAACCCCTTGACTTCCGGTGGCTCTGCCCCCTGTTCCCCACCTAGGGTCATAAGGCGGACGGCTGGATGCTAATTTGACGGTAATTTTAATGCTTAAAACTCTCAAGCTTCTGGGGTCTCGGCCCCTGGAACGCAGTGTCCTGCCAGTGTCACAAATACGGTATCAAAATATGTTCATCTGACCGTACTTAAATGCCGAAAAACCCTAAGTTTCCGGGGCTCCACCCCTCGACCGAACAAGGGGCCCTAAGGCGGGCCCCTGCAGGCTTGTCTGACCGTTATAAAATTCCTAAAACCCCTGAGATTCTAGGGGCTCCGCCCCCTGGACCCCACGCCAATTAGTTACATGCCAGTGTCACAAATAAAGTATAATTATGCTCATCTGACGTAATTAAATGCCTAAAGCCCTACGCTTTCGGGGCTCTGCCCTCCGAACCCAACCAATGGCCCTAAGGCGGGCCCCTGGATGCTCATCTGACCATAATCTATTGCCTAACGCCCATGAGCCTCTGGGGGCTCCGCCTCCTTGACCCCACGTCAATTCGTGACCTGCCAGTGTAACATATAGATTATGCTTATATGACCGTTATTTATTGCTCAAAACCCCGAGCTTCCTGGGGCTCTGCCCCCCGGACCCCACGCTAATGCGTGACCTGCCAGTGTCACAAATAAGGTATAAAATCATGCTCATCTGACAGTAATTTATTGCCCAAAACCCCTGAGCTTCCAGGGGCTCCGCCCCCTGGACCCAACATCTAATTTTTTTATTTTTTTTAATTTTTTTTTTTTTTTTTTTTTTTTTTGGGGGGGGGGGGGGGGGGGGGGGGGAGGAGTGCGATTTTTCAAATTTTCGAGGGCCCCCAAAAAGAAGTGCTCACTACCCCCCCCCTCCCCCACTGAGCGAAATATTGGCCAGTACGATTTTCAAATTTCAGCACACTAAATTTCAAATTGATTTCAAATTCGGGCCTTCACCCCTAAGAAACCCTGGATCCGCGTAACATCTGACAGGTTGTCAGATTAACCAAGAGACCGCCCGCCAGCGAGACCGATGTCGATTCCGCGCCATGTCCGTTTCGGGGGATTTCCCCAAATGACTTTACTTACGGATGAAAATGGCGATACAACTAGCGATGCCGGATATGGTGAGACAAGCGATGAGGCTGTATCGACGTCCAACCCGTTCGATCACTGGGACGCAAATGATCATAGCAACTACTTCTACCACTGCTGAGATAAGAAAACTAAGGTAGATATTGACCCCGAAGCTACCCGTGCTTAGATGCAATCCGTAGAAGATCAGGTTATTCGTCATCCTAGAAGACAGATAGATTGAATAAAATAAGATCTTAGCTTTAGAAATGTGTTGTTAGAAGAAAATGTTGAGAATATGTTGGAAGGAAAGTTACAAGTTATGACATCGTAAGAGATCAAGTAGGAAGTACATTCCACCGCGTGACAAAAAAGATAGAACGTAGCAATTGAAGTACTGTGGCCTTACCTGAAGACGAGTAGATAATGATATTTTGTGACATAATTAAGCAAAGAGACACTGAAGGCTTGTGGAGAAGAGGCAGACAAATATTTTAGATTGACCGACGAAACTAAACAGTCAACAGGTCTGTCGCTTGTCTCAGTTAATTGTACATGGTTCAAGAAAGAACACTCTGGAGAACAATAATCAATATGTTTACCAAGGGTAAACCAAGACCCCTAGGTCGAAGACGACGATATAAGTCAGTTGAGATCATTCACGACGAAACTAGTTCCTTTAATTTAAACGGCGTGCAGGTGGATGCACCAACAAACAATGCTCGAGCATTTATCCGTTCGAGCCGCGAAACCCATGATCTGCGACCATACATATGCCACTCTCAACCCAGGTGTAGTAAAGAGATATCTTGAAGAGAGGAATTGATTGAATGCTTTCATTAAATCAGCCGGCGCCTTGAGCATCCTTATGATGAATATCTGCGTAATATAAACGTACCTTTCAACAATTCTTTATTATTATCACTACCTTTCTTGTTCATAATCCAACGTTCGGTCTGATTAACATCAATGCACTTACCAAACAATGATCAACACGATCATTCTTTTTCGTAGGACAGGTGTTCGGAAGAGATCGATAAGATTCGGATCATGGTTCCTCTCAGGATTTGTCGTTTCCTTTGTGGAAATAAAGAGGAGTATAATTATACGAGAATTACCTTTGGTAGTACATATTAGCAAAGAACACAACATCTCCCTCTGTGGAGAGTAAAGGCAAGAATTGTTAGTTTACATTGGTAAGCTAATGTTTGTAAACAACAAACTAAACAAGGTTATTTACCATAATTTTTTCATAAATGAAAAGTGCCTTTAACGAAAACCTTACACCCACCACTCCTACACATGCGCACACATACGCCCACGCGTTATATTAACTTAATGAGGATCTAAGCAATTCATCATAACGGTCTCTTACTTCACACAGGCGTGCGTCCGCGCCCCACCGTAGGTACGTTATGCAATTGCAGTTTTCCATGAATCCCGTGAGAAAGTGAATATTATAAGTCTTCGGTTTTAGAAAAAATACTCCAAAAGACATTTTGAAAATGACACAAAACAGGTAAGAAACATAACGACTTTTAAATCATTACCATTATTTGAACAGCTGATGAAGATTTGGTAATTTGTTTATGTTTTAGCAGGGTATCTCCACGCCGGAATTACGGGTCAAAGTATGGATATGATTCTGATTTAGCGCCATTTTTGCGTTGTTATTTTTGCTGAATTAAGTTCGCTCAATCGCGCTTTTAGGTGAATCTGGCCCGCATTTTGCCGGAGCCTTGGTTGGTTTCCTTATATTTCTCTTTAACATACTTCATTCAAAAAGTAAATGGGGATTGAGCCACCCCCCCCCTCCCTGATTGTGTAACGGCCAGCATGATGGACCTAAAGCTAATTGAGTCCTGATATACTTTTGATTGTTGTAACTTGTAAGGCCCAGTGGAGAGCGATCATCGGCCTTTTGTTTAAATCATACAGGCATAAAACACGAATTAGGGCTAGTTCTGACCTAAAAACGACCTGAATCTCTGAGTTAGTTGGACCTGCCTATTTACGGATCAGGGGCGGATCTAGCTTTTTGCTAAGGGGGGGGGGGGTGAACCAATAACGATGCGAAGCATCGTCCACGAACCGAATAGCGGCGAGCCGATTTTTTGTGTGTGGCTATTTTGAACCTCCTGTGGAGCACTGTCCACGAGCCGCGTAGCGGAGAGGCGAATTTTTTGCTATATTGAACCCCCGTAAGTGATGTTTTCCTGGCATCTACTAACACAATGGAGACCTTAAAAGGTCTGGACACATGATGGCGTTTTTATATGCACATCACATTTTCACTTGACAGCCCAAGGGGGGGGGGGGTGGGGTTAAACCCCCTAACCTCCCCCCCCCCCCCGTAAAACCGCCCCTGCGGATAAATGAATTCCCTCGGTCCACTTTTAACTCGTGCTTTTAGCCCTTCTTTCTTTCCTTTTTCTTTCCTTTCCTCTCCGGGCCCGTCGCCCCCGTGTATCCACGCATGCATATACACACATACACACACCCGCACACATTTAGAAATAGTGACAAACTAAATGAAATATCAAAACTTAAATCGTATCAAAACAAAAACAATAAATCAACAGAAATGGTAGGACATTTCCTTGTCGAAAATATTTCCACCATAAAAAACCCGTTTATTGATTTCAGCACATCAAAGCCAAGTTATTATTGCTTAAACATTACCCTTTTCTTGTGAAAGTTGTGCTGGTAGAAGAAATCATCTGTGAGTTTGACCTTGTTGATCTTAGCTACCCTTTTAACAGTTGCTTGAGCCTCTTTATACCGACCTTTAGAGATTTGCCAACGTACTGATTCTGGGATGAAGCTAAAATCATCGACATGAAGGAAATAAAATATAACTGTCCGGACAAGCAGGCAATGTTGTTTTACTGAGAACTATTTTTACTTGATTTTATTGTTGTTTTAATTTCGGGACATGATGATAAATACATATAATCTGTCCTTATGGAAAATCATAGCCATTGTTCAAATTGAAAATGCCATCCTTCTGGTAGTGTACTACTATACTACTATTGCCTTGTACATTTATGTAACCTCATTCGAGCTCTACTGTAAACAGTTTTGGAAATTATAAACAAAATTATAGATTGGTGTCAAAATGCAATTTGGTATATATTTGAAATATAATTTGTTTTCCCTTAAAGTACTTATATTTGTAAAAATTTACAAATGATGTCAAATGTAAATATATATCATCATACTGATAAATGGCATTCAAGAGTAGAGAATTTATTTAGGACCATGCTTACAACATTTTATTTTTTTAATTCTCACACCAGTTTCAAACAAATGTTCAATATTAATAGTTTGAACAAGGCAGGTGTTAAAAATAGATTTTAAAATCCATATAAAAGACAGTTAAAATTCACGGACTTTAGCATCAAACCCAACCATGAGGAAGTGCTAAACTTTTATAACTTTACGATGCCATTTCTCATATACACGCATGGTGAACTACAGTGCGTCCCAGATAAAACGAAACCGAAAATTATCGATGTTTTATCATAACTTAATCACAATTATATTTGATAAATGACACATATTTGGAAAGCTTAGATCCTCTTCTTTCATTTGATGCAACTCATAATAATGCAAATTTCACACATGAGTGATTAAAATCAATTTGAAGAGAGGAAGCCGAAAAGTCGTTTGGCGGGCGGTATCTGAATTTCAAAGAGAAAATCACATTTCTAGAAAGTTGAGTTCCTGCCCTTTCATATGTTGAGCTAGGAATAACAAAGTTCTGTTTGTTTAAAGTAGTGCTTGCATTTCCATAATTTGATTAAACAAATTCGTTTTCACTGGCTGCCTGCCGTATCAACAAAAGAAATTAACAAAAGACGTAACTCCGCTTCGTTGACAATCAACCGTAGACGAAAGACTTCATATACACGCATGGTGAAATATTTCACAATGATTAAATAAACAAAACGATGAATATCAGGAAACATGATTGACCTGAACCTATATGTAAAAGTTAAAGCTAACACAATTATACTATATTTTCCAGGGGCCTGACATCTTTTGCGTGAATATTGAAATTCCACTGTCTACAGAAATGAGAAACTTTATATTGTATTAATAGTCGTTCAAATATACTTCATGCAGTCGATCAAATACACTTAGTAGGATTTATATACCTCTCATTAGAAATATAGTCATCTGTTTGGTAGAAATTGCAGTCGTGATTTTAGCGATGCCCTCATACCCTCCTACCAGTCAATAGTCTTTTGAAAGGTGCCCTCATACCCGCCTACCTGTCAATAGTCTTTTTAAAATGCCCTCATGCTACAATCCCCATTTGTTTACGTGTTAAAATGGTCTATGTGCGAGCGCGGACACCACAGAGTGCTTTTTGTCTGCGATTCCCAAATGACTGAAACTTCCAGTCATTTTTCCAGTGAAGATTAACAGATAGTGTCTCAAGTTTTCCGTGATGTTTTAATATTCGAGGTCTGGCTGTTTTATATGCTTTCGGGAACTAGCACACCCATGCGCGCCTCAGGGTCATGGCATGATGTGCGTGCGTTCCCTTGAGCATATAAAACAGCCAGGCCTCTTGATATATCTATACTAAAGACCAAGTATAGTAATCGAGCTCGCAGCCCGATTATGAGGTGACAGTTGTCTAACTATTGTAAATTTCGATGTTTTCAGGCTGAAGGGGCATATATGGCTGTAGTAGTAGTAGTAACGATGGTAGTGGTAGTAGTGGAAGTAGAAGTAGTTGTAGTGGTAGTAGTTGTAGTTGTAGTAGTAGTAGTAGTAGAAGTAGTAGTATTAGTAATAGAGGTAGTAGTAGTAGTAGCAGCAGCAGCGGCGACGGCAGTAATGTAGACCTGATTAGATAACTAGTTTAGCACTAGGGTAATTTGCCATAAGGTCCATTATAAAAGGTGTTCGCTTGTCATTTATCAAATTAGAAATAAAACAAGAAGAGGTATACTCACGGGTAAAAGAAGAAGTAGAGGGCAAAGGTCAAATGAAGTGCTAGGAGAAGATGGCGCCAATTGTTGATCAAATAGGCGTAGAAAGTGAGTAGAATATATCCTAACGGGAACACAGCTGTCAACATGACGCTGACAAACGCACGTTTCGACGGACCTACAAACTCTGTACCTGAAGAAAGATTTACAAGAAAGTCTCGTTAACTGATAAATATTAAAATAATTCCGTACTTCATCTCGGAGAGATCAATGAATTAATGAATTGTTACGAACCCTAAAATTCTTAATAACTTGTGATAATTTTGTTTAATTTAGAACTGAAAATTGTTTAGATTCGAATTCGTCTATATTTTTCGCATTAAACTCATATTAATTGTTTTCGAGAAACCGTCTATAGTAATGAGGTAATGTAAGTGTGATTTATTGTACAATAAGGATAGATTTTAAAGGAATATGTTCTAGCTTTCGAATGTGTTTGTTTCCATGTTACATATACAATCAGGATAATTTTCAAACAAAACATATTTATATATGCATGTATATATATGCATGTATCTTACACAGCAAATTAATCCCATTTGGCTGTGAGTCGTAACCAAAAGCAGTTATACTATCGGTCCTAAGTCCCCTGAGTTTGCATCACACTGTTTAATCCTAGGCAAACCCGAAACCCCCGAAACCACCGCAAAACTATTATAGAAGGGCACAGGACTAATAAGACTTATACCTAAAACTTGAAATATTTATTCGTTTTCGTAGCCCGGTAAAATTCCCATCCCTACTGAATAAACCATGAGAAGAGGGATGTCCAATGAAATATAACATTATTGGTGAATAGGGCAACACATATATAGGAAAAATCAAGGATTTTGTAAAAGTGGTGGAACTATTTCGAAATACCTTATGACAACGAAAAAGGAGGAAAACACGTTTTTGGTTACATGTACCTTTGGTATATATAGTTTGACAGGCACAAAGCTAAGTATGGTGCGCAATCTGTGTAGGTCCTACTTACATATACATGTACATGATTTGGTGTGTTAAAAGGGATCAAGGGATAGTTGTTACCCTCACCTCCAAAAATGTATTAATTAAATAAATAAATAAACCATAAATGAGGTGAAATCATAATAATAATAATAATATTACCAAATAAATAAATTAACATATATTTCTTTTTTAAATGAAGAAAAAAAAAATCATAATTTATAAAAATTTGTTTTCCTTTATGCAAAGTGGGCTGGCTAACCTATTACATACGAGGTGAGAGCAAAGCCGAAACAGGCTGCCGCTTCTATTGTTCTCATCACGACGAAAGTAATATAGTTGGGTGAGAACGCAGCACCAATGCCGAACAACACAAAGATGATGTTACAAAGGATGAGGGTTACTTTCCTCCCGAATCTACAGGTACAAAGGACAAAGTAAACAAAGAAATCAAGGTACAAACTTTTTAGTCTGATTACCTTGTTAATACTATAATAATTTGTTTGAATTATGAAACAATATGTCTTTCATGAATATTTTGTTATCTGTATTATATTTGTGAAATACATGTGAAATGTGAAACTAATAAACTCAAAACTCAAACTCAAAATTACAGATAGACACACACACACACACCAAAAAGAAATCCACCCACATTCAACACTGTATGCAATCATAGATCCCTGTGCGTAGTTGCACCAAGGGGCATTTAAAAAGAGAGCCTGCTAAAGGTTTATTAGATATTGTCTACCGGTAACGAAGGAAGTTAGCTGCTAATCATTACAGGTCCGCTAACCTTTTCGAGAAATATTTTTCTTCTTCCCATGACAGAAACCCGTCCCTGAATTGTTTTAAATAAAAAATCTAATATAGGGTGACCCAATACAAAACAAACTAGCATATATACTTCCAATAATGTGTTTGTGATGCAAGGTGGAAGTTCAAATTTTTCCAGTATCCACGAAATTTCGTTTTAAACTAATTAATCAATTTCATGTCTGTGTAAAAGGTCATTAAATTGCCTCCAAAAGAAAGGGAAAAGTGTGTAGAATATTATGTTTGTGTTAAAATTGACGTTCATCACAGCTTGCCTGAAGCTCAAACATAATACAATATTTTCTACAAGGAGCACTGCCAGTGGATGTCGTCAATACCGTTTCACAAAAATGTGTCTATAACAAAAAATACCTAACAAGATTTCTCATATTCGATATCACATTTCTTCCGGAAAGATTCCCTAGCTTGTGGTACCGTTGGCATTTGCCCCGCGTCATTGAGAGTATGCTAGTCCATTTTGTTTGGGGCACCCTGTATAAAGCCTTATACCTATCGGCTATTGCACCAAAGGTCACACATCCGATCAGTACGCCAACGAAGAAAAGGGATTGGGATAGGTTGATCAGGTATTTCCGGTCACAAACCAGGTCAAACTGTTTGAGAGTTTGAAAAGTTGACAATGTATAAGAACTGTTTGACATAATACATGCAGCACAATAACATTGATAAGCTCTGTATTTCCGTGCGTCATGACAATTATACTATGCGACCCCCTCCCATCCCGGGGAGACGGATGGATGTACCATTACATACCTATACCAGTTTCTTTGCACGGCCCTACTACAACAAGAAATTATCCCCTGAAAATATGTTCAACTTGCTTTAAAAGGATTTCCAAAAATATAGTAAAGTTTGTGAGAATGACATAAATTCAAGGATTAAGATTACTTTTGTTTTCAATATGTTTGATCAAATATTGAAGTTATTAAGCCAAGAATTACGAAGGACAAAAGTTTCTTCTTGAAAAAATAATAGTTACAATGGTATTAATAATTATAATGATAATAATAATAATAGTAATATATTGAAACAAATTTACTTGAAATCAAATGTTCAAGGCATAACCGTGCAAAAATTTAATAATAATGTAAATAACATACATAACAACATTATCATTATGAACAAAAGAACAGGAGTAATATAAACATATGGAAATGAAAGAGCGCAATTAAATATTTACAGATACTGAATCCAACTGGTGCATTTTAAGATTATTTATGAAGAACGAACATTTTTTAAAGTTTGATGAAGTCATATTCCAATATGTTACCGATTGAGTGATGGTCAACCCTGACGATGCCCTGTCATGCTCAAATCCTTGATCACATGATATGATGTCATGATATCCACTCTGATTGGTATTTTCCGCAAAGTACGACATTGCATCGCTAAACGATACCTGGGAGACATCGTACTTGTGACACTGATCGTATACAATCGTATGGTCGTCTGCTACAAAATGTGGAATGCTCAGATGTTTCTTGTAAAATGCACAGTCGCTTTCATTTAGTCCTAACCCGGTGCAGTTGGCAGTATCCCAGTTAGAAACCTAGTGAAGTAAGCAAAATGTGAAAGTACGTGTAAGATACAATTTACAGAGTCAGATCCCTTGAGTAAAAACTGCAGACCCTGTGCCCATTTAGAATATTGTTACTCACACTGCCACACCCTCGTGTTAAAAATGTTAGCTGAATACGTCCACATGACAACTCAGTTCTCTTATAAGGAGCTAGTTGGTGGCAATATCATATAACAAGTCTGATCAGGTTATAATCTGTTTTGTTTTTGGAAGGTCTACTTTCTTTCTCAGCATTTTCTACATTAATTTCCTTTTTGTTGTTTATCAACCGGCCCCAAATCCATGATACCAAGTTTGGAAGGATGCACAAACTCCCGTTGACCACTTTCCTGAAACATAACAAAGTTGATTCTCGGGTCGATTTCATAAGAGAACATACCAATAACAATATGACATCGTTTGCGCAATTAATTTTATAGCACAGACCATGATGGTCATGCAATCGGAGAGGGTTCATTTGCTGAACATTTGAAATTAGGCATAGTTTGCAAAAGAATTTAAGATCAAGCAAATGTTAATCGTTCTTTTACTGGACTTACAGAACACCAATGGTCAGCCGGAGTTGCCAGGAAAACGATAGCGAGAACATTGGTAACAGCTGGAAATTTGAAGGTAGACACCAGGGCACAGATGATCTTTTGGTAGGTACCAAACTCCCCAAGCGTAGGTAGAAAATCGTCGAAACCCATGTTCTTTGTCTGTTACGTATCAAACACTCAATGTCGATGTAATAATATCAACCGGGTTTTACAACAGAGTTCTAACAGTCACCTGACAATCACGAATGTGTGCGGAAGGGAGTGAGGGAGGGTGAGGGAGGGGAGGGAGGGGGAGGGGGAGGGAGGGGGAGGGGAGGGAGGGGGAGGGGGAGGGAGGGGGTGGGAGGGGAGGGCGGGGGGAGGGGCTCACAACAAATTTACCCCGGAAATTTGTCAGCATGCAAAACCATGAAAACAGACGAAGGCCTTCATATTTTCAAATTTACCGTCGCTACAGAACGTATTTTTTCAACACCCAAACCAAAAAATGTCATAAATGTTGAGATTTGCTGACAATAATGCAGACAATCCATAAACTTGTAAAGGCGGTGCTACGTCTGCATCCCCCTCTTTTTATAATTTGTATGCATATTCCTCTTCTACTTCATCGGTGTTTTTACCTTTGTACTTTAGTTGCTTACACAAGTTTGTTTTATTAATTGCAAAGTTAGGTACGGTATTGCATCGTGGGCATTAAAGTGTCATTAAGAATGTTTAAAGAGATTGATCTTTGCATGATAATTTTAAAAGAGAACAAACTTTTACCAAAGCCCCAATGAGTCTGATATGCGATTCAATGATGACTAAGCGTTTTGCCCTGTTTTATGCATTAACAATCGATCTTTATGGCATTGAGCGCCTGCCATATAACCTCCGTGAACATGACTTGTGATATAGTGATGACTAAGCATTGTCCCTGTATCTTGTGTTTGAATGATGCGAAAGTTTAGTTAACATGGATAGAACTTTATGGTATACTTTCTTTTGTAATTCATAGAATTTTATTTATCAAAAATCCAATTCTTGTTCGTACATATCATAGAAACAAAGAATTGTCCATAGTCTTTGCTTATACAATCTGAATTATAATTATAACAAAGCTTTTTGTCATTTGATAAACGAACGTAAATACAACATAATTCATCGTTTATACATTCCAATGATTATGACTAAAATATAGTACAATTACATAAAGGAAAACTATTATCGCACTGCACATTTACTTCATCACAAAAAACTAAAACAAGCTTTAACTTTCTTCATAGTATAACTAAATAATCCTTAAAGTTTTGATTTTCATATTTCTCAATATATCATCTACATTATTGAACCTCGAATTGTTACTTTCTTGAAAGAAACAATCTAGCCCAAAACCCTTTTCCTTCCTTCCCTCTTTTCAAACTCCTTGGACTTGACATCCCCTGCCTTCAATTAAGTTGTTGCCTTCGTTCTACCTCTAAGTGTTCAAATTGAGCTGTTAATATCACACGTACACGGGTTCAAGTATTCCTGTAAGAATGTAAAACTATAAACTTTTGTCAATTTATCGTAATCTATGAGATACTGGAAAAAGTTAAATGATTCGTTAAATGATGACTTTTCTATTACACCAAACTTTATGTATCGATTTACTACGACTGGTAGATGAGGAGAAATAAACTGAAATTTAATTATAAATTAACGTTCTTATATTTCTCGATACACATCATGTTTGTGAAACAAAACTACGAGATTTGGATACAGTCCAATATTTTTTTTTAATTATTATTGATACAGTATAACATAAAATACAATCCCGACATTAAGCATTTGGGTTCAAAAGTAGCTGAAAGGGCTAGTTTTTAAACCAATGTTTTTGTAAAAAGCGTTTTACACCAAAATGCTCTGTTTATTCTTCCATACGTCAATTTTTGACGGTAATCTTGAGCTTGATTCTTCAAATATTTGTTTTGAAAGACAAAAGAAATATTCAAAATTATGTCATTGAAATCACGGTGTCCCGAAAGTAGTCCGTAATACATTTTGTTAAAATCCTTAGAAAACAATGATAATAACTGTGACTTCTTTTTTGCAATTAGCAGATAAAGAAATAACATTAATGAGAATCTGAACCTGTATTGTACCGTCAATTCATTACAAAATTTGTCATGAAATTAATAGTAACATATTGATTTAGGTCATACTATTGCAGCGAGAATAAAAAAACACCTTTCCATCAAAAATATAATGATACTTTTCTTTTAGATAGTCGCGTGGGTATTTGATTGTGTCATTATGTACAAAAATCATGTCAGCGATGTAAAGTAGATTTCGTCATTTATTGTCCACTCTGGTTCATGTTGCAGAGTCTCATGCAGACACACCACCTCGCTGAGTTAAATGTAATTCGTCCATGCTTTGAATTTCTTCTGTCGATTTTCTGGAAAAGATGATTGTGTAAAAAACAAACAAAAATTATGAGTTTGATATTAGAATATGTTTAAATTTCCTACGTTTATGTTATAAATGGCTTGGAATATTCATTCTTAACATGAATCTGCATAACTATTTCGAAAATGTAACATTTACTCGATGATTATATCCTTGGACAATGTATTTTTTGTGTGTAATACCCACAAATTTGCCTCTGTCAACCCAGTTGTAGTATTCAGCAATGTTTTGGGAAATAATATTTATCATTGCATGGCATCCAGGAAGAGCATAATTAACACTGATGTGACAACTCTGGGTAAAAATACCTAAATATGTATATTTATTTATAATAATAACTTGTTCACCTACATTCCAAAAGTTTCACCATCTTCAAGAGTCTCTGGTAGTTTCTTGCCTCTCGTCTCTGGGAGGATAAAGCACAATCCAGCCGCCACCAGAGCAGCTATGGTCTGGAGAACAAAGGGACCAGGCGCCCATACATCATAGAGGAGCAACAGTAGAGGGGTTGCTATAGCAACGATGCGAGATGCCATGGAGCAGATTCCAACACCAACACTCCTGTTATAGTAAGATAGCAGAGGGGATGCACATTTTGTGATATTCTCAGGGTCTTATTTTCTTAGCACAGAAAGTGAACACTATATAATGATAATAATAATGATACTCAGTTCTTATATAGCGCTTATTAAAATCACTAAGCGCTTCCAAACTTGGAGATTATTACCCCGGCTTAAGCTATGCTGCCATTACGGCGCTCTAGCATTTCAAAAAATTGTATAAATATATATATATATATATATATATAAATATATATAAATATATATATATATATATATATATATATATTTATATATATATATATATATATATATATATATATATATATATATATATATATATACGTATATATATATATATATATATATATATATATATACGTATATATATATATATATATATATATATATATATATATATTTATATATATATGTATATGCAGCAATGGGAATACCCACCTAAAATTGACTTGGAGTCGCCCGACCTCAAGTCGACTGACCCTGGGTCTACTTTTGAACTTTATAATTCATGCAGAATAGTATTAATTTTGTTTAAATGAATACTATTAGCAGGCACGTAGCCAGAGTTTGATGTTTAGGGGGGAAGGACACATACATGTAATCGATCGAGGTAAACAAAAGTGGTCTAAAAGAGTTTAACCGATTTTGGAAATTTTTTGGGGGGCAGGTGCAGAATAACAAACATGGTCTCGATATTCTACCAATCAGGGAGAATGTGTAGTTCTAAAAACCCGTGCGTGAAGCGGAGTATGTAGTAACCATATGGCTGAAATATGTTCCCGGTCCGAAACCTTTAGTAAATATAAAATACTTGACGAGTTACCTGGTAGGAGTTGGTAGGATTTCGATGACATAAATTCCACAAATAGCCCACGAGGCAGCGATTCCAAACTTTCCGACCATGGCGATTGAAGTTTTGGCCGCACCAGCAGCTGTGAAAAAAGAAACACAAATGCAAAGGTATCATCAGGATCATGGTCTAGCTGATACGTCAATGCACTTTTGATCAAATAGTTCGCATTTCATGCAAAACTAAGGTCTATTGACAAAATAAGAATCTACATTTGCCACTCTCCACTCGGGTGTAGTAAACAGGTACCTGGTAGGAAATTATCCCTGGAGTGTTAGGGCAGCTTGGCTCAGGCCATGTTAATTAGAGTACTTTGTAGGAGCCTCGACTATCCCCTTTGATTGATGCGCACAAGCTACGAAACGCTAACCATTATTTTCTACCAAGCCTAACCGTTTAAACCATGTGAAAATAAACATGTGGCAAGTTCGGCAACGCAACATCTTAATAAGTGACTAAAAATAAGCTTTTATGTTATTTCATCACGTACTTATATACACAAGCATCTAGCTATGCCACTGTAACGATACGACTGTACTTACGGACGAAAATGACGATAAAGCTGGCCACGCCGGCAATCACAAAGGAAGCAATAAAGCTGTATCGACGACCAAACCATTCGATCAAAGGGATACAGAGCACGACTGAAACGATCTCGACAACGCCCGAGATGACGAAACTCAGATAGATATCGACTCCGAAGCTACCCGTGCTTAGATGGAAGCCATAGAAGATCAGGTTATTGGTCATCCTAGTAACGGCGGGTTTTAGTAAAAGAGCAGGATGGAACAATTATAGAGTATAAAGCCCGATGATTACTTCAAGTTTCCTCTTTTCGTCGAAAGGGCAGTCAATAAGATATGAAAATCTAAACAACCACCACCCTCCTGACTTAGGTTCTAAACCATGATAAGACTTCTGACAACCGGGATTTTAGTGCATTCAACTATTCTAGTCAGAATAAAGCCGTATCGGCTCAAAATCGTAGACAATCGAATGAGTCGTCTTACGTCAGTACGATTCTGAGCCGATTTGTCTTATCCTCTTCTAAGGAAGCATGAAATCTCTTGAAATTTAAATTTCCATGATCATATGACTATTCAGATCCTAGGTAAGTAAGATTTGTTTACACATTTGATTGTTTGTATCAAACGCTATTGTAAATCTTTCCAAAATCGGACCGTAGTCAGATCGTGTGGTGTGCGCCGAGCTTGAGTGTATAACAGCAAGACAAAAATCCGAGGCATATGGTCATTTGGTGTCCCATACGTCACTTTTGTAATTTTACGTCATATTTGGGTCTCGTCGCAGCTTTTAGTAGGGCCAACATAATACTAGTATAATAATAATAATAATAATGATAATCGTAATAATCATAATAATCATAATAAAAATAATAAAAGTAATATTATTAATAATACTTCTACTTCTACTTCTACAACTATACTCCTACTAATAGAATTATTAATCATAAGGATAATAATGATAACAATAATAATAATTATTACTATGATTATATTAATAATTGGGTCCGATTGACCCATGGTAGCCACATAAATATTAATACTGCTCTTCCTGCGAGTCCCGTAATTTATATTAACCCAGCAACTGCCAGGTACCCATTTACACCTGGGTTGTGAATAAATATCTTTCCAAACGATGTTAGGGCCGGATTCGAACCCTCAGCCCTTGGATTGAGGGTCAAGTGAAAGAAGTATTGTACCACGACACCTACACCTAAAATCAAGTTTAGCGAAAGGAAAATGTTAACCTCAGACTAAATTAATTCTTTAAACCCCATTTGAAACACGAGCTTATCCAATGGCCATGGAATGTTGAATTTAGATTTTAGTTCTATGCACGGGCCAATATCATGACAAAATAAAGCCAGGGTTAATTGCTACCGGAGCACCTTCAAAGCAATAAGTCCTTAAAATAGTTCGACATGATTGTTATTTGGGCCTACTCATGTGGACATGCCCTGCATTTCTAAAAAAAGTATCCCTCCAAACATGATAAAATGTCATACCGTAATAGAGAAGCTTATAACTTTAATAAATAAATACTAATTCCCATGTTAGTGATTGCAAATTTACATCTGCAAAGTCCTCAAGCAGGTTCATCCAGATACCGGCATCTCCAGTTGGGCCATGATCATCATGAACAGCTTCGTCAACGACTTTATTTCATAAATTATTGGTTTTTATGTACAGATTCATTACCAAGGTTCACAAATATCACACTTACCAAATAACTATCATAATCATCATTCTCTTTCGGAGGACAGGTGTTCGAAAGAGATCGGTAAGATTCGTGTCGTGTTTCTTGTCACCTTGTCTATCCTACGGAGGTAAATTGCCGCAGCAAAACAATGTGTTAATAATTAAAAAAAAATAATGGTAACTAGACATGGAATTCGCCACGGTGACGAATTAGGTGATCTGTTGCTTATATCTAGACATAAAATATGTAGAAACTCAAAGGAAGAATTGGCCTTTCACAAAAATCACGTCTTTCACTTATACAACACGCCTATTTACAAGCTTCTTTGGTAATCAAGGATGTAGAAACAGTAGAAATGATTGTGCTGACTGTTGTTCGGTACAACCCTGTGTATGTGTGTGTATGCCAAACGGTAAATTAAACAATGGTATCATCGATCTTGTAGAGAATTCTCAGCTACAACATATACAATTTTTTTAAAGAAAATCAACGATATATGAGTGAGAACTTGACAAATGAATATAAATATTAGGATGTCATTTTTCCCAAATGTTTTGTTTTAGTTCATATTATGCAAATATGATGACGGCATGACCAAATGACTCCTCAAATTTATTCATGAATTCCAATTTAGAACTAATAGGCTTTCACAAAATGAAAACCAAATAGGGGTTACTAGCCTTTCTGACGAGCGGATTCAAGTTAGGAATGTTTTTACCACTTTCGACATTATATATTGCCCATTGACGCGCTCATGAATTTGAATTTTCTGTCCCTTCTCCTTCTTCTTCTTCCTTCATTCTTTGATTTGATTTTGCCTCGCCTTTGCTTGTGTATACACTTTTACCAATTGTGTATTGTATTTGTTCAATGATTTTTAAAGTATTTTTTAAACTCCATTTTACCCTATTTTATCCATATTGAATTGAACTTGATTGAATTTAACTGAATCTGTCATGACAATAGTTTATCACCCCTCTTCACCCATATCTTGTCCACTTTAGGCATGGTTGTATATTTCCACTTTATTTTGTTCTTTTACTCTTTTAACTCTTTTATCTTTATCTTCTCTTACTTCCAGGCGCGTAGCCAGAGTTTGATGTTTGGGGGGGCACATACATGTAATCGATCGAGGTCAAAAAAAGGGGTCTACAAAATTTCAACCGATCCTGGAAATTTTAGGGGGGGGCACGTGCCCCCCCCCCCCCGTGCCCCCCCCCCCCCCCCCCGTGGCTACGCGCCTGCTTACTTCTGCTTCTTTTTCCTCTAATTGTTCTCCTTCCATTTCTTCTTCTTCTTCATCATCGCCTTCTTCTTTTCCCTTCTTTTCCGTATCCTCCTATATGAATTATCCATTGTCGTTTTCTACTACCTTTTCCTAAACCTCCCCCCCCCCTCAGTCTTTAGTCTTTCTCTCTAAATCTCTCCCACTCGTAATTTCAATAAGTTTCAGTGTATTTGAAAACGTTACTCCTCGCTTTTCGGTTTCTACTCTCGATATTTTCCACCACATATATTGCTCCGATTACCGTTTACTGCTTACTTCAGTCCTTCTTCTTTTATATGATTTCGGTAGAACTATGTTACTTTATGCTATTTAATTCAGATTTCTTTCTACTTTATGTTTCCATATGTTGCAATAAGCTAAATTTCTCGCATTTATACTGATTTATTTTTCCAATTTAATATATCATGTTATGCTATGTTATATATTACATTATGTGTTATTAATTTGTTTGTAAACTTTTGTAATTTGGCTTAACGCCGCAATGAAAGTTTTATTTGAAATAAACCATTTTGAATAAACGAATTATGGAATGTCGAGAATGACTGTAAATAGTTGGAGATTGTCAAGAATAGTGTCGTCATGTCAGAAAGACAAACCATGCAAAAACGGCGTTTCTACGTTCGGTACGTGCTGCGCACGCGCATAATGCGTGTACGAACGCTTACGCACGGAAATTTTGAAATGCTTGAAATGTCCTGAAACGTTCTCTTCTTTGATTCAAAAATGAATTTGAGCAGTTTATAATTCTGACGTGCGCGGATTTTGTTAACTTGTGTTTACACATGACCTCAAATTTATGTATATAAAATGTCATTCAGAAATTACAATGTATGAGTTAAATATGGCCAATATTTGAAATTCACAAAATGGCGCCTGGATGACGTCAAGCATCAGTAGTTTAAAACAAATCTCTTCGTTAGGCACAATAACCATGCATATGCTACATGCCATGACAGTTTCAACGTCATTCACCTGCCATTCATGAGATATCCACAACAGAAAATTCATAAAGAAAGAAAAAGAAAGAAAAAAAATCTGACGAAATCAATAAGTGCTTTGCCATGCTTCGCGGCAGATCACCTAATAATTAAAATAATGATAATCATCATCATCATCATTTTCATCACCACCATCATAATATTAATCAAAATACTACTAATATTACTACTACTCATACTAATACTCTAACTAATACCCCTTCTACTACTATTAGTTATAATATTGATAATAAATAACAGGATAGAAATAATTATAATAAAGGTCATAATATGAATAGCAATAATAACAATAATAACAATGATAATATGCCTTGATCACCCAAGGTAGCATTATCAGTATTAATACTGGTCTCCCTGAGAATGTTGCATTCATTCATATTATATGTTACATACCTTTGAGTTGTAGAAGTTGGTTTGCTGGAAGAAGTCATCTGTGAGTTTGACCTTATTGATCTTAGCGACCTTTCTAATACTAATTTCAGCTCGTTTATATCGACCTTTAGAGATCTGCCATCTTACAGATTCAGGGATGAAGCTAATATGAAACGGGTAAAAAAAGAAACAATAATATTGATTAGAAATTAATAAATTAATCGTATATGAATCGTATTAATAATGATAGCGGCGATAACAGCAACAACAACAAACAATACTACTACCATCAATAATAATGATGATAATAGAAATAACTCCACAGTAGTTGCCAGATACCAATTTACACATCGGTTGAGAGTGGCCAATGCAGATTAATGCCTTGTCACAAAACAGAAAGTACTGAGCTCTGATTCGAACCCTAAAACCTTGAATTGAGAGTCAAGTAGATGGACTTCAAAATCACACATATACCTCGATTGATTTACAAAAAATAAAATTATCTTTCATACTCTATCAAAATAAAGTAGTTTATTTCACCTTCATGTTTGGTCAAGCAAAACAAGTGGAAAGCAATGTTACGTAAGGGTTTACTAGCAGCAAACAAAACGTATTGGAGTCGCATTATATTTCAATGACGATAGGGGGATATAGCAGTTTTTTTAAAGGTCGATGATATTTTTTGTCTGGAATAAATGCAATAAATTTGTGTCTAGAACTTTGGAGTTGGAAGAATAAAATGATGATAAATCCTGATAAAGTTCATTTCGATAGAAGAGGAAATCGTAAGAAACAGAGCAGTGCAAATTAAGAAATCCTAGAAAGAGGTGTACTCACGGGTAAAAGAAGAAGAATAGGGCAAAGGTCATATTCAGTGTTAGTAGAAGATAGCGCCAATTTCTGATCAGATATGCATAGAAGGTGAGTAAAAGATACCCCAAGGAAAACGACACGGAGATGAAGATGGCAACAAATGCCCGTCTCGATGGACCGACGAACTCCGTACCTATGGAAGAAATAAAATATCACAGACTCAATGGCGTAACGGTGGGTTGGGGAGGGGGGGGGGGATTTTTACGTCATATTACTCCAGGAAGTGTCTGAAAATGCGTCTAATGTGGTTCTAAACTTGCAAATGCTTCCGACTCTGGGAGGGGTCAGAACCCCATGCCATGATTTGCCCCCCCCCCTCCGGTAAGAAATTCGTGGATCTGCCACTGAAGCCCATACCCCTTGACCCCCGCCGGGGCTCTTCCCCTAGATCCCACTTTGAAAAACGTTCACCGGGGCCTGCATGTACGAGTGCGGCCCCCCTGGCACAAAAAAAAAAAGAATTTGTGCTAAAGAAAGCAACAATTTTTTGTTAATGGCTCATCTGACCGTGATTAAATGCCTCGAAACCCCCGAGCTTCCGGGGGCTCTACCCCCTGGATTTCACCTAGGGCCCAAAATCAGGCACCTGGATGCTCGTCTGACAGTAATTTAATGCCTAAAACCCCTGAGCTCCTGGTGGCTCCGCCCCCTGAACCCCACACCAATTAGTAACCTACCAGTGCCACAAATAAGGTATCAAAATATGCTCATCTGACCGTAATTAAAGGCCTAAAACCCCTTTCCCCCCCCCCCCCCCCCCCCCAAGCCACTGAACAAAATATCTGACGACGTAATTTTCCAATTTCCGGGGTAAAAAAAAAAAACAGAACAAAACAAAACAAATTGCTCATCTGTCCGTGGTTAAATGCCTTAAAACTCCTAAGCTTCCGGGGGCTCTACTCCCTAGACCCCACCTAGGGCCCTCAGGCGGACGGATGGATGCTAATCTGACGGTAATTTATTGCTTAAAACTCCTAACCTTCCGGGGGCTCTACTCCCTAGACCCCACCTAGGGCCCTCAGGCGGACGGCTGGATGCTAATCTGACGTTAATTTATTGCTTAAAACCCCTGAGCTTCTGGGGTCTCGGCCCCAAAGACCTCACGCCAATTAGTGTCCTGCCAGTGTCACAAATAAGGTATCAAAATATGCTCATCTGATCGTAATTTATTGCCCAAAACTCCCTAGATCTGACAACGTAATTTTCCAATTTCCGGGGTAAAAAACAAAACAGAACAAAACAAAACAAATTGCTCATCTGTCCGTGGTTAAATGCCTTAAAACTCCTAAGCTTCCGGGGGCTCTACTCCCTAGACCCCACCTAGGGCCCTCAGGCGGACGGATGGATGCTAATCTGACGGTAATTTATTGCTTAAAACTCCTAACCTTCCGGGGGCTCTACTCCCTAGACCCCACCTAGGGCCCTCAGGCGGACGGCTGGATGTTAATCTGACGTTAATTTATTGCTTAAAACCCCTGAGCTTCTGGGGTCTCGGCCCCAAAGACCTCACGCCAATTAGTGTCCTGCCAGTGTCACAAATAAGGTATCAAAATATGCTCATCTGATCGTAATTTATTGCCCAAAACCACTGAGCTTCCGGGGGCTTGGTCCCCTGGACCCCACTCCAATTCGTGACCTGCCAGTGTCACAAATATGGTATCAAAGTATGCTCAACTGACCGTAATTTATTGCCCAAAACCCCTGAGCTTCTTTTTTTGCCCCGGAAATTGGAAAATTACGTCGTCGGATATTTCGTTCAGTGGCTTGGGGGGGGGGGGGAACAAGGGTTTTAGGCATTTAATTACGGTCGGATAAGCATATTCTTTTACCTTATTTGTGATACTGGCAGGTCACGAATTGGTGTGGGGTCCAGGGGCGGAGCCCCTAGGAGCTCAGGGGTTTTAGGCATTAAATTACCTTCAGATGAGCTACTTTTTTTTGGGGGGGGGGGACCCTCGGAAATTGGAAAATTACGTCGTCAGATATTTCGTTTAGTGGCTTGGGGGGGGGGGGAAGGAACACTTTTGTTGTTTGTTTTTTTAGCACACATTCTTCTTTTTTTGCAAGGGGGGGGGGGGGAGCGGGCCCCCTGGATCCGCCACTACCCACAACTGTTACTGTTCGATTTACATCTTTTGAGTGTCTGAGATGAACAGATCGACCTGTTTGAACTGGGATCACCCCCCCCCCCAAAAAAAAAAAAAATAAAAAAAAAAAAATAAATAAAATAAATAAATAAAAAATAAATAAATAAATAAATAAATAAATAAAATAAAAATAAAAATAAAAATAAAAAATAAATAATAAAAAATAAAAAAAATGCTCATCTGAGCGTGATTAAATGCCTTAAAACCCCTAAGCTTACGGGGACTCTGCCTCCTGGATTTCACGTAGTGCCCAAAGTCAGGCACATGGATGCTCATCTGACGGTAATTTAAGGCTTAAACCCCCTGACGCCAATTAGTGGCCTGCCAGTGTCACATATAAGGAATAAAAATATGTTCATCTAACGATAATTTAATGTATGAAACCCCTGAGCTTCTGGGGCCTCCGCCCCCTGGACACCAATCTATGTCCTGCCATTGTCACAAATAAGGTATCAAAATATGCTCATCTGACAGTAATTAAATGCCTATTCCCCCTGAGCTTCTGGGGGCTCCACCCCTTGACCCCCGCCGAGAAACGTTCAGCGGGGCCTGCATGTAAGATTGGAGTGATGGGGCTTTGTTGTCCCCCCCCCCCTTCCCCTAAGAAATCCTGGATCCGCGCCTGCGTGTCGCTGTCACATGTTACTAACAATTCTAGAAGCGATTAACTTATCTAGTATCACTATACCGGTACGAAGAAAATGTGATTAGATCAACACGTAATTGTGTCCTTGGTTGAGTTGCGATCGGAAAGATCGAGTGCGGTCGAGAAGTGCACGGGGTGTGATCGAGAAGCAGTCGAGAAGTGAGCGAGTTCGGTCGAGTAACTCTTTAGGGCAGACATGTACCGATTGTGAAGCGGTTGAGTTGTTGATCGGGGTGGGTTTTTCCGTCGATCACTACCCGATCATCTCGATTTATACACAACTTCTACACGATTGGTTCCCGATCAACCTGATCCGCCACTGCCCACAACTGTAACTGTTCGATGTACATCTCATGAGTGTCTGAGATGAACTGAACGCTGATCAAAAATTAGTACTGTTCCATCAGCTGACACTAATATTTTGTGCAACCAATCAATTCACGAGTCATCTTGGATCCCTGTTTGAACAGAGATTGTGTAGAGATCGTGTGAACGTCCAGTTGGTCTAGTAGGGATCGCGTTGGGATTGTATGTAGATCGGAATGATCGAGAAGAGATCGAAGTTGTGGTCGACCATACATCGTGCAGGAGTCGTTAATGGTCGAATGTGGGTCGTCAATGGTCGAATAGCGGTCGGGAAGAGCTTGTGTTTAAGCATGGGGTCGGGATTGGTCGGGGAAAAATGGGTGATCGGACTTGATTGGGCTTGGTCGAGTTGGTTTGATCGGCAGTGGGAGTCCACCATAAACGATACAGTAATGTGAAGCATCATGCATTTAACATCATCGTAACAAAAAAACTGTTACGATTTTTCCGGGTCATTGGAGGTCTTTTGTCTGTTTTGTGTCGGTATCGTTGGTGTGAGGGTATTTAGCAACTAAGAAAGGAAAGTCTAGGCTTTGCTGAGCTCTAACTAACCTATCACCATGGAGATGAGAAGCATCCCGTAACATCCTGCAGCCTGGAAAGCCCTCAACACGACGAAAGTTATGTAGTTCGGAGAAAAAGCAGCACCGACACCGAATACAACCACGAGAACATTGGAGATGATGAGTGTTATTTTTCTTCCATATCTACAAACACAGATGAACAATACATGATTAGAGTTTCTTCATGAGGAAACTATGATGTACTAGCACTGAGCACCAGAGTCCCAAATAATAATACTAGTAGTAATTAGTTTAGTAATGCTATCATTAACAATAAAATGAAGAATGGCAGTAATGATATTATAGTAATAGTATCAATAACAATAATAAGAAGACTGATAGTAATGATAATATAGTAATAATATCAATAACAATAATAAGAAGACTGATAGTAATGATAAAGGAAACCAAAACCTTCATACTAAGTTACTTTTATTGTAAAGTTTAAGATATTTGAAAAATATCAGTGAAAATTTGAACAAAATCGGGCAAGGAATAAGGAAGTAAGAGCTTTTTGAAATGACTAGTCACTAGAGGGCGGTATTCCATTTGATGACATCATCTGTGGACAACTCTCCATGCCTTTTGTACATCAAATTTCATGTTTTTCCTTCTTTCTTGTGATTGAGATAATGTACTCCCCTGAAAGCAAGATATAGAATGCAAAATGATATTCTACTTCACATGTTATGAAGTCGGATCAAGAACAAAAATAAATACGAAGAAAACAAAAAAATTGTGAAATTTTATGTACAAAAGGCATGGAGAGTTGTTCACAGATGATGTCATCAAATTGAATACCGCCCTCTAGTGACTAATCATTTCAAAATGCTCTAACTAGGCGTTGTGGCGTGCGCCTGTAATCCAGCTAACAGTGGAAGTTACAAACTGATTCAGCCGAGAACGCAGGTTCGAAACTGAGTCACGTCTTTCGGATGGTGACGTTAAAAGTCGGTCCCCAGACGTAAATAATCATATCTGATTGATACACGTCTGTAAAAACCCAAATACACAGACACACACACTCTAACTTTCTTATTCCTTGCCCGATTTTGTTCAAATTTTCACTGATTTTATTCAAATCTTTTAAACTTTACAATAAAAGTAACTTAGTGTGAAGGTTTTGGTTTCCTTTAATATAGTAATAATATCAATAACAATAATAAGAAGACTGATAGTAATGATAATATAGTAATAATATCAATAACAATAATAAGAAGACTGATAGTAATGATAATATAGTAATAATATCAATAACAATAATAAGAAGAATGATAGTAATGATAATATAGTAATAGTATCAATAACAATGATAAGAAGACTGATAGTAATGATAATATAGTAATAATATCAATAACAATATTAAGAAGACTGATAGTAATGATAATATAGTAATAATATCAATAACAATATTAAGAAGACTGATAGTAATGATAATGTAGTAATAATATCAATAACAATATTAAGAAGACTGATAGTAATGATAATGTAGTAATAATATCAATAACAATGATAAGAAGAATGATAGTAATGATAATATAGTAATAATATCAATAACAATATTAAGAAGACTGATAGTAATGATAATATAGTAATAATATCAATAACAATAATAAGAAGACTGATAGTAATGATAATATAGTAATAATATCAATAACAATAATAAGAAGAATGATAGTAATGATAATGTAGTAATAATATCAATAACAATAATAAGAAGAATGATAGTAATGATAATATAGTAATAATATCAATAACAATATTAAGAAGACTGATAGTAATGATAATATAGTAATAATATCAATAACAATATTAAGAAGACTGATAGTAATGATAATATAGTAATAATATCAATAACAATAATAAGAAGACTGATAGTAATGATGAAGGAAACCAAAACCTTCATACTAAGTTACTTTTATTGTAAAGTTTAAGATATTTGAAAAATATCAGTGAAAATTTGAACAAAATCGGGCAAGGAATAAGGAAGTAAGAGCTTTTTGAAATGACTAGTCACTAGAGGGCGGTATTCCATTTGATGACATCATCTGTGGACAACTCTCCATGCCTTTTGTACATCAAATTTCATGTTTTTCCTTCTTATCTTTCTTGTGATTGAGATAATGTACTCCCCTGAAAGCAAGATATAGAATGCAAAATGATATTCTACTTCACATGTTATGAAGTCGGATCAAGAACAAAAATAAATACGAAGAAAACAAAAAAATTGTGAAATTTTATGTACAAAAGGCATGGAGAGTTGTTCACAGATGATGTCATCAAATTGAATACCGCCCTCTAGTGACTAGTCATTTCAAAATGCTCTAACTTTCTTATTCCTTGCCCGATTTTGTTCAAATTTTCACTGATTTTATTCAAATCTTTTAAACTTTACAATAAAAGTAACTTAGTGTGAAGGTTTTGGTTTCCTTTAATATAGTAATAATATCAATAACAATAATAAGAAGACTGATAGTATTGATTATATAGTAATAATATCAATAACAATAATAAGAAGAATGATAGTAATGATAATATAGTAATAATATCAATAACAATAATAAGAAGAATGAAAATAAAATAATTGTATCAATAATAATAATATAAAAGGAAGAATAACAGACCTAGTAATAATAAAAATGAAATTAATGATGAAATTATAACAATGACAATTCTAATAACAATAACAATGTTAATTATAACAATAAATTTATGTATAATATATGATATGTCCATTTATACATTTGATGCAACTCATTATGATGCATATTTCACGCGCAAATTTGAAGAAAGGGTACAAAAAAGTCATTTGGCGAACGGTATCTGAGTTTCAAAGAGAAAATCACATTTCTAGAAAATTCATGTTCTGCCCTTTCACATCTCAATCATTAAAACTGAGCAAGGAATAACAAAATTCTGTTTGCTCAAAGGGACTTGGTAATATTGTTAAGATGAGAGATAGTGGTGCTAAGGTGGTGACTTCAATGCTAGATGTACAATTAAAGATAATTTGAAAATTTGAGTTAAAACGGACCATTATTTATGGTACAAATAGGGAAAAACTGATCTGATCGATTCCTCAATTCTCCCAACTATATTATTACAATTTAATTACATTTTAGGGGAATGGAAATCGTCACAAAGCATTAAAATGGCTCTACATACATTCCATTCCAGGCATTTAAGTGTTGACAGATTTTTTTATAGCCTGTTTTATTTTTTTTTTCATGGAAAAACGTTTGGGAAAATTAAAAAATGGTTGGGAGAATTTACTGTTAATCACTGTTAGAGGGTGTCGTACATCGACATTTTCACAGAAAACCATAGATGTCTTCGTGGTTTGAGAAATTTTTCAGGATTTTTTGCATGTCAAAGGGGGAGTACAGTAGAAGGATTTAGTAAATAACATTATATACAAAATTAAGCAATTTGTTCATCAACCTTCAACAATGTTACCAAGTCACTTTAAACTAATGCTTGCATTTCCATAATTTTAGTAAACGAATTCACTGGCTACCTGTCGTATTAACAAACAAAGTTGACAAAAGACTTGCCTCCGTTGGCCCATGAATTTCAACTGCCTAATCAACATCTCACGTATCATTTTCCTTTGCACTCCAGCTCGTGTAAGAACTTCCTCATTACTAACTCTGTCAGTCCAGGGGATTTTCATCATTCTTCTTAAGAACTACATTTCGCAACTTTCCAAACGCTTTTTAGTATCAGAGGCTAAAGTCCACATTTCACTACCATACATAAGTACTGGGTAGATGTAACAATTCAATACTCTTATTTTGGTCCTCATACTCATTGTTCGATTTGTCAGAATTTTGCCTAGCTTTGAAAATGAAGATTTAGCAAGAGCTATCCTTCTCTTGATCTCTGTCTCACATCTGGCATCCTCGGTGATCATGCTGCCGAGGTAGTTAAATGAGGAGACTTGTTTAATAATCTGTTCTTTCAGTTTCAAGTTACATTTTGGACTGCTCTTCTTAGAGACCACCAGGCACTTTGTCTTGGTATAGTTGATCTCTAGTCCCATTCTCTCACTTTCTTTTACAACTACATTCAGGAGTCTCTGGAGATCTTTTTCTGATTCAGAAAATAAAACAGTGTCATCAGCATATCTAATATTTGTGATCGAATGACCACCCACTTGTATCCCATTTTCATCTTCCAATTCTCTTAGAATGATTTCACTATACATATTGAACAGGTCCGGCGACATAACACAACCCTGTCTGACTCCCCGTCTGATGTTAATATATTCACTACACTCTCCTTCTACCCTGATGCATGCAAACTGATTCCAATATAGACTTTGTAGCAGTCTTAGATCTTTCCTATATATATCAAGCTTTTTCAGCTCTTCAAAAAGTTCTGAATGTTTTACTTTATCAAAAGCCTTTGAATAATCAATAAAACACATATACACGTCCTTTTGCATTTCGACTGCTCTCTCCGTTATATTTCTAACCACAAATATTGCATTTCTTGTGCCCGCATCCTTTACAAAACCAAATCGTTCCCTTCCGACCATAGGAGATATTCTACTTCTTGCTCTCAAAAGCAAAATCCTCAAAACAATCTTAGTGATATGGCAAATAAGGCTGATTGTCCTATATTGCTCACAATCCACGGCTCCCGGTTTCTTTGGGAGAGTAATGAAAATGGATCTGCCCAATTCATCAGGAAATGTTCCGTCATCATATATTTTGTTAATAATTTCTGTTAATCTATCAACACCATATTCGTCTAATTCTTCAAACATTTCAGTGACCACACCATCTGGTCCAGCTGCTTTGTTCTTCTTCATCTTTGACATATTGCCCAACGGACTCCAGATTTAAGAATTTTCTACCCTTTGACTTTATTTGCAAAACTTGGCATTGGTTCCCTACTATCTTCAAAAAGTTCGCCAGTGTATTGCATCCAACTACTCATTTTGTCCTTCATTTCAAACATCTTTTCCTTTGATACAGCCAGGGTTTGAACAACCAGGCTTTTTACCTGAAATTTCATTTATTCTTTGGTAAACATTACTATTCTTATCGAATTGATTTTCAGCCCCTGGATATGTTTTTGATTGTTTCACTGCTCTTTTAAATCTACTATTTATGGCAATATAGTCTATCTAGTTTCTGACGATGTCGCCAGGACTCTTCCAAGTGTATACTCGTCTAGGGTGTTCTTTGAACCAATTATTAGTGATGACCATGTTCTCCCCCTCACACCACTGAACCCATCTGTCTCCTCGTTCATTTCGTTCACCAATTCCATGCGGACCTACTGCTTTGCCCTCTGTACCATGACCGACTTTAGCGTTCAGGTCTCCCAGGACAATGACAATGTCATTCGATTTGCACTGGGATTTAGCTTTATCTAATGAATCATAAAATGTGTCAATAACTTCATCAGCGCTATCTGCCGTTGGTGCATAAATCACTATGTTTGAGATGTTAAAAGGGTGTCCCTGTAATTTCACTAGGAGCACCCTATCACTTACACACCAGTGTCCCAACACACTCTTTGAGATATCTGGATCCAGCAGTAACCCCACACCTCTTTCATGCGTTTCACCTCCTGCATAAATCAATCTGTAATCATCTATCACAAACTCGCCGTTATTCAGCCATCTTGTTTCATTTAGTCCCAAAATGATGACATTTAGCCTCATCATCTCTTGTTTAACATTTTCCAGCTTGCCGCTCTGATACAGTGTTCTCACATTCCATGTTCCAACTCTGATGGGATTCCTATTGCAAATAGGAGTCAGAAGGGCTCACGTTATTTACAAAACATATTCATTGTTCATTCAGTGATATATCCACAAGATTATACGTATCTGTGATGAAATATCAGTGATAAAGCAAGATATAGGGGCGCTTGTCACCCCACCACTTTCCCCAAAACGAATTGAAGCAAATCTAAAAGGGGGAGATAGCACGACATCGAGGAAGGGAAACATAGCAAGGGATGTGGATAAGATAAGTCACGGACTGTAAATCACAAGGTGTCGTGCAGTTTGATTCCCTGTCATGACTGTGACGTCCTTTGGCAAACTGTTAACCAGGTGTAGTAAGTGGGTACATGGTAAGATCATTTTTTTCTTGAATGCAGTGTGTGTTAATAAGGGAACTTTAAAATGGAAAAATGAATTCCAAGGTCCTTGGGAAACGCCTAGATACATAATGTATCAGGAATGCCCAATTAAAAAAAATGGATCATTTTCATTATCATAAATCATATCGTGACAATTATTAACCGACAATGCTATTACATTTTCATGGAAAACCCTGCCCTACTCCATCTCCCCCATCACAGAGCATTTCTTCCACACCAGTGCCCCTCCCCCCGCCCCCGCCCCCGCCCCGCGCTTCCTCACCCGTCATTCGAGCCAGAAGGGCACACATTATTTACAAAACATATTCAGTTTAGAAATCGGACCTTTTTTAACTGATGAGAGAACATAAGTTTATTCGAGAAATGTTATCGCTTCTTTTTCGTTCTTTGTTATATAAAAAACACAACTATAAAGCCAGTGCCTTTTCGTGTAATAGTGTTGACTTTAGGCCTACCTGTCTGAAATTGCACCAAAAAGGAGAGAGCCTATGAGTACGCCTATGAAGAAGATGGATTGAGACAGATTGATCAGGTATTTCCGGTCACAAACCAGGTCAAACTGCAAGGAAATCCAAAAGAAAGCAACAACTATGTCATTTCATTGCCGATGTAGATTTCTTACGCATTTCGGTTAACCTTTAGATGGACGGAAGTGGCTTGAAATGAAAAAATACAAATTTCCCGTACCCCTCTCTAGATGTAAAATAGCTCATATATTTATCTTATCATAATGGTTGCTTACTTACCATCAAATAATGATGTATTTTTCAAAATTGTTAATAACAATGGCTTGCCGGATTAGTAAATGCATATTTGAAAGGCAAGATTATTGCTTTCATCATCAAGCTATTTTTTAAAGATATTCTATTGAAAGTTTGACTTCCACTTGGTTAGAAATAATCAGTCGTCATTTCTGCATATTGAAGTGCCACAACTTTCTGGCGAATAGCTGACACTTTCCTTTCATTAACAGATCTTCAAATATGAATTTAGTCAAATCAACCGTAACCGATTTCTGTCGCAATTATTGCTATTAAACACATGCTAGATCAAATCACTCTTTGCAGCCAATCTTTCACATACCAGGGAGGGCTGATATAATCAATAAACGTTTAATGAAAAGACAACACGTATCGTGCAAGAAATGTAAACTTTAATTAATTACAAAATAAGAGTGAAGAAGAAGAAGAAGAAGAAGAAGAAGAAGAAGAAGAAGAAGAAGAAGAAGAAGAAGAAAAGAAGAAGAAGAAGAAGAAGAAGAAGAAGAAAAGAAGAAGAAGAAGAAGAAAACGTCAACAACGACGACGACGAAGACGAAGAAGAAGAAGAAGAAGAAGAAGAAGAAGAAGAAGAAAGAGGAGGAAAAGGAATAGGAGAAGGAGGAATAATAAGAAATAGATGTGTTAGGCCTACCGACTGGGTAAGGGTGTATGCTGATAACGCCCTGTCGTGCACCCATCCTTGATCACATGACATGAAGTCATAGCGAGATCCACTCTGATTGGTGTTTTCCAAAAAGTACGCCATCGCATCACTAAACGATACCTGGGAGACATCGTACTTGTGACATTGATCGTATACAATCGTATCGTCGTCTGCTACGGAATGTGGAATGCTGAGATATTTTTTGTAGAATGCGCAATCGCTCTCATTTAATCCTAACCCAGTGCAGTCAGCATTGTTCCATTCAGATACCTATGCAAGAAGTAAAAAAAATAAGTATCGACTTTAAACCGCGTCTGTTGTTACAGTTTAGTGTTTACTATTCATCAAAATACAAAATATATGCAAATTTCTATTGTAGTATACTTTAATCACGTCTCCTAACTTGCAGGACGATAAATTATTAAGCGCATAAGGGAGATGTGAATTGGTAAAGCAGTAAAGAACATTACTTTGCAGTGGCGTAGATGGCCAGATGCACGACCCCGATCCCATCGAATCCCCCCCCCCCCCACTCACCACCCCCCCCCCCGAAAAAGGAGGGGAGAACAGTAGAGAAAATGTAGGGAAGAGTGAGAATGACGAACGAGGAAGATATAAAGACCTCCTCCCATTCATTCCTCTCTCCCGGTCAACAAACCGATTAATACGATGATTCCTCTCTAGCGAAGCTAACAGAAAAAACACTTTTAAACCCTTTAAATGGGGGAGGATCCGCAGGAGGGAGGGTTGTTACGTGAAACCCCTGGTATCGATCACGTGCGACCATCCTCCACCGGGTATTGTTGTGATTTTTTGTTTGAAACTCTGAATAGTTTTTAAATCACCTCTTTCTATTTGTAGTTGTTTAAGTTCAAGTATTGTACCATCAGAGACCTCCACCGGTTAAAGGTTAATTTAAAACTAACATTTGATTTATTAGGACCATAGTTTAGTTTTGGCAATAACCGTGTAAAAGTGTTGAAGACAAGCAAATAGAATATCATGTTGTGAAATATTGGTCCAATAAATTAAATGTACAGCCTGTACGCTAAATCTAGGCTCTATTGACTAACGCCACAACAATAACTTAATATAAAACAGATTGCATGGTAAATATCTCGTTACCTCGTTACAACTATATTGCCTTATTTAGCTTTAGCTCTGTTCAGTTTCACTATTTTTACAACCTCTCGTTACACTAGGATGTTTACACGGTGCAAAGGAAACAGTGGCGGGCGGGGTATACTAGAAATTAGGAGACAGTGAGATGAGATAGGGTGCTCAGAGAAAATGTTTCTGAACGGTTATAAAATGCGGAAATGCAGGAATTAGACCTCCCAAAACAAACTTTTCCCGATTTAAAAAAAAAAAATCATATTGTTAGGAAGATAATTTTTGGTCGGGCGCTTTTTTTTTGGCAGGAGAACCCCTGAGCCCAGAGCCTTTCGAGAGATTCAGGAGGTCTATTGGAGTTTCCGAAATTATGCTAAAGGTCCTCACGAAAAAAAGTTTGACCCCCCCCCCCTCCCCCTCCCCTACCCCCTTTTTATTATAATGTTGTTTTAATAGACGCGCGCTATACTGCATCACGGGGACTCTTAAATAATGTAGTCCTCTTTGGAAAGTTTCTGGACAGTTGTCATCCCAAACTGGGTTCAAATTTCCCTCATTACTTAACATTTAGTTACGATAGGGTTCTTCTAATGTAACCTTAGAACGATAGAGGGTGTCAATCTCTTCCTACATGTCCGACAACTGTATTTATCCAAGCTCTCTTAGACATAATAATATTGTTTTACCTTTTACCGGATACTGTAAGACAAAGACGGAAAAGGTGAGGGTGCAGACAACAAAAGTAAGAGAGTTTCTAACATCAGAAAGATATCCTCAAATAGAAAGGAGGTTATCACAGGACAACGATAACCTTTATTCGTTCCCGACAGTACCAATCAAAGAGTTATACTGAATTTGAGTCAATGAATATGAGCCTAGTTCATATTTCAAAAGATATGCTCATTTAGCTTTTTTGTGTAAAACAAGATTTACAATCCGCATATTCTGAATATCAAAACCCCACTGTCCTACCTGTAGCTAGTTGCTCCCTCTATATAGAAAAAAATGCCTAATCGGTGATCATTGGTCCCCCGTGATCCTCTTTTTTTTATGTCAATTGAGAGCTGAGTTGATGAGATAGCCACCTGTCATTGACCACGCTGTGTAGTCTAATCCCTCCTGGCCAAGCTAGTACAGCCGGCCTTTAAGAGAAATGCAACTCAGTCGAAAACAATAAAATACCCGATTCGAAACCCAAGTAAACGTCCAAAAGGACTGGATGTACTGTTCATTAATTTGACGTAGTCTTAAAAGTAGTTGAACACTTGAAATGATTATCAATATCCATGAGAATAAAGAAAAACTATCATTTCGTTTTGATGAGGCAATGTTAGGGGAAATAAACGTTAATTCTCAATAGAACGGTAACCATTCTATTCGTGCTGTCGGCCTATACCGCAGGACAAATAACTCCAAAATCATTTATAATGCCATATCTACGAGGAAACAATTAACAAAACTTAGTTTCTCGATAATTTGCAATTGTTGCCAGCCAAATCATTGCTCCCGCACATTTTTAATAGATTTTTCGACGTGTCTTATAAAAGAAAAGGCACATAAGCTATCCATGTGGACAGCAATAACATACGCTTGTTAAATACAACTTCGTTGGTTGTTCTCATATTATATTCTGCATCCTCTTCTTAACCTATTTTTTCTTCAAAATAGCTCAATATATTAAATTTGCAATCATTGAAGGGAAGAACTAAATCGTCATTTAACTTGAAACACAGTGGTGGGATAAAGATAATACAACAATAAGTAGTATCCTCCTGTCTCACATGGTTATTATATAATATATATACCATATAATTATTGTTTACTCAGAATATCATAAAATATAGATCATTCAATGTACATATTTCGGTCAATTGTAGATAGACTCTCTATAAATCATGTTCAAGTGAAGTACCTGAATACCTTTTTTTGTTTTACATGTCTCCTCACGACACATAATATAAACTATACTGTTTTTCGTCCTTCTCCAACAAAAGTAAAAAACGATCGCAAAACGTTTGAATATACATAAATTTATCCTATTCAGACCTGCACATGATGGTATTACGAAAATTGCTGATCTTGGCTCAACTTACCTGGCACCAATGGTCTGACGAACCTGCCAAGAAAACCACAGCAAGAACATTAGCTGCAGCTGGAAACCAAAACATAAAAACCAATGCAAAGGTGATCTTTTGGTAGGTCCCAAACTCTCCTAGAGTTAGAAGTATATCGTCAAAAGCCATTTCATTTTTCGGAGAAGAGTCGAGTATACGATATGGTATAGCGAAAACTGTGCTTCAAAGCGTGCTCACAAACGGTATATATCAGTCTGTGTGCATGCGCAATTGATACGTTCGGTACAATAGTTGGATCTGCGTCATGAAGTGGCAATATTCATCAGATTTTCAGTCAGTCACGCGATTCGTATATGATGGGCTTATTAAAATGTAACAAATACATGGGCTTATCGTTCACATGTGTCTAACGTTTGGGCGTGGCTTCTCCGCGCCACGGCTGACCAATCTTCATGTTGGTCCGCAGTGGTGCTCTCACTATGAATATGACGAACAAAGAAAGCGGACAAAATATACAGTTCCTCAGGTAGACAAAGGAACATCCCTTCACTGCTATTATGTAAAAAGGTGAATATGCATGTGACACCTGTTCTACACATTTTTATATAATAGCAGTGAAGGGATGTTCCTTTGTGTACCTGGGGAACTGTATATTTTGTCCGCTTTCATTGTCAGTCATGTTCATAGTGTCTATCTCAGAAATACTCGACGCATGGGTGCGATGGGTCCATTGTTTGACCAGCCTAACTTTCTTTTCAAAACCGCATTAAATGTGTAAAGCTTTTGAATCTTGAGAGAATTGTATTGTTGTCACTAATCTCAAATTGTCATGACCTTTCGGGGGTCATGCAGCTCCATTTTGTATCATGCAGGAATGTATAGCTTACCCTCCACTGGCCTAGGGGTCGTAGACAAATTTGTATTAACCTTTGATCTTGATTACTGGGATTGTCAAGAACGAATTCCTCACCCTTTATCAATAATTATCTGTATAGCGTTCAACTGTTTTGGATCCATCTGTTTTATTGTGGTTGACTGAAATTGTTTTGATGACCGGGAATTCATGTCAAAACCCTCTTTGCCACTTAATAATTGTACTCCGAATTTTCATGCTATCAAACATTATGTCATAGTCTGCTTTAGCATGCATGAATATTTCTCATCTGCACAACGAATCTCTTTGATTTGCAAAACACCCGTGTCAGTCACGCGATTCGTATATGATGGGCTTATTAAAATGTAACAAATACATGGGCTTATCGTTCACATGTGTCTAACGTTTGGGCGTGGCTTCTCCGCGCCACGGCTGACCAATCTTCATGTTGGTCCGCAGTGGTGCTCTATCTCAGAATTACTCGACGCATGGGTGCGATGGGTCCATTGTTTGACCAGCCTAACTTTCTTCTCAAAACTCAATTTATTTGTTTATTTTTATTTTTTTGGTTTTTGTATGTGACAATTATCATGATGGAAAATTCGATTGTCCAAATGGGTAAAGCATTTGAATCTTGAAAGAATTGTACGGTTGTCACTAATCCTAAATTGTCATGATTGTATTCCTTCCAGGGGACATGCAGTAGAACTTTGTATCATGCAGGAATGTATTCTTTACCCTCAAATGGGCTTGAGAAAAGTATTCGTTATCCTTTGATCTTGACGACTGGTATTATCAAGACCGAAGTCCTCACTCTTTATCAATCATTATTATCTGTATAGCATTCAACTGTTTTGAGTCTATCTGTTATATTGTAATTGACGAAACTTTTTTCTTTTTTATGATAAGCGGAAATGTCAAAACCCTCTTTGCCATTTAATATTATTGTACTCCGAATTGTCATAACAGTTATTAAGTATGTACATACGAGCCTGTCTTAGCAAGCATGTATCTTTCTAATCACCTGTGTCAATCAAAAATACATTCGCAATTTCGTGTGCTTATAACCTTAACAAATACATGGACTTCTCGCTTACGCGTGTCTGACGTATAGGAACAGGGCGTGGCTTCTCCGCGCCACGGTTAACCGATCTTCACATCGGCCCGCTGTGGCGCTCTATCACAAACATACTCGACGCATAGAGCGATGGGTCCATTGTTTGAGCAGCCTTACTTTCATTTCGAATCTGCATTTATGTTTTGGTGGGTTTTACTGTTTTGTGACCAATAATAATGGAAAAAAAACATTTGAATCTTGAAGGAATTGTACTTTTTCACTAATGCTAAATTGTCACGATTCTATACATTCGGGTGTCATACAGCTCCATTTTGTATCATGCAGGAATGTATATAGCTTACCCTCCACTGGGCTGGAAGCTGGAGACAAGTTTTTATTGACCTTTGATCTTGATTACTGGGATTATTAAGACCGAACTCCTCACTCTTTATCAATAATTATTATCTGTATAGCATTCCAAAAACTTGAGTCTATCTGTTATATTGTAATTGACTGAACTTTTTTTTTTTTTTTTTGAGCGGGAATGTCAAAACCCTCTTTGCCATTTAATATTATTGTACTCCGAAATGACGTTATTGCTATTAAGCATCATCTCAGAGTCTGCTTTAACATGCATACATTTTTCTCCTCCGCACAACAAATCTCTTTGTTTTGCAAAACTCCTGTGTCAATCACAAAATCCATTGTTATAGACTGAACTAGTTTTGATGAGCGGGAATGTCAAATCCCTCTTTGCCATTTAATAATCGTACTCCGATTTGTCATTATTGTTATCAAGCATTTTGTTTCTTCCCAGCCCCTCTATTTTGCGTGTCAAAAATACACCCTTTACTCGGGCGGTCGGGCTCCGCTCTGTTGCTCCTAAGCAATTATTGTAACTGTGACCAAGATGGGTCTTATTGTATTTTTATTTGTGTTATATTTTGAAGTTACCCGCACACTTGCACTTCGTACACACACAAACGCACCAGCATCAAACATGCAGTTGTTCATCCTCCAAATTTTCGGTACTTTACATAATACGTATCGTTAAATGAATTCGCACGCGCACACTCCCGATATTCTTGTCGACGATATAAACGAGAGCAAATACTACACACCAAAAACATTCAAAAATTCATTTTCTTACAAACCAGAAAATATTTCACTTTTACATATAAACTCCAGAAGTCTGAACAAAAATTTCGAATACGTTGAAAACCTTTTACACTCTTTAAATAATTTTGCATTTTCCGTCATTGGAATAAGTGAGACATGGTTACATCAGAATTCTCCAGATATGTTCAATTTGCCTAATTATAAGTTGATTAGGGCGGACCGCAAAGGAAGAAGAGGTGGCGGTGTTGCGTTTTATATTACACAAAACATAAACTTCAAAATCCGTTCAGATATTAAACTAACACAAGCTGAATCTTTATTTATCGAAATTAATAACTCAAATGCCAAAAATGTCATCATAGGTTTGATTTATAGACCCCCTGATTCCAATTGTGATTTATTCTGTGACGAACTGGATTTTTATCTTCATAAAATAGGGGATGAAAATAAACACAATTTTATCCTTGGTGACTTTAATATCAACTTCTCACCCTCATCTGATAACAGTAACTCAACCAATTGTATGCAGTTGATGCATTCATACGGCTTTTTTTCGATTATTAATAAACCCACCAGAATAAATCCACATTCATCAACTCAGATTGACAATATTTTTTCAAACGTACATAACAACAAAACCATCGGTGGAATATTGTGTTCTGAAGTGTCGGATCACCTACCCATATTTTTAACTTGTGAATGCAAACTATCTGGCCGTAAATCATTTGATGAGCTTATATATCGCAAAGAATCCAAACGTAATATAGAATTGCTGAAACAGGATTTATTTTTCGAGGGATGGGTTGAGGTATATAGTGTAAATGATGTCAATACTGCATATAAACATTTTAGTAACAAATTGCAATATTATTATGAAAAGAATATTCCTTTAGGCAAAATGAGTAATAAGCGAAATAAACCCAGGAATCCTTGGATAACTAAAGGTTTATTGAAATCAATACAAACACGCAATCGCCTCTACAAATTACATTTACACAATCCAACTGACACTAACCTAAACACATATAAAATTTATCGAAACAAATTAACAAAACTTATCCGTACATCCCGTAGATTGCATTTTTCTAATAAAATAAAAAAGGCCAGTTCAAACACAACTGCAACTTGGAAAATTATCAAAGAGGTAATGGGAAAAAAAACGAATCCCCCACCCACGGATAATATCACATTAAATGGCACTAAAATACATGATCCTAGTCTTCATGCAAATTCATTTAACTCATTTTTTACGAATATCGGCCCTGAACTCGCCAGCAAAATTAATAGAACTCACGCACACTTTAAAGACTATCTTTCCAATCAAAACCAAGAGTCCCTCTTTTTAAATCCGACAAATCCTAGCGAAATTATTAACATTACCCAATCTCTTAACAACTCAAAATCGCACGGTTTTGATAAAATAAGTATGTCTCTCCTAAAAGAAATAATGTATCCACTTGCAAAGCCTTTAACTCACATATTTAATCACTCGTTATCGCAAGGTGTTTTCCCTGATCTATTAAAACTAGCTAAAGTCAACCCCATTCTTAAAAAAGATGATCCTCACGAAATTAGTAACTATCGTTCAATTTCCCTACTCCCAAGTATATCTAAAGTCTTAGAAAAGATCGTTCATAATAGGCTACACAAATTTATCACTAAACACAAAATACTCAATTCAAATCAATATGGCTTCAGAAAAAATTACTCAACTGACTTAGCATTAATTCAAATTTATGACAAAATTACAAGTGCCATAGCTAACAAAGAGCATGTTATAGGTATATTCTGTGACTTGAGTAAAGCATTTGATACGCTCAATCACGCTATTCTACTCTCCAAACTCAGTCATTACGGAATTCGGGGTCAGCCACTCTTATGGTTTAAAGATTATTTAACAAACAGAAGACAATATGTTACATTTAATAGTTATGATTCTGATCCTCTTTTAATTCAATGCGGTGTTCCTCAAGGCTCCATCTTAGGTCCACTGTTATTTCTTCTTTATGTAAATGATATTATCAATACATCCCCCCTTCTTTCTTTTATCTTATTTGCCGATGATACAAATATCTTTTATTCCCATAAAGACCTTAATTCGTTAAACAATACTTTGAATTATGAAATTAACAAAGTATCAGATTGGTTTAAATCCAATAAACTTTCACTTAATACAAAAAAGACTCATTTCATGTATTTTAAACACCATTCTCATAATACAGAAACACCTATATATATTAAAATCGATGGTATGCTACTAGAGAAGAAAACTAATTCCAAGTTTTTGGGTGTTCTTATAGATGAAACCTTGACTTGGAATGATCATTTACACCAAGTTACAATGTGCATTTCCAAAAGTATTGGAATAATCTCCAAGTTAAAGTTTCTTCTACCCCATGCAACCTTATTCCTACTATATAATTCGCTAGTTCTCCCGTATATAACATATTGTAATAGTGTATGGGCAAATTGTGGTTCGACAAAAATCAATTCTATTTTCAAACTGCAAAAGAAAGCCATACGTATTTGTACAGGTTCGCATTTCTTAGCTCACACTGATCCTTTATTCTATAAACTTAAAACACTAAAATTTTCGATCTGAACACTACTCAAGTAGCAGTTATTATGTTTAAGTACATTAATAATCTACTTCCACCATCCTTTGATAACATGTTTAGGTTTAATAATTCCGTTCATTCATACTCTACTCGCATATCTGGAAACTTCCATCTTACAAACCCCAAATTATCAATAACACACAAATCTGTTAGACATTCTGGCCCGGACATTTGGAATGATTTACCCGACAACATAAAGTCTTGTTCAACCATCTACTTAAACGACAAATAATACAATCATATGCTCCCCTCTCTAAATTAGTATAACAAAACCGTGACTTATTTATTCTTTATCATGCAACTGCTCACTGCACCTGCACTTGCACCGCACCCTCTTGATCACTCAGTTTTTCGAAGAGAGTTATGTCGCCAATTCTTTTTACGAGGCCGCCATCCATCTCCAGCCTAACCGCTCACGATGGTGGTCTCCTGCGTTCCAAATTACCTCTCTAATTTATTGAAAATATTTCATATTTCTTATGTTATTGTATGCTTCGTACATGTTTATCGAATGATATAATTGAACATGATTTTTGATTTAATTACTTTTGTAAACATTGTATTCATTGTATTTGTTATTGTTCGAAATTTTGTACTTTGACTTTGAATTTGTATATTTTTGAACGCAGAAATAAAATCAATCAAACAAACAAAATAGTAATTTGTGAGTGTTTGTTTTGCGTGACTGCTAAAGCATGTATGTGCTACTATGCTAATCAACTAGGGGACCTACGTCCTTAAGTCATAACTGACAGTAGTGAGGATTAATGCCTTACAAAAAGGGAACTAATATAGCTGATCGACACGCTTTTTATTCTGGGGCCTCACAGTAAAGAGGCCATTGCTCAACCACTGAATCATGACTGTACGCAGAGAGGGTTAGGGTACGGGGCCTCCCCCACAATTACAACAAAACAAAAAAATACCTCACGCAGATCCACACACAAACTTTGAATTGAACATTGTGTTCAATTATACGCTTATGGAGAACAATTGCAATAAAATACAGTAAATATAAACTCAGAACACATTTCTTGATTATATTTTATCAAAAATGTTAATGATCGTCTATGTCATCATTCTGGCATCTCCCTTTTCATTACTTTCTTGCATGTGTATTAACTACAGCTAGAATTTGTATTGATTTGTAGATTGAGTAGATATCGAAGCATGCTGTTGGTAACCGACAAGTCACCAATTTCATGTAAAGTTTACGGAATCAATCAGCGTCGAATAATTGATTTATCATCGTCCTATAATTTATTATTTCACATTCTAATGGTAATGGTAATGGTTTTATTAAAAATTCATTTGCAGCCAGATGGTTGAATTGCAGAACTTTGTAAAAACATAAATATTTATACAAACATAAAACGTAAAGACATATTACGCAGTGAGTGAATTAAAAAATCAGTGTACACATATATATATACAAATTAATACAATCCATAAAATTCGCTTAACATTCTATTCCACAATCATCATAGGGCTGGAGGGAAATATAGAAGAGAGGTAGGGAGGATAATAGTGCAGACAGCACGGGAGACCGAGGAAAAGTGTGAGATAGAGACAGACAGAGAGGGAGAGAAAGAGAGAAAGGGAGAGAGGGAGAGAGAACGAGAGACAAAGCGAGATATATATATATAAGATAATGTTGAGGAAGAGAGTGTATATCAAACATATCGAAAATAAGGTAAAAGGTACAATTTCGACAGAGAGAATACTGGTTGTAAAAATTAATAAATTACATTTTACATTTTCATTGGTGAGTTATGGATAACATATATTGTAAATTGATCGGTAGGAATGCAATCAGATGAGAGACATGAAATATGGTATTTTTGAGATTTTTCTTGTAATAAATATGTGGCAAGTATGTTTCAATCATTACATATGTTAACAATGGTAATCTTGATTTACCGTATTATATTATCATTTTCATTAATCAATTATTATGGTTGTACAATCGTCTTAGTTACAAAATTATATACTATTTCACATAAAATAAAATAATAATTATACAGCACCTCTACATCATCACTATGGGGATAAGTTTACATGTTATACAAAATAATGTGGACAAAGTGCATGATCACTACTGTGAATTTAGCTAGTCAATAAGGTAGGGAACTGGACTGTTACGAAATCGTTTGGTTTTACATTTTAACTGTTCTCTGGTATTTGATTTGCGTAGGCTTCTAATATTCTTACAAGGAGGTATGAGGTAAGATACCTTCTCGTTTGATATCAGTTTCTCTGCAAAACTCAAACACAGTTCCTTCCTTCTGTCAGCCAAAGAAGACAGATTCATTAGATTCAGTGCTGTCTCATATGACTGGTAATTAGGTCCCAAGATTATTTTCAGAGTTCTTTTCTGCACCCTTTCTAGTCGATCTACTTGTTCTTTAGTTAGGCCTCCATTCCACACCGGCGAGGCATACTCTACGAGGGGTCTGAGGAAACCAGTGTAGATGGTACAGAGGTCTTCGATCGGCAGTCCGTGACCTTTCAAGATCTTAATGAGGTGTATTCTTCCATTTGCAAGTTTTATCATGAAATCCACATGATCACTCCATTTTAAATCACAGCGGATATGGACTCCTAACAATTTGACAGACGTGGATTGCTTTAGAGGATGCTGACAAATTTCCAGTGACAGTGGTGTTGGAGGCTTTTTCATAAAACACACCTGCATACTTCACATTTAGCAGGGTTAAGGGACATTCCATTTGACGTAGACCATTCGGCAAAATGTTGAAGTGTTGCTTCCAATAGAATTGACTGATCTCCAGCGAATCTCGTGTCAAAAACAGTGACATCATCAACATACTTCCAATATGCTATATTACTATCACGTAGCGCATTGTTGATGACGATTAGGAACACAATCGGTCCACGTTTGGTTCCCTGAGGTACCCCTGCTTTCATAGTCACCCACTCTGATGTGACACCTCTGTAGCGTACGCATTGAGTCCTTTCTGTAAGAAAATCAGCTATCCAGCGGATCAATGTAGGTTTGACACCAAATGAGATCATCTTTTGCATGGCAATCGTGTGGTCTATGCGTGGTCTATCAAATGCCTTGCGGAAATCTGTCATCACAAGCGTGGATACTGCCTTGCTTTTCTCCGCGTGTTGATAAAGGCAGTGCAATAGGTCAACTAGGCATTGCGTCGTTGATAATCCTTTTATATTACCAAATTGTTTATTGTCGAGCTGCGACCCGATGTGCTGCATTAGCCACTTTGACACAAAACCCTCAAATACCTTCGCAAAACTATCAGTCAAGGAGATTGGACGGAGCTTGTCGATACATGCAGGGGTGGTTTTAGGGACGGGACGGGAACAACTACAGCTCTCTTCCACATCTTTGGAACGACACCTTCAGCAAGTGAGGTACTGAAGATATGGGCCAATGGGATACTAAGTTCACAAGCAAATTCTTTGATGATTCGGCTAGGTATCATATCGGGACCGACAGCTTTCCCAACCTTCACCTTCTTAAGCTGTTGGTAAACATCCCAAGGTTGAATGCGGAGAGGTGGAGAAGGGTCAGGTAAGTATGCAGGTAAGTTCGTAGCATCCATGGTGGGTACATCCTCAGCAACAGACTTGAAGAAGTCATTGATCCTGTTTGCTATTACGGCGGTATCATCTCTGTCAACTCCAGGAACAGTTTTATAGGAGTTGGCATTTTTCATGTTGGTCATAATTTTGATTTGTTTATACCATTCTGCAGGATTCGCCTTCTTATGTTTCTTCACTCGATCATTGTAATAGTCGTGCTTTGCTTTTCTTATTTCCTTTTTAACGCAGTTGGCAAGTTTCCTGGTAAGTTCCTTATTACCACCACTAAATGCCGCTTGTCTTTCCTTGATCAAAGATTTGATGACTGGGGTAATCCATTTCTTGTCACGGTAGTGCATTCTGACCGTTTTTGTCGGCAGGAAACGGTCAATCTGGGAGTTCAAAATGGCATAGAATGCTTCAGTCTGTTCGTCTGATGAAATACTGTCCATCACCGAACTCCATTCATACCTTGATATCCAGGACCCAAATAGTCTCTTATCCGAATCTCTGAGTGGTCTTGTTATTCGTTTCATGATAGAATTTTGATAACGAGTAGGGGCAAGTAGTGACAAAACCACCGTGTTGTGATCACTGGCTCCTAACATGACAACATACGAGTGGCTGGTCATAAAAACCAGAGAAGTTTGTCACTATCTTGTCCAGGATCCTATTTTCTCTCGTTGGCGTCTTGACGGCTTGTTTGAAGTTGGTGTTTGCAAGCAAGGCAGCATCTGGATGCTGGCCCAAGATCTGATCCATGGTTTCCTGTAGATGGTTTATCAGTATGTCTGCGAATCCTTCAACCACACTACTCAAGTTTCTTTTAGTAACTACCACAACCAACACCATGGCTACCAATTACAATGATGACCAATTTGTTGCTGAGGCCCAGGGTCGAACTCATGGGTCCTTGTCAGGACCGGCCCTGAGTATCATCTCATCCAACATTGAAGGTCTTTCAGGCGCCAAACAAGAACTCTTGGCTGACCTATGCATAACAACCGACTGTGACATTCTCTGCCTCCAGGAGACCCATCGCGGGCCTACACGAGTTCGCCCTCGTATCTCCGGAATGACCCTCATCGCAGAGAGACCACATGACCAATACGGAAGTGCAATCTTTGCCCGTGATGGTCTTGCTGTGGACCAATCTTACCTATCAGACATCAATAACATTGAAGTCCTTTCTATTGACCTAATGGGAATCACCGTAAGCTCCGTGTACAAGCCACCTCAAGAGCCTTTCGACCTGCCCGGCAGAGCTACTGACGGCAGGATGAATGTGGTCATTGGTGATTTCAACAGCCATAGCATTTCCTGGGGATATAGAGAAATGAACGAAGATGGTGAACTCGTTGAGACATGGGCAGATGCTAACCAGCTGTCCCTCATTCATGACGCTAAGCTTTCTGCCTCTTTCAAAAGTGCAAGGTGGAGACGTGGCTACAACCCTGACCTGATATTTACATCTACCAGGATTGCTAACCAGTGCGAGAAAGTCATTCTCGACCCAATCCCTCACTCCCAGCACCGACCGATAGGGCTTAAGGTTAATGCAGTCATTACTCCAAGAGCAGTATCCTTCCGACGTCGTTTCAACCTGAGGAAGGCAAACTGGGAAAAGTTTGCTAAGGACTTTGACTCCTACATCCAGGACCTACCTGCCAACCCCCAAAACTACGACACCTTTGTAGAGTTGATGAAGAAATCGTCAAGGCGTAACATCCCCCGAGGATGTCGCACAAGCTACATTCAAGGCTTGACGGACCACTCCAAGGTGATGTATGAAGACTACATCGAACACTTCCAGTTGGACCCCTTCAGTGAGGAGACACTGGAATCTGGAGAAAATCTGACCAAGGAAATTGGTGAATCTAGAAAGAGGAAGTGGCAGGAATTCATTCAATCCACTGACATGACACATAACAGCAGGAAGACATGGAAAACGATCCGGATACTGGGCAATGACTATACAAAGGCCCAACCAAGATCTAAAGTCACTGCTGACCAAGTTGCCCATCAACTCCTATTGAATGGTCGGGGAAACCCTGACCATCACCCAAGAAGAGCCAGACTCCCTAAGGTCCCAGACGCTCCAAGCTCTCAAGATGACCTAGGCTTCACTAGACCGTTCACCATGAACGAACTGCTTGCTGCCATCAAAGCAATGACAAACAACAAAGCTGCTGGACTTGATGACATCCTCTGCGAGCAGATCAAACAGCTTAGACCAGGCGCCCTCAACAGGCTTCTCAAAATGTTCAACGAATGTTTGGGCACCAACAACATCCCAAAGCTCTGGAGGAAATCCAAAGTTATTGCCCTGTTGAAGCCTGGTAAAGACGCAGCCAGTCCAAAGAGCTACAGGCCTATCTCCCTACTGTGCCATACATATAAGCTGTTCGAGCGGCTTATCTTCAACCGCATCGCCCCATTCGTGGATGAACATCTCATTCCAGAACAAGAAGGGTTTAGGCCAGGAAAATCATGCACTGGCCAACTTCTAAACCTCACTCAGTTTATTGAGGACGGGTATGAGAGTAAGCTAATCACCGGAGCTGCTTTCGTTGATCTCTCTGCTGCCTACGACACCGTGAACCACAGAATCCTTACCAGGAAGATCTTTGAGCTGACAAAGGACGTGAGACTGACTGGACTCATCCAGACGTTGCTGTCCAATCGGCGATATTTTGTGGTTCTCAATGGGAATCGCAGCAGATGGCGCAGACAGAAAAATGGCCTACCACAAGGAAGTGTGCTCGCAACGTTACTCTTTAACGTGTACACGAATGACCAACCGATCCACCCAAACACCAGGAGCTTCCTCTACGCCGATGATCTCTGCATCGCCACCCAGAACCAGTCTTTTGTGAAGTTGGAGGAGTCCCTCAGTGATGCTCTGGCCGGTCTCATCCCATACTATGCAACCAACCACCTGAGAGCTAACCCTGATAAAACTCAGATAAGCGCATTCCACCTCAAGAACAGGGATGCCAACCATCAACTAAGGATCAGCTGGTATGGGAAAAGGCTGAAGCACACTCCCAACCCAGTCTACTTAGGCGTCACACTCGATCGCTCCCTTACCTACAAGAACCACATTGCCAACACAAAGGCTAAAGTTGGAGCCCGCAACAGCATCCTCAAGAAGCTAGCCAACACCAACTGGGGGACTGATGCCAGAACAATCCGGACGACAGCCCTCGCGCTTTGCTTCTCTGCTGCGGAGTATGCATCTCCAGTATGGAGTAGGTCGGCCCATGCAACCAAGATTGACCCAGCTCTAAATTCATCTTGCAGAGCGATCACTGGATGCCTTAGACCAACAAAAGTAGAAGACATCTACCTGCTCTGCGGTATTGCCCCTCCACACGTCAGAAGGTTGGTCTTGTCCCAGAAAGAAAAGGACAAACAAGAAAACAATCCACTCCACCCACTCTTCGAACAACAGCCAGTGGGCAAGCGGCTCAAATCCAGACACAGCTTTCTGCACTCTGTAGAGCCTCTTAATACTAGCCCTCACAACCAAAGGATGACTTTGTGGTCTAACCACCTTCAGACCACTCCACATAAACTCTCCCTCAGCCCGAAGGAATCCCTCGCAACCGGCTCCAGTGAGACTTGGCCTACCTGGCTTAGCCTCAACCGCCTAAGAACTGGCTACGGTCGATGCAGAGTCCTAATGCAGAGGTGGGGTCTAGGAGACGAACAAACGGCATGTGAATGCGGCCAGGAACAGACAATGGAACACCTGCTAGTCTGCCCACTCCTGCCAGAGCCATGCACCCAAGACGACCTGCAAGCCGTGAATTGCCGTGCCAAAGCCTGTGTGGACCACTGGACGGGACTTGTGTAGTGACTCGATAAGAAGAAGAAGAAGTATGTCTGTATACTCACTGTCTGGCGGATGATACACTACCGCCACGATCAGATGCGAAATTGCTCATGGAAGACGTTCAGGTCGTATTTTCACCCAAAGAACCTCCAGTTCTGTGGGCACTTCCATTTTCATTTGTACTGGGTTGTATGCCTCCTGGACATAAAGCGCCACACCACCACCTTGCCTATGCAAACGTGACTTTGTGAACACACTCACGCACACACTCACACACACTGCGCTTGCAGAGAGAGTTGCCCATTCCACAGTTGCTGGTGTGTGTTTTTTTTTTTTGGGGGGGGGGAGGGGGCTGCATTTTGTTGTTGTAATTGAGTTGGAATGTTATTTTCATTCTTTTTCTCTCAACAAACACAAATTGAATACATTAATTCTACAATTAAGATCGAAAATAGTAGAAAATTATATTACATAAGGCTTACTACAATTATACTTATAATCTCTTCAATATAATGTATGAAATGAATAGTTATATTTCATACATGTATTACAGCACAGTCGGCCCTGCTTCTACGATGATTTCTTATCACATTTCCTCTACAATAGAAAAAGCATACTTTGGCTATCATTATAAAAAAAGATCGTACAATCATTAATTCATTAAAAGATGAAAAGAACCCAAATCATAACTGAAATGACAATTTAAAAAAAGAATGAAATGAGACAAGAGATATCTATGGCTCCCCTCCCCGTTTTAGCTTGTCCCACACACTCCCCTATTCCCCCAAATACAAATAGTAAATACCCCAAAAAGATACACACACATATTTTGAATTGAGCACGGTGTTAATAATACGCTGGTGGTTTTAACTTTCTAAATTTGAAATAAATATGGACTGAGAACACATTTTTTCATTATATTTTATCCAAACTTCAAATGCTCACCAATGTCATCATTCTGGCATCTCCCTTCTTAAAATAATTTCTTGCCTGTTTATTAACTACAGCTAGATCTTGTATTGATTGGTAGATTGATTAAATATCGAAGCCTGCTGTTCGTAACCGAAAAGTCACCACATTCATGTAAAATTGAACGAATCAATAAACGTCGAATAATTGATTTATCATCGTTCTAGAATACCTGCATTCTTATCTATCACGAATAAACAATCAAAAGATATCTTTAATCTTCGTTTTGATTAGTTTTTTCGCCATTTCTCTTTCCCTGTCCAATAGTGATAAAATGTTCAAATCGTCTCATTCAAAGCCCAAGATTATATTCATATTTTCTTTATCGAGAGAATATATTAAATGACAAGTCTTGTGTACAACCATGAATTGCAACCTTTTCAAAATGATTCTATTCGCTGCCAATATTCAGAATCTGAAATTGGTATATCCAGATAATACACCAACGCTTTTAACCACATCCATCGCTCCAACCAAAACCCATATGCCAATACACATCATGTTCATCAAATATGGAAAGATTTCAAAATGAAATTTGAATAGAAATCAAATATACCATGCATTGTGCAGCTTTAGTTGAAATCATAATTTCTCTGTCACTTGCTTAGCAGAAGCTTCTGAGGGACTAGTCACTGAAGATCCAAAATTTGACAGACGCCTCGAAAAAAAAGCATGGTACATTTTATTTATATCTTTCATCAAGAAAGGAAAATCTAAGAAGTAAGTAATACAAAAACACATCAGAAATCAAGTATCATTTCACACTTTTGTCAAATATAACAAAAACACACACATGTACACACTGTGCAAAGAGAGTAGCCCAATCCACAGTTGCTGGGGAGGTGTTGGATTTTTGTTGTTGTAATTGAGTTGGAATGTTTTTTTTCATTCTTTTTCTCTCAACAAACAAAAATCGAATATATTTAATCGACAATTAAGATTCAAAATTATAGTA